AGCGACTTTTATGGTAAAGAGCAGGTAGAGAGGTAAAATCTTAAATAAAAATAACCAATGGTAAATCATCTTTCAATATGTTTCAATATATTGAAATATTCCTGGAAAGAATTCATGACCATTAAAAAATAGAAATATTATCTATTTAAATTCCATTTAAAATTTAAAAAAATAATACGATTCCTTTTTCTTGCACATTATTATTATTTTTTCTTTCTCAAGCAACTCTTTTTTTAATCCTTATTCGCGCCGAAAATAGTTTTGTTAATTAATCTTGACTGCCATTCAGGAGCACCTTGAATCGAAGTCGACTTACGAAGGCAACATCAGAATGAATTAATTAACGTGAGCCGAGTGCGCGAGATACGTCCGTTAATTAAAATAGAAGTCACCAAAACTCACTCGCCGCGTGCGATTACATATCTGAAGTGAAAGAGATGCTCTGGATTAATTAATGGCGACTCGCGCGGCATAATGGCGTGACTAATTAGCGCGGGCCCTTTTTGACACACAGAAATACTTCCACGACGGAGCTAGTGGTGCGAGGGTAAATGGTACACATCTCCCTTATGGCTGGGCAAATGGCCAGATATTTAAATTGAAACGTGTTTTATGACCCTGATGGGTTTAAATCAAAATGCTACAACGGGGTGATTGACACAAACGAGGCTCGTGGGTGCACGTGGAATGCAGAGAGCTTTAGAGGTTTCTTCGTTTTGTTGCAGTCCAGACAGAGATTTATTCCCCACTGCATAATGTCACAAATGAGTCATTTATATAAATTTGTGTTTATAAAACCTCTAGTTTAGAAATGCTAACAACTGTGATACACTTTAATTCTTTAATAGAATTGATTAACTTTTAAGTTTAATTGTTGTTTGCGATTTTTGTATAAGATATTTTTCTGAAATATAAACAAAAATAATATTCAATTCAACAGCCAATTAAACTTCTTGGATTCATTTTTCTAAATATTTTATTTCTTCATTTGAAAAATATTCATCCTCTGCGTAAATTTAATTTTGTGGAAAAGTCCCAAACAATTGTTTAAATTAACGAATTACTAAAGAATTAATTAATTTGAAATAAAAGCAGCTTGGAATATGAATGACCCTAGGTTTCAGGAATGGCGAGCACTTCCGATGGCACTAAAACTAAATGTTGCGTTAATGTGAATCACCCGAAATTTCAGCCTGGTTTTTCGCAATCGAATCCGAAATCAAATGAAAGCCACGTGCATTAGTGTTTTGCCTATTTTTAGGCTGCTCTCGGTGTGTGTGCGAGGGAAAATTGTGTCGGCAGTTGAGATGTCGGCGGATGACAGAAGAGTGACGTTGAGGAAACCCGAGACGCAAATTAACCGCTTGGGTTGCGACCACTTCTTCTCCTAAGTGCTCTGCTTCCTCCCTGCGAGAATGTGTTGCTCTTTTGGCCATCCTGCGCCGCCTTTTAGCGGGCCAATCTGTTTTACGTGACAATCTCCTCCTCTCTCTCTAACAAACGCGTAAATATAAAACACACGCGGGGCGCGCGCATTATACGTGATGGAAATTAATACCCGGCCCGAGACGCGAAGAGCGGAGTCGGATATTATTTTTAGCGGCCGAGAGCGCGACGAGCCGCAGAAAGAAACACCTCCGTACAATTATTTCCCATTAGCTTTGATGCCGCAAATAGGCCTGCCGCTTATCAAAGGGAATTCACTGCGACATTTGGCATTCTATGTTTAATAAAATAATAATTCTTTCTTTGCCAGTCATTTTGTTCCAGATGATTTAAGACAAAGCAAATTTTAAGCTTTTATCACGACTGATCACAACTAAATATAATTATGCATATCAACTTTGCTTTTAAACGAGCTTTGTAGTAAAATTAACAAATAAATATGCAAAATTTATAATTTAATAAAAAAGCATTGAATGTAAAATATTTTACTTATTTAAATTGTTGCTTTTAAATGTTTAACAAAAATATTTCTAAATTTATTGTCGTTGTACTGCAAATTGTACTATACAATGGTGTATATCATGACGCCATCATAATATACCGCTATACTATACATACAATCTATTTCATTTTCTTTATATTCGCTGGAAAAGAATTAAAAATTGGAAACGATACTAGGATTTAATTAAAAATCATGGAAAATGACAATCACATCACAGTGTATCATTAAAAACGTTTTATCAAGAAGTAAAAAATTGATAAAAAATACTTTATTTCAGTTTTATTTAACACTAAAAATAATTAGCAGCTAACCTGGCCACATTTATCTAGCAATATTAATGTTTGTCTTCTTTCATCTGAAAAAATTAGCATCAAACCAAATTTTTTAAAGAAAAATTAATTTACGCTTAAAAATTTTTAAATCAGGCTCAAGAATTATGTAACGTCTACAAATTAGCACATATTCAGTCCATTACACCAGTATATAATTTTAAAGGAAAAACGCATCATAAATATAATAATACACATTCCGCAAATAACTAAAATTATTATAAGCCACACTTAGAGCAAATTTACAAGCCACTAGGTCAGCACTAGGTATAACATTGAGTTTACAAAAAAAAAATTCTTACATCATATTATAGATCTACCAAGAAATTTTAATTAACCAAACCAACATCTTTATTGAACACTCAATTGAGTACAACTTTCAACTTAAAAGGTTAAAATTAGATTCACAAATTTAAATTAATAATGCAAACTAAGCCTGCGCAGAAACGTTTGCAAAATTTTATCTTGGAAAAAATAATTTACTGATTCCTCCTAATAGAGCAGATTGTGTAAGCGTTCAATTTTTGGCAAACATTTTCACTGCAAACTGTAATGAACGCTTATTGCAAATCAAATAGTTTAAAAGAGTGCGGGTCTTTTTTAGTTTTATATAATAATTGTTATTATTAGTCTGAATGCTAAACTCAAGGTGTTTGACTTTCAGATACTTGCAAAAATAACATTTTACTTTTCGACCTTGGAAAATGAAATCTGCGTTGGCGAATGTGAGTGATTTAGGGCCAACAATATAAATCAACAAACTCGGACGTTATTACAATGTTAGGAGGAGGATGTCGGTCCAATAACAACACCATGTTACACCATTCACCCACCTCTGTCGGCGCGAGACGCGGCTTGTACGCCGCAGTGGGTTGTAAAAAGCGCTAAATCTTCACGCACGGTGGATTTGATTTGTGTAATATGGAGGTTGTGAATTTCGGGTGTATCCTTAGCGTGGATCGCGGCCAATGGCGAGTTAAACCGACCGAGCATTTATCTGAAAATAGCGACCGTGCGGTGACATATAAAATATTTCAAAACGACATCGTGCGGTGAGGACGAGTCGCTAAATATTTTTCAAAAATAGCCACGCTGCGCCAATCTGCTGCCGAGTGTTGGAATTGAGAGGCTATTATTTTTAAATTTATTTGATGGCGTCGATTTTGGCACGCGAATTGAAGAGTGTAAGAGGATTTCGGGGTTTGTTTGCGAGTAGCAAAAGCCAAAAGAGACGCGGCGACGGACGGGTTGTTTCTTGATTTTTTCATTGATGTTGGTCGCGCTCATAGCGCGAATATAAATTCAAGTCATTAATTTTGGAACATCAAAAATAGTGTTTATTTTACAAGCGCCATTTAGATAGAAATGATCGCGACCTCACACAGCCCTCTAAAAATTTGATATTAAGTCTTGGCCAGCTTAATGTTAGAGCATTAAGCATAAAAAATTTAAAAATATACATTTTATTTAGGGCTCATGTAATGTAAGCTGGAAATCTCAATTTAATTGGTTTTACATACTTAAATATTTTTGGCCATAATATTTAATATCGCTTTGTGAATTATCAATTTTACTCTTACTTGTTGTAGTTAGAAAATACAAAAAAATGTCTTCTGAATAAGCGTGAGAAAAAATTAAGCTAAAATTTGGTTGCGGAAAATTCCTTAAACAAAATTTAAATCAATTTAATTAAAATCACTGATACAGCTCAAATATTTTTTAGCCTTTTTATAAAACGTTTATCGTTTTACAGCAATTCCTCAAAATTGATTTAAAATTTCCTTTCCCTTAAATTAAAAATTAAAAATACAAAAGTTAAAAGTAAGTTAAGGGCGAGCTTGTTGGATTGCTCAAAATGCTCATTATGAAGGCCGAACCCCGTCTTTTTCACATTTGCGGCTCGAGTGCGACAAGGAGGAATTGTCATCGGCGTATTTCCCCGCGTAATAAGTCAACTTTCAGAAGATGAAAGGCCGAGAGTAATGAGGGTGTAGGTGGGTCGATTAAGGGCTGTAGCCAAGAGGAGGCGGCGGAATCGTCGAGTGCAACATGTGTCCCGCATCTTCCTCGTCGCCGAAATGTGTGAAAAAAAGCGAAGGAGAAGAGCCAGCGTTGGTTTTAATGAAACGCCGTTTGTTTTTTACCCTCAGTGCGTGTACATTTAAAAGCATGCAGCTTGATGGTTAATGTCCTTGCTCATCATTTCACATTCTGACACCAGCGCGAGTAATTAGATCGGGCACTCTGCCCCGCTGGAATTACTAATAAAACATGTGTGGTGGAAAAAACTAATTTTCGGATCGGATTTTACCACGGGGCTCAAGGGAGTCATGGGAAAAGATTCCGAGTATTTGAGGGCATTAGAATTCTATTAAAAAGAAATAAAAAAGTTTCTAGATTCCGTCAATCACCTCAGTTGATGGAAATTTCTTTCAACATATTGTATTATACAACATAATAAAGTATCCCAAGAACTAATAAAATAAAATAAAAAAATGGAAATCGGTATAATTTTCCTCATTTTTTAATTTCAATAATATTAGCTTACAGATATAAACAATAAAATTGGGTGGTTTGAGTCTACAAAATTTTTATTAATATTATTTACTGTTATTCTTGGTGAATACAAGTAATTTTGTTGAAAAAAACTTTTATGATATAACTTTCCAAAATGAGATTTATTAAATAAGGAATTATGAAAAATAAAATTAATAAAACTGTACCTTTTATAGGAGGGTATCGATGACTCAGATTGGAGTGGAAGCCTTGAAGTCGTTCAGATAGGTAGGTCTGGTCGTTGATTACATTGCTCTGTAAAAAAGAAATCATATCCACTCAATTAGTTTTTCTTCTTAAAGTGGCTCGACAAGATAATCATGATTTTTTTTAACACATCTTGATGAAACAAAAAAGCAACGGATGCCTCAGAGTTTTTTCTTCTACATTTCAAGTGTCATCTTCCTCAACCAAAATCAGATCAAGCGTGTAAAAAAATTCCCCGCATCCCGATTTGGAAGGAAACATTAATAAAAATTAACACTAGGGCCAAATAAATGTGTCAAAATGAGGTGTGGGGGGAAGAAAGAAAGTGCCGACGCACCAAATGTGCGGCCAAAGATGAAATACATATTTTGACTGCTGCAACAGACGCCAGACAGAAAAATGGAATATAATGGGAGACGGCAGCACTCCAGCACACTTTGGTTCATTCATTCGTGCTGCGTGCGGGCTGCGTGACTATTTTCGCTTTGAAGAAGACATGTTTAAATGTTTCTGAGCAAAACAAATAAGCAATTTGTTGGATACAGATTTTGTTTAGCTTTGGATTTCATTTTTGCCCTCATCTCCATGATCCTCACAAAATTCTGATTTGAAAAAGTTTTTCGTTCGTTGCAATTAGCCAAAATTTAAAAACTTCGCGAGCATGTTGACGATCTATTAATAACCAGCTGATTTGATTTTAGCGCGGGTCAAATGTTTGTCCCGTTGAGGGGGCTAAGAAAATTTATCCCCAATGATTTGGGGACAAAAAATTGAAGGCGGGATAAAAAATATTTAACCTGGGAAAGTGATTTAAATGTTATCCCTTTGGATTTATCCCAGGATATCTTTTATCCCGGGAGAGCTAAGTCTATTGAATCTCTCCCAATGTTTTTCAATATAATATGCACGTCAGAATTTTAATGTTTATTCTGCTATAATTAAAGACTAAATCTTCTTGACTGTCGTTAGATCCAAAAACGCTATTTACAAATGAACCAGAATTTATATATTCACAGTCGCAGAAAGAAAAGTAGCTTGACAATATTCAGATGGAGCACACATGGCCGAGAAAATTATGGGGAGCAACCCTTTCGTCGGTTGTATGTGTGTTCGAGCAGAGATCCAATTACAATGAGTGGAGAGGCTAATGAGTCACAAAACATTAGCATTGGAAAATAATACGCCCTGGAATTCACTCAAAGCGTGAACTAGACTTTGGCACTTTGAAAAAAAAACTGCGACCACTACTAGTTAATATCCACGAGGATAGAGCAAGATATAAAAAATTAATTTCGCCAGCAGCAGTAAAACACGCAAGCCGCGCCGAGCAAAAAGGTTTACATCTTCAGAATGTGATAATTTGCATCGTTATGAGGCTTCGATGGCCCAACACGTGGTGACAGACGTTCATAAACATTTATCCTGTGTGTAAATAAAACAGATGAACAGAGAGGAGAGAAAAAGCTATCGCGACTAATTTTAACAAATGTCCTCGTGCTGTTTTTGTTTCGATTTGATGGATCGCGCTTGGAAATTCTTTTTAAAGCCGGCGACCAGCATTTTTTAAATTTAATCGATTGTGGTGCGAGCGGGCCGAGGAATGTGTTCAACTCTAATTGGACTGAGGCCAATTTTTTCATTACCGCACAAAGGAAGCACGCGGAGACCGCCGACGAACAGCATTTTTCAATCGATTTCACACCCAAACTCTACCTTTGGCCTAATTACCGCGAGAAAGATGAAGATTTTAAAATTAAACTCACATGGAGGTAGTCCCTGGCGCAGGGTGTTCCCTGATTGAGCTGCATTGTGTTTGGTGAGTCTTCGTCTCTGCCGGACAACACCTCTTCCAGCGACTCAATGTAGTCTATCGCGTTCCGCAGAATTTCCACCTTTGGTAGTCTCTGGTTCGGATTGCTGCTTGTCCGTCTCTTTAGGATTTCAAATGCTTCGTTTACCTGAAGCAAAAAATAATAATAATGTTCATGATGCATGACGCTATTGAATAAATTTTGTGGTGCGCTTTGCATTTAAATTTTGCAAATTTAATTTGATTATTTCTTTTCAGCATAATATACAATAAAAATAATCAAATGCACTTAAAAATGAAAAATTGAAACTAGGCAATGAAAAAATTCGCCCGTTTTCAAATTTTCATGAAATCCACCTCGAGCGTAAGCATTTAATTATTATTTTTTTTTTTTAATTTTTGAAAATTTTAAAATTAATTTGCAAAAAAAGTAAAATTGTGATATTAGCAAACTGGACTTAATGGTAAAAATTTAATAACAAAATGCTTTTGAAGTAATGAAAAGTTAATGAAAAATACAAAAGATCTTTTAATTTCGTTATGGAATATTAAATAAATTTGTCAACTAGCAATAAGATCAGAATAATATAAGTTAATTTTTAGTGCCCAAAGATAAAAGAAAAATTATTTATCGATTAATATCCAACATCCCCGCACCTTTAGGGAAAATTGGGCCAAAAATAATTTTAAAATATGTTTGCTATGAAAATGAAAGAAATAAAATATTCTGGTCCATTTTCTTAGGAGCTGTGCAATTGTTAGATTTGTAAAAAGAAATATCCGATTTCAAATGTTATTTTAGTGCGCATTTAACTTGATATTGCATTGATTTTATATTCGTTATTCATTTTATTTTGTAAAAAATATTATACGTTTTTCATATGAAAAATTAAATGTAATGAACGGAGTAAATATTGACAGAAATGTTTGGTGACATTAAAAATGATATTAGCATATTATTGCTCATATCTCACATTTTGAAAGACGCAGTAGAATTTCACACACAAAAAACAGCTATAATTTCTTGCTTTAAAACAATACAATTGTTTCATAAAAAAATATTAAAAACTAGAACTTACAAAACTTGATATGTTTTTATTATTCTCACTACATTGCCATTTTCTAGAAATATGTTTATGTAATTGATGGATGACTATCAATTTTCCAATTTAATTTTACTTTGATTTTAAATTATTGCACCCTTTCATTAAGAAAAATACATTTTTTTCCCCTATAATTATATACTGTATTAGACACACATATCATTCTTCTTTCACAATGTAATTAAATTATTAATTTTATGTAAAAAAGTTGCTTACTTTTCTGAGCCGCCGACGTTCCCTGAGGGTGGCGGCGCGACGTCTGTCCTTTGCAATGGTTTTCTTTTTGCACGCTTTGCAGGCCCAGGTGAGGCACCTGGGCGAGTCATCGTGCGTGTGCTGCATGCTGTCGGGCGCGAGGACGTGGTCGGCCTCGCTCTCGTAGTCGAGGTCGTCCTGCATTTCGCTGACACTTGAACTCGAGTCGCACGACGGCTCCTGGTGGAGGCCAGGGTAGGCGCCAGGGTAGCCGGCCATCACCGAGTGCTCGTACCTGCAGCTCGCCCCAGACGCGTTCTCCAACACCATCATCTTGTCACTCGCTGCTCACCACTCGTCGCGCGAGACGGTGACAACAAAACTGAGTGAAAGAAACCCCTCGACCGCCACCGTCGCTGCTCCTCTTCGCAGCATCCCACTGATCCCACCCCTGCTGACGCAACCGCCGCGTCTCTCTTTCCTAGTGCACAGTCAAAAGTCTCTCATCTTCTGACTTATAATTCCCTCGCCTGACGCGACTGACTCGCCTGACGCGACTGACTCGCCTGACGCGACTGACTCGCCTGACGCGACTGACTCGCCTGACGCGACTGACTCGCCTGACGCGACTGACTCGCCTGACGCGACTGACTCGCCTGACGCGACTGACTCGCCTGACGCGACTGACTCGCCTGACGCGACTGACTCGCCTGACGCGACTGACTCGCCTGACGCGACTGACTCGCCTGACGCGACTGACTCGCCTGACGCGACTGACTCGCCTGACGCGACTGACTCGCCTGACGCGACTGACTCGCCTGACGCGACTGACTCGCCTGACGCGACTGACGCGCCTGACGCGACTGACGCGCCTGACGCGACTGACTCGCCTGACGCGACTGACGCGCCTGACGCGACTGACTCGCCTGACGCGACTGACGCGCCTGACGCGACTGACGCGACTGACGCGACTGACGCGACTGACGCGACTGACGCGACTGGCTCGCCTAACTACCTGTTTTTAACAAGTTGGCTTTTCAATAAAAAAAGAAGCCAAAAAATGTTTAAAAAACGCAAAAGAAAAATAATTTTCAATTTGTCGCGGTCTTTGTAACTTGATCATGAATGACGTAGACATTGTATATCAAGTGAAAAGTCTGCCTGAGGGTAAAATCGAATCTGGATACTTCTGCATCTGTGACAAAGCTTTAACCATTAGACCATGAGATGTAACATCAAAGGCCTTGAAATTGTTGCGTATAGATATTACCAAAATTTTTTCGGTTCGCAAAATGATTCGAGATGCATATACATAAGAACGTTTAGTCGTTTAAGGATTTATTTAAGATTTGTAATAAAAATTATATTATGGAGAATATTTTTACCAAAAAAATTATCAGCTACTTTTCCTAACACAATAATAATATTGCAAATTATAAAAAAAATTCCGGATCCTAAAAATATATTAAAAGAATATTAGTCTAATAAATTTTATAAAAAAAAAATTATTAATTCAGCTTTTTTCAATAAAATGAATTATATTAAAAAAAAATTAAGAGAAAAGAAAATATACATTTAATTTTATATTTAATTAAAAAAAGTAATGAGTTATTAAAAAATGGAAAGAAATATATCAATTGATAAAAAATAATTATTATTACAAATTAATTTAACAGATTATTAAAATTTTGGGGCTCATAATTCTTTCTAAATTCACATACCCTGCCCTAAATTAATAATATATAGAAGAGATTTAATCCACTTAATCAACTTCTATTTAAGGAAAAGTTCTCTAATTTGAAAAAAAAATTATCTCGCGGTGCGTGCGCTTGTGAAACGCTCCACTCTTTGCTCTTTGATTAAATTTCCAAATACATTGGCATTATTATGCAATTTACTAATTATTTTTTTTGTACAATTATTATTTTTATTTTAATTTGTAGTAGAATTTCACGATCACATGGGTGAATTGAATTTAAAGTCGGCAGCTACAAATCATAACGCTGTGAAACTATTTTTACTAAAATTAATATAATTAATACATAACGAGAGTGTTATCAGCAAATAATAAATTTTTTTCTCATAAATTATTTTTTAATTACAATTTTTACATCAAAAAATTTATTCCAAATTTGACAACTTCTGTGAAAAATATTTATACTAATTAAATTTTTTTAAAATTATTTTGGTTAGAATAGTGTTTTGAGCGTTTACGTGAAAAATAAAGCGAAAAATAACTATAGTGTCTCGATATCTCTCGAACGACCTTCAACGAGAAGGGTACGCTCAAAACACACGACACATTTCTCTATTCTGACACTTTTCCTACTTAAATTGTTACAAAATTAATTTTTAAATATATTTCCAAAACTAATTGTCAAAATTAAAAAGAAAAATAATATTTATAAAAAGTGAAAGAAATTTAACTATGAAGAATTTTTGAGAAAAATTTGCTTATTTGATGAAAACACTTATTTAAAAAATTAATTTTACCACTTAACAATAATCGTCTAATTAAAAAATTAAAATATTTGGTATAAAGAAATTTACTTTAAAGAATTTTGAGTAAAATTGAGCATTTGATGAAAACGCTTACTTATAAATTTAATTTATACCTAATTTTTAGTTAAATTATTCCCTAAAATTATCGTCCAATTGTTCGAAAAATAAATCACGCACCATATTATTTTTTTCAGAAGCTTAAATAATATTGCAATTATATTATAAGAAAATTTTTTATAATATATATATGTAAAAAAATATTTCTTAATCTGAGAGCTGACTTGCAAATAATGTTGAACTAGTTTTTAATTAAAATGAGCTTGCCACCTGTTTGTCACATCTCGACCTCACCTACAAAGCTCTGCTCCGTTGAATAAGGAAATTATAAATTAATTTTTTTAGATTAATTTTAAAACATTTTTCCCTCAATATTAATTTTAAGTAGATTTTTATCACATCAATAATTTTTTTTTTAAATTGAAATGTTATTTAATAAAAATTTTACTGAAAAAGTATTTCACAATTTTTCATTTTTTATTTTTTAACGTCAATAATTTTTTTTTTAACAATAAATTTTTTTTCTGATTTGTAAAAATATTTTTAAGTGTTGTTAAAAATTTACCAGTTTATAACTTGTTTAAAACTGGTATTTCTTTAACGAGAACAGATTTTACATAACTCGTATCAAAAATACCAGTTTTTCTCGTGATAAAAACGTGTTTTCGTTACAAGTGTAATTTAAAGAATAATGATTTAAAACTATCAAAAATCTTTTTCATATGTAAATTTATCATATAAAAATTGGATGGCTTCAATTTTTACAAAGAAAAAAAAACTTGTTAAAAACTCGGTCAACTGGTTTCATTTCTTGCAGGGTTAAAGCGCACACCGTGCAAAAGCGCAAATCCTGCCTCCACTTTTTGCTTTCATCTGCTTCTTTTGGTTTCATTCATCAAAAGTCGCAACTTATTTGCTAATTTGTGGTAAAAATCAAAGTTTGTTGAAAGATGATACACCGAGGGAGGGAACGCATGCTCGTTTTGGAGACCAATGGAGCGACACTTTTTAATCCTCAAAGGATTCAAAGGAGGAGCTTTGAAATTCTAACACACGCAACTTCTTAAAGTTGACACCCATGCAAAAATGGAATTCTCTCAAACTTTTGGAAATATGTAATATCCTCAGTGAGCATTTGACAAAAATTAAAAGGAAAAGGTATTATAAATAAACCTTTTTCTAATTCATTTCCCGTGGCCATGGCATGGCTATGGCGTGGCCATGGCATGGCTATGGCGTGGCCATGGCATGGCTATGGCGTGGCCATGGCATGGCTATGGCGCGACTCGCCCGAACGCCGCGAATTATATTGGATCCCAATGTCCCATTTAAAAGAGTAGTACCGTGTGTCATTCAAAAATTGACATAAATGAAATGACAAAAAAAAGATATATTATTTTTGAATTAAATATAATGTCATTATTATTTGGACACTCATACATATTTATAAACAAAAAGTACATGCATTAGTTTGCAATGACTTTACTATTAATTGTAAGTAGTATAAAAATATCTGGAAAATTATCGATTTATTTAACCAAACCATGGATTTTGACGTTTATTCGTTTCTTGACTCTTTTGGCATATCTATGAGCCATTGCATCATTGCATAATATAATTTATTGAATTGGTGAAAAGCAGGTAATATTTTGGATTGCAAGTGACATTTTCTTCTTCGTTTATTTCAAATCTCTTGACCCGAACCATGCTAATTGCAGTAAAAGTTAGGCCTGAAGTGCCCGAAAATTGTGAATATAAGATTCGCCACCACTGTCGCCTTTGCACACACCCGTTAATATTTTTTAGGCAGCTGCAAAAAAGTTTAATGATTGAAATTGCCTTACTTATTTTGACAATCATATGATCGTCAAATAGGAATTTACAGGAAAATAATTACTAAATAATGAATAATAATATTCTACTGAAATTTAACATAATTATTAAAAATTTTAAGAAGGATTATTACACACATTTAACCATTAAAAATATGCATTTAACATTAAATAGAATTGTAATTTAAAAAAATAACTCAATATTTATTTAATTTACATGTTCAGTATGCATAAAATATTAAAACGTTGTTTTATCGCACTTTCATTGTTAGGTAGGCTTTCTATTATTATTTCTAAAGAACAACGGGGAATAATATGTGTAATTAAATTTGTCACTTTTGTGTTGTCAAAGTTCGTGATGCGAGACCAGCAAGGCTTTACACTTGCTGTGTAGGAATAAATAATCTTTTCATGGTCACAATGTGAACAAAATTAAATAATATTTTTATAATGGAAAATATCACTCTTTGTGCTTTGAAATAAAAATCGTTAAATCATAAAAAATAATTAATCATCTTCTTAGGCCTTAGGCAATAGGAGATCGGAGCATTGGAGGCAATGTTTTGACTTTTTTTTGTGTTCTGTTGAAATGAGATGCTGCCTCACTTTTGCTTTAAATTCTCTTAATTCAGAGACGAAATAATTTCAATTTAAAAATTTGATTTTGATTAATTTGCCATTTTTCCCTTGGACCGAAAAAATCTCATTCATGCCTATATAAGTGTGCAGTTTTCGCGCCGCTTGTTGTTGTTGTAGCCATGCCATGGCCATGTCGCGCGAGTTGAGCGAGTCGCGGCATTCGCGGCGGTCGCGACATGGCTATGGCATGGCTATCTCGCTCGACTCGCGCGACATGGCCATGGCGTGGCCATGGCGTGGCTATGGCGTGGCCGATTTCCCTATTAAAAGACACAAATAATTAAACTAAAATTTTATCAATGGGTGATTTTTAGCGATCATCCTGACATAAATCAACAAACGTTACGTATGGTCGCTCTCATTGTTTATAGAGTAACGTTCTGTCATCTTATTTCCAAACTTAAATTATATTCTTGTTTCAATGAGTTATTAAATAAATTCAGAAATAATTTTATATGTTTTATAGAAAAAAAATACAATAAAATCAAGATTGGAAATAGTAGTTTATCAAGGTAAGATGATGACATCTAAAACTTTATTTATCATCAATACATCTCCACTGGATGAAACTTGCATGCACGTCTATACTTCTGCTAGTTGTTATACCCTTTCTGCTCATTCTTCCAATTTCAATTTTTATTTTTGTATGACTTGAGCAGAATAAATAATAATTAATTAATATTTAAAATCTGTTTGGTAATATACACTTGTAAAATTTTATCTAAAACAAGAAAATAGTCGGTCTATAGAATCTATAAACTATTTTCTTGTTTAGAGTTCATGACATTAAAAAGCGCCTCTAAATCATATCAGTTTCTTGTATGATTTATAATTTATATTGTTAAGTGACAGCGACATAATTGACTGTGCAAACCTGTTTGCCCCTGGTCATTTTGTCACCACGCGGAAACTGTTATAACAATATTTCTTATAGTAAGAGAAGCAGCCAAGCCTTTTTCACAGAATCCCATCGCAGAGCGAATAACAGTAACCACTGGAGGCTGGCGCTCTTCCACTTGACTCATTTGAATGAACGGAGTCGGTGAAAAAAGGTCGGTCCGCGAATCAACAGGTGCCATGCGTTTAGCCCGAGAAATGGCTTTGATTTTTTTGCTGCTGGCATTTTTTGCGAGTGCCGAGGAAATTTTTGAAACCACTGAAAGTACAGACACAACCACGACTAGTGATGAGTTTTTTGAGGAAATTCAGGAAATCGATGAAGGAAGTTCATCACCCCAAAACCAGACTGTGGACTTTCGAGGTGCAAAAGTCTTCAGAGTGAAACTGAAAAACGCGTCGCAGAACAGACTTTTTAAACAATTAGTGGAAGAAGAACGTGAGTAGAATTAATTAGAGAAAAACTAAAAATAATAAATATTTATTCTGATAGTTATTGATGTCTGGCTGCACACAAAAGGCAATGCTAGTCGTGCGGAGTTTCTAATTCTGCCTCAAAATTTGGAAAAGGTGCAGTCGTTATTACAAGAAGCAAAAATTCAGCCAAAAATTATGATTCCCGATTTGCAAAAATTGATTAAAACAAATGACAGAGTAAATCTAAATAATATTGCTCTCAGATCAGGTAAAGTAATTTATTATAAAAAAAATCAATTTTAATAATTATTATTTATAAAAAGGTTACAGTTTAAACTGGGATGAGTACCATCAATTTGGAGTTATTCACGCCTTCCTTGATTATTACGCAACTGCATATCCGGACATATGCACAGTTAAAACTATTGGAAAGACCAGAGAGGAAAGAGACATTAAATTGATAAAGATTTCTTCCGGCGCAGAAAGCAACCCAGCCGTGTTTATTGATGGAGGTGCTGGACAACAATAAAAATTAATTTAATAATAAGAAAAAATAATTTTAGGAATACACGCAAGAGAGTGGATTTCGCCAGCTTCGGTTACATACATAATTAAGGAATTGGTGGAGAATAGAGAAAAGTACTCATCATTCGTTGACAAAGTCGATTTCTACATTGTGCCGCTGATCAACGTCGACGGCTACGAGTATTCGCACACCCGCGACCGACTGTGGCGCAAAAATCGCGCCGACCTGTTCGGCTTTTGCAACGGTGTCGATTTGAATAGGAATTTTGGCTACAAATGGGGAACGTCCGGCTCCAGTTTCTTCCGCTGCTCAAATATTTATCGCGGCTCCAGTGCATTTTCCGAGCCAGAAACAAAAGCGCTTAGAGATTTTATTTTGGAATCTCAAGTTAATTTTCAGGTTTGTTAAATTAAATTTTCTGAAAGCTTGTTATTTACAATAATTTGATTAAGAATGTGGTATTTTTTCTGCTGGCAATTTAGTTTCAAATATTGTTTATTAATGAATCACCGGGCATATTCTGCCCAAATACTCATCCATAAGTTCAATATTTAGGCAAACACTCTAGTGGAAATGAGTAACTTTTGAATTTATCATTTTCATCTGTATTTTCAATCATAATTTGAACTAAATATTATTTTTTTAAAAGTGGTTCTATTGAATTTTTTTGTAAAATTATAATCTTAATGAATTGGCTCCTTATGCTTAATCGTCAACCAAAACTGATTTCAAATAAAAAAACGCCTCATAAAATTTGTAAAATCTGATAAAATATGACATAAAAAAGCAGAGTTCTACTTTGTATTGAAAACGTATTTTCTTAAATGAAATTTAAAATATGAAAATTCTTTTCAGGCCTATCTCTCCTTCCACAGTTACGGGCAATTAATTTTATACCCTTATGGATATGCCTCAAACGAACTTCCCGATGACGTTGATGACTTGGACAGGGTTGGAAAAGCGGCTGCCAGTGCCGTCAGGAAACTGAGTGGAACCAAATACACTGTTGGAAACGCTGCTCAAGTTCTTTACAGTTCATCAGGTAATTAATAATTAATTAATCTAGTTTTCGTTTAAAAATTTTGATATTTATTTTTTGGTGCATTTAGGCGCTTCTGATGACTGGGCAAAGGGTGATGCGAAAATAAAATACTCTTATGTGGTTGAACTATCAGACAAAGGGAAATATGGATTTGTGTTGCCGGAGAAGTTTATCAAATCAACCGCAGCGGATGCGTTTGAAATCGTCAAAGTTGTAGCTGATGAAGTTCGAGGAGTCTAAATAAAAATTTATTCAATTTAAAAAAAAAAAAAATTTAACAATGAAACTTTTATTAGAAATAAAAATTCCCCATTTTGATTTTATAATAAAAAAAACTCTAGTTAATGAGAATAAAAAAAGTACTTGCTAGACTCTTCATTATCGTAAAGCACGGCGCCACCAACCAGTTTTCTGAGGTCATTTTCGGTTATAATTTTACCATTAAGCGGGAATGTAACTGGAAGGGCACGCAAGAGCATAAAAGGATGGAACCGTTTTTTCTCGTGCTATTTCCATGGCCGTGATTTATACAAACGGAACCAAGCGCAAAATGATCTCCAGCGTAAGTTTTTGGCCGTTGGTTTTGGTGGCTGGAGCATTTTGTGCAACGTTTGCACAAGTAACGTTGCCTTATGAAGAGGAGGTTGCAGTGACAGGAAAAGAGTTTGGTTTTAAAACTGAAGAAATTTCGGGAGCCGAAAATTCAAGTGATTTGAATGGAGCTCAGGTTTATAAGGTGATGTTGAGAAAAGCTGAGCACAAGGCCCTAATTGTACAGTTAGAGGACGAAAATCGTGAGTGACTTGAATTAATATTCATCATTCAAAATTATATTAAAAATTTCCAGTGGTGGATTTGTGGCTCTATAAGGCGGGGAAAAGAGATCGGGCCGAATTTATGGTTCTCCGTGAAAATCAGGAGCACGTTTTGGACCGACTTTTCAAAGTTGGGATTCAGCCGGTCATCAAAATTCCAAACGTGTTGAAATTGGTTGTTGATTCTGAAATACCCGACCCGCAGCACGTGGGCACAGGAAGAGCGTGTAAGATTTTAAATCAATGCTTGTATTTAAAATAACGTTCTAAAATTTAAAAAATATAGCATACGAGCTTAATTGGACTGGATATCACAGGTACATGGTGATACACGACTTTTTAGACTTTTACGCGGCTACATACCCTGAAATATGTTCTGTCCACACAATTGGAAAAACTGCTCAAGGAAAAGACATTAAATTGCTTAAAATTTCAACATCTGGTCCTGGTCTATTAATTAGTAAGCCAGCGATATTTATTGATGGAGGTAAAATAATCTTTTTATTTACTCATTTTTTGCTTAAATCTTTTGCCAACATTGAATTTTAAAACCTGACAAAAAACATTTAGTTAAATATAAAATTGCTATAAAATATGTTGTATGTAAGTATAACAGTTATTTTGTTTGTTATTTAACCATTAGAATTAATTAAATTTTTTAATGTAAATCATGATTATATATATATATATATATATATATATATATATATATATATATATATATATATTTAATTAGAGTTAATTTTTTTAAATTTTAGCTACACTATAACTAAATAAATTTAATCTGAGTAACATATAATTAAATTACAAAGTATTTTTTATAAATTCTTTGATAGATATAATTTTCAATTGATTGTTGGAAAACGTTTACGTCTAGAAGTCCAGGCATCTTGAAGAAATTCAGAAATAGTGATTGCTATAATTATCAAAAATAAAAAAATGAAACATCATAATAAATATTAATATTTCTACTAAACAACAATTGATGTAAAAATTAATATAACAACGTTTTATATTAAATTCCTATATATGTAATTTTTTTAAAGGGATCCACGCCAGGGAATGGATTTCTCCAGCAACAGTTACGTTCATTACAAAAGAATTGGTGGAAAACAGGTCTAAATATTCATTCGCCGACAAAATTGATTTCCACATTGCACCATTAATCAATGTGGACGGCTACGAGTACACGCAAACAAGTCGTCGAGACCGAATGTGGCGCAAGAGTCGCTCCTCGCCAGGAAGGTGCACCGGAGTTGATTTGAATCGGAATTTTGGATTCCAATGGGGACAAATCGGCTCGTCCAGCAAAAGATGCTCGTCCCTTTATCGAGGCCCTTCGGCTTTTTCCGAGCCCGAGAGCAGAGCCATCAGGGATTACATCCTGAGTTATCCCAAAGGCTATTTTAAGGTGAAATATATTTCTTCTTTTTAATTTGACGTTTTATAATTCAGAAATAGGGTTACCTCTCTTTTCACAGCTACAGTCAGTTCATTTTGTACCCATACGGATTTTCGATTAGTGCTTTGCCGACAGACGTGGAAGATTTGAAAAGAGTTGCCAAAAAGGCACAGGTGGCGATTCGGAATTCAACTCGAACGTTTTACACGGTTGGAAGTGCCGCCAGGACTCTTTATCCACTATCGGGTAATTAATCAATTAAAATATATTTAAAAGAAAAAAGAAAAATTTTGAATTGCAGGTTCGTCTTTGGACTGGGCAAAAGCAGTCGCTGAAATTAAATACTCGTACATGGTCGAGCTGCCTGACAAGGGTGTTCACGGATTTTTATTGCCGCCGCGCTTGATTAAACCAACTGCAACAGGTGCAATGGAAATGGTTAAGGCTATGGCAGAGGAAATCGCTCTTATGAGTGTCGTAAATATGGAAAGTTTTGACTAACTTGTCAATTAAATTATTTTATATGGTTATTCACAATTTATATTATTTCATAAAATACTTAATTATTGAAAAATCTGTTACAATTATTACAAATTATTTATTTTTGTATATTTAAATTTTTAGTTGTACATTAATTTACACGTATGTCAACTCATCGAGTCAATAAACAATTTTCAATGGACAAAATATGTTATAAGTGAATATATAAAAAATATATAAAAAAAGATATTAAATGATTATTTAATCATTAATCTCAATTTATCAGTTAGTTGTTTCAATATTTTTCTCTGTTACTTAATTCTCTGTCTAATGTGCTTACCAATTTGGAGGAAAATTGAGATTGGAATGTGAATTAGCAAAAACTTTAAGCTAATTCACATTTTCATCTCGACAAATAATTATTATTGTTTTAATAAACAATAAATTATTGCATTGTAAAATTTAATGTGCAACTATGAAATTTGAAAAAACACTCTGGCAGAGGCATCAAATACGTAATTTATTTTATACACATTAAAAAAAATGACTTTGCTACCAATTTCCAATTTTCAAGAATTGCTTAAAATTAATTTTTTTCCCACTATAGAAACCTAAAAAAAAATTAAATCTTACTTATTGAAATTACAGAGCTTTAAAAAATAAAACCCATATTTTATATCCAGTTTAAAAATAAAAATATTAAAAATGATTTGTGTAAATTTGCAATTTAATTTATGATTAAAAATATTTGACCCACTTATATTCACGTAAATCACGTATTATTTGTCGGCGTCAGATGTTAATAAAAGATAAATGTATTTATTTTTACACACAACTGCTTGTAATCTTAACTAGTTTTTTTTCGTCCGCATTAACTCTTTGAATTCACTTCTTAATGTTATATTTTTTAACGACATTCCTATACAGATTTGTTATTTTCTCATTTTTCAATATATTAAATCACACGCCAATTGATCAGTTAATCTCAAATTAATACAATTTTTTTTATATTGTCGTGTCTCGTCATGTCAATATAATTAAAAAAAAAAAAAAAAAAAAAACGTTTTTTTCATTTTAAATAACTCGTGCAAATAAATTCTCGTTTATGCAACGAGCAATTATTATCCTAGGCCAACTTGATGCTGAACTTTTTAAATTACTTAATTAATTGCTTGCCTATTTGCCTAATCTCATTGTCTGCGATCGAATGATGCTGGCTGCCGGCCGAATCAAACTACGCTCCACAGGTTCGTCAGTCGTAGTCAGAGATAAGGTCGTAGTGAAAGCGCCTGCCGGTTATGCAGCGTGCGTTGCGTGCGCTTCGCACATTGTTCGCAAGGTGGCTCCGTGGGGCGCGACGCACGTACAGCGAGTTTTGGTATCGATTCGGAATGTGGGTCATGGCAACCCTCTAGTGGGCGCTTCGCGAACTGCGTGCAGAAATCTTGGAAGACGACTTCCGGTTGGTCAAGAGAAGGTCAGATGGATCGGTAGTCAAGCAAGATGACGGCAATATTTGTGTTCTTTGTAGGCCACGGAGCGAGTTGCCCGTCGTCGCGTCGCACTTGCGTCGCCCGCTGCTGAAGTCGGGCCGCACGCGCCCCCACGATCGGCCGCCTGGTAAGCGCCGCGGCCGCCCGTTTGGCCGCCTCCTCTCTCGGCCCGTCCTCCAAACACAATAAATCACTGCGACAGCCGCCTCAATTTCAGCCAATTTTCGCCACTTAACGTGCCCAGCCACGCTCCGCTGCCACCCATTCGCCGCCCCCGGGGGCCGTCTGCCCGCCCCCGAGCTGCAGAGTTGCAGAGCGCCGGGGAGGCCCCCAAGGGTCGCAATCCACACCTGTCAAACCCCCCTAACATAAACAATCACACAGAGAGGTAAAAGGGGGCGTTCCTTGAGGATCGCTTGTGCCGCGGCCCTTGCGAATGGGGTCACCCCTGAGGGTCCTTCCGCTCCTCCAAAGGGACCCTGGCCCTCTTTCTTTTTGGGCCTTTGAATGAACCAATCGATTTTGGCATCTGGCCGTCTCTCTGTGAGCTTTGGTGACGCACTAGACCTCGGTAGGTCGAACAGGTGCCCACCCACGACGACCTGCAGTTCGGTGACCACGACCCCCACCCCTGTTATAGCCGAAATTGTGTTTCACTTTTTTTTTTCATTACTAGCTGATTTCAAAGACAAAGACGCAAGCTATTGATTTCCGTCGCCTCTTTTCTTGCACCGATTGTATTTATTAATTAAAAAATTGAAAACTCAAAAGAATCTATTTTTACTCATTTGCATTTCAAAATATTATATTCTCAGCTAGTTTCAGAAAACATTAATAAAATATTTGGCCTGTAATGAGTTTTGAATTTTTTGAGATAATTTATTTACTGAAATAATTGTCATTTTCAATTATGCTGTCAACATTACAAATCAGTGAAATTTGTAGAATTTTTATCTTTTTCGTCAATTGTCCTTTCACCGTAAAATTTGCAAAATTGCAATAACAAAATTATACAAATTTCTTACCGTCTGAATTCCCTCTTTTTCCAGGCAGCTGATGGCCTTGTTCGTCTGAGTTTGTCACACTTTGGTCCTGTTTTTGGAACTGTTCTTGCGTGTCAGTTGAGTTTTTGCCGCACATGAGCCTAGTGTCCCGTGCGTGAAGATGGACCCTTCGATGAACTCGTGCTTTAACTTGGGCGGCCCGCCCAACATGGACATGTACAATCCCGCCTCGTGCAGTCTCTCGGACCCGACTGAGTCGGCCCTGCGAGAGTTCCTCCTCAACGAAACGGTCAACAACGCCCTCAGCATGCAGAACAACGGAGTCTCCGACATCAACGACATCCCCGACGAGCTCAAAGTCATGCTGGACGAACCGCTCTCTAGAGACTGGGTAATTATTGCATGAAAACTTGTGCATTATTTACAAGGAGTGAGTTTTCTCTAGAAATATTTTCTTGTTGCAGAAATTTCTTTAGGAAAATTATCAAATTGAAAATAAATTTCCTAAAATTATTCCTAAAAATAACCTACTTTAACCAACTTAACTTTACCTCGATATCATTCAAACTAAAACAGATTATTTCAATGCTGAAGAAAGTGTTGAACTTTGACCTTTTAATCATGCAGCATTTGCTAAAATATAGCCGGAATTGTAACACTGGGCTTGATTGCACAAATCCTTTAAAAATAAGATCAAGTTTCTATTCTAAGTTACTGCAATTTTTTTTTATATTTCTTTTAATTCAATGATAAAGTTAGTTTAACCCGGTTTAACCAAGAAATTATTTTTATACCACGGTTTTTCAAAGTTTTAAACAAATTTAAAGTTTTTAATTCTCAGATAATTGTTAGTGTGCGTGTTTTTTTCTGTTCTAATTAGTTTAGAGTAGTGTCTTTGTTTGTGTTGTAAAGTGTAAAGCAGTTTCAGGGTTTAATTTTTTAAATTTTGATTAGTATTCCATTCTTGAAAGCCAAGTTTTTCTTGCACAGTGTCAGTAAAACCACGTAAAAACCTCTTAAAAATTAAAGTTGTTGTTTTCACTCCCCTTATTTGTGGTATAAGTGTATCCTCCCTCAGAGAAAATGAAAAAAACCTCTGCCAAGATTCATTTTTATTGAAGAACAAAATTTGTGTGTTTGCGATAGGTGAGTCCAGGGAAACCTGAGGACCAGGCGTTACCAACCACTAGTCCACTTATTCCACCCAACGCCAGTCCAGCCGTTGCACCCAACACTCCTAACGCTCCCTCCGCCGAAGATGCAGCTTCTAATTATACACATGTTAATCACGTAAGTAAAACTCTGAAAACTTTCAATGTCATTTACAAAAAGAATTACATTATTTGGGAATAAGTACTTTTGGAAAGAAATTGAAAAGTTGAGTAGAATTAATAATTTTGAACACAGACGTAATCATGACATAAAATTTCAATTTATTTTTCACTACAGTTTTTATTACATGTTTCAGATATTTTTTTAGAAGCCTTTTGTATTAACTAATAATAACTTCTTTTAATTTTTACTAGAAAAAAAAATTAAAATTTTGCGTTTGTTTTTAATTCTTAGCAGATGCACCCGCATCAAATGATGACCACCGAGATCGACGCGCCGAGAGGTCGCGGTCGAGGACGAAAACGGACACGAGAGCCCGGTGCAGAGTCCGTCAGTCGCGGTCCTCCTAAAAAGCGAGGTCCCAAGCCTGGCATGAAGGCAGCTAGGATGGCCAACGTGCATTACTGCAGCCAAATTGCACCGGGCGACAACGGCATCAAGCTGAAGATCAAGAAGTTCAACTCTGTGCCTCTTCAGAAGCCTGTGAAGATGCCGAGAGAACTGACAAAGCGGAAAAAGAAAAAATACAAAACAAGTAAGTTGACATTTTCAATAAATTAACTTGACAATTCTGACTAAAGCATGTATAAAAGTACAAAAAGTTAAACAGAATCCTTTCAAATGATTTCCCTTCAATAAATTCTAGTCATGGTCACTGCATGTTTATTATATTTTTTAGAATATAAATCCAAACCGTGGTCTTGTTAATTCCTTAGTTTAATTGATTTTTTTTCATAAATTTTAGAGCGCAAAGACTCTGACAGTGATGACGAGTCATTCATGATTGAGGCTGAAGAAGACAGGTCGCAGGCCTGGGGAAGGAGAGAGGGACCCAAACCTAGCCAGAGTTTCAATGTAGATGAGACAACCGAGCAAGGAGAGGCCCAGTCAGACTGGGGCTGCAAAATGCCCGACGTCGTCTTGCTCAGAATATTCGAGATGGCCACTCAGGACGAGGGAACGCTGCCGTTTTTAGTGAGGTGAGGGGTTCAATCACTTGTTTGATCATGGACCATTAATTAATGCTAATTACCTATGTTAGGGCGTCACAAGTGTGCCGGCTGTGGCGAAATGTAGCCATAACTCCGTCGCTGTGGAACGTGGTCGACTTGAGCATACCACGTATCAAAGCCGTTCACAAAAACGACCACGTCCTTCGGTGGCTCTGTGAAAATAGACTGTCCGGCGCAACAGACTTGAATATCAACTGGTTTGCATTTTAAACTACATCTGGAATCACTTAACAACTTTTTCGGCACAGGTGGAAAGTATCCAATATGACTGCAATGCTACAGTTTGTGGTCGGTTGCTGCGGTGATAAACTAGAAGGGCTAGGCTTGGCAGGATGGGGTGGTCTGAAATCCGACCACTTGGAATTGCTTGCGCAGAGATGCCCAAAGTTATCAAGAATAGACTTGACTAGCATAAATGTGAGTTCTTGTAAAAGTGATTTTAGACTTCAGATTGATTAATTATTACAATATTAGATGGAAGTGAATCCCAACTCCAAGGCAGCTGTGTCACCAGCAGCTCTCTGCTCGTTTACCCATCAAATGGGTTTGCGCCTCACCCAACTGTCACTAGCCAACAATACGATGGCAGGTCTCACTCAAATTCTGAACTCTGTCTCTGAAAACTGCCCCGAGCTTCAGGTAATTTCACTTAGGACCTATATTATTATTGAAAATTTCATTTCATTTTTCTCCAAAGGTTTTGGATTTGTCGAACTTGAGAACCGCAGCCATAACTTCGGCCCAAATTCCACTAGAACTGCTTCAAGAAGGCTGCTCCAAACTTCGCGTCTTTAGAATTGCCAATAGTAATGTTTCGCTTGCCCCGTCTTCACTACAAGAACAGGTGATAAATTTAATCAACAGTTAAATTTTTTTAATTCTATATTTTTCAAAACTAGGCTCAATCGCCTGGATTTCCTGCCTTAGAGGAGCTGAGTCTTGCCGTCGACAAACGAGGTGGAAGTCCCCAAGTTAGTGACAACTCCATCGAGAGAATTCTAAAGACATCGACACAGCTACGGCTGCTGGATGTTAGAGGGTGCACTAGAATATCCGATTCAAGTCTTGTCCGAGTCCCTGCCTGGGACCTTGAGCATCTTTACCTCTCTGGTATGGATGGGAAATGTTTTGTGTAGATTGTATTTGTAACTAATTTAAATTTTTTAAAGGCTGTGAAGTAACTCGGCCGCCTGGAAGTGGACTGGAGCTACTTGCAAGAAAGTGGAGTCATAGCTTAATCGTACTGGATCTTGCTTGGAGCACCGCCACAGAAGCAGTGGACCAGGCGGTTTCTGCTCTTGCTGAAAAAGGCGAAGAATCCCCGTTGAGGTAATTTATTATTAAAAATCTTAAATAAAACATAATTCATTAAATTTAATTTTAGGAGCTTAAACCTCCTCGGCTCATCAGTTAGTTTTGGCCCTGTCAAAGAAGTCCTCCTAAGGTGTCCCCAACTGTCCTCGTTGAACTTGTCGTCATGTAGAGGGCTGCCCCGAGGCATAAAGAGAAACTATGAAGGCAGAGATTTGGACCTTCTCAGACAGAACGTTGCAGCAGGCAAGTTTGATGAACTTACTGGAGATGATTCTCCAAATCAAAACGCCTCCTCCCCGCAAGACGAAGCCCGATAGTAAAGTGAGGTGTCTTGAAGATTGAACCTTGCTTTGTTTTATAAAGCAATAACTTGTCTCCTTTTCGATTCTACGGTAGTTAATGTGATTTGAGGAATCGCGGCTAAACGAATCAAAATTCCAACTTCTCTCTTCAGCCTCCAGCAGTTCCTAGATTCAGATGTGCTCTTCTCTGATGACGAAACAAACTTTGATATCGCGTTGCTTGTTCAAGAGACACTGTTCCGAGTGATCCGTGAATTTTGTTGCCTATTTTCTACTGCTTTTTGTTTTTGATCCGTAACTGCATTCAAACTCGAGTGCTACTCCCTAGTGTTGTGAAAGATGTTGAGAAAATATTTATGAAGTCAATCATGTGAATGAGTGGAATTTGTACAAAAATGCCATAATGCTATGCTTCGAGAGAGCAAAGAGTTTTGTCTAATACTCATAGCTGATATGGGGGAATTTTTAAACGCGGAAAATGCATTTTTGTTGATAATTTTGTAAGCTCAAAAGTATTACATGTAAAATGTCTAGATTATAATCTGAAGTTTATCGCGGATGGAAAGCGCAATTAACTCTCAGAACCAAGGGATTTATTGATAAGAGCAAAGCCAGCTTTTCCATTATTAAAGAAAAGAGTCATCTGGGGAGGTTGAAAGTCTTACACTCGAGAATAAGCTCCTCCTTTGAGATACCTTGTGTTTTGTGCTAGGCGTAACACTAAAACCGTAAATGATAACTATAAAAATTAACGAGGATAATATTTAAAGATGAAAAAGAACCTGTTGATGTTGTTATGTGAGGGTGATCATTACAATGCTATTATAATTATTTGTTTTCTATGCTGTTATACTGAAATTATGATTATACACTGACCAAGTAACCAAGTGTCTGCTGCTGTTACTCAGAATTGAGTGTTGATTGTTTTTAGATAATTTCTTTATCATTTTCCAACAGCAATTAAGATACCTCTTTGATACCGACTGTCATCAACTCGGCAGTTGCATTCTTTCTCACGCCTGAATTTTTAGTGAATTCAAACGAATTTTCCTCTGGTCTTTTTTATTTCTTTTTATTTTATCGGGTTAATTCTCTAAGAACGTAAGTGCTGCTTACCTTGTGAAATGGAACTATTTCAGGAAGCAGATGATTAGCATTGATTGTGTTCAAGATTTCAAAGTCAGCACTGAAAATAATTTATCGGCTTCGACCATCACCTTATAACCAAAAATCTTTCGAACACCTATGAAACTTTTTACTTTGCCACTGAAAGTAGCATCAAGAGAAATCTTAGCTGATCCAAACAAAACACTCGCGACTGATTTTACTGTTATTTATTTTTCAACATGCACAAAATAATTTATGTCATCATGACCGTAATAATTATACTTTGTACGGAAATTTCTTACAGGACAGTACAAGTTACTTGGTAGCTCGAATTCGTTTTGTAGTCTCCTAAGGTTTCTCATAGGCCTAAAAGGAAGTTATGTAGTTGCCTATTAATTTTATATTTTTGTGCTTGGTTACTTGGGAATTTTTGAATAGTTCTTGTGTAAATACAAACAACAAAAACCAGCGGATACAAGGCGCGCCTTTAGCTAATTGATCTTGCGCGCCTTTTATTAAGGAAGGCCTTGAATGATAAAAAGTATAATTCTGTAAATGTACGATATTCGCAACAATCATGACGTGTTTTCGGTTTCCCCGTTTGACCGCAAGCTGCAGTGTTTGTTAACCCTTCGCGCCGATGTTCGTTCCGCTTGATAAAAAAAACGTAAAGAGAAAAAAATCACTTGCACGTTGACGTTTTTTGTGCTTCTGCTGCCGCACCAATCATTTTCTCCCAGAAGCAATACTCGGCCTTTTTCCTCAGACTGATCTATCTAATAGGTCTGGTTTTGCCCTCAAGACTCGCGAAAATGAGATTCTTTTGCAAAACTTTTGCAAATTCCGATGACCAGAGAGGCAGTCGCAAGATCGTTGTTTTCCGGCCTTCCTTAAAAAAACACATGAATTTTAACCAGAACAGGAAAATCCCTGCCTGCTTTTTTGTTCTTTAAACAGTGAAACTAACACTTGGAAAATCGGATGGAAAAACATTGAAAAGGCAAAATTTGTATTTTATCAAGATAGATAATAAAGATCTTATTAATATATTGAAAATATAAAGCTATATATCGCAAGAAGTGTAATTTTATTTTATTCCGATATACCCAGCTGTTAAGTTAATTAAAACAACCCTGATAAAATTGTTTAGGTATTGTTCAAAGTTCAAGTGGATCTTTTAAATACTGTTTTGCTTTCAAGCGCTCTCCTCTCAAAAAATAATTAAATCAGCCCACAAATCAAATTTCCCTCTAATCAGGGACCATACTATACTTTTCCGTCGCGGCCATTCTAGCTGCTCTATAGCCTCTATAGCATAGCCTTTCTTTTGCTGCATCTCTCCTCCATTGACCTAAATTCACGCGGGGGTGTATAGAAAACATTTTATCAATCGTCCGCTCTCCGTGTGTGTATTGATCCAAAACCCTAAGTCCGTGGGCTATTCAACGCTCCTCTTCCGACCTCGCGTATATTATTTTCTATAGCGAATAAAAAAAAAATAGAAGTCTGCGGCTACTCTGGCTCAGACACTTTTCCTCTAAACAGAAGGCAGAAGCTCAGATTTTTAAACAAGAGAGCAATTTTTGAATGGGTTCGTAATGAGAACAGGGGTTCATCTGGAGAGCCTTGGCGAAAATTAGGGCATTCCAAGAAAGAAAATCTGTTCGATCCATGCATTTGCGCTCATAGCGTTTGCGCACTCCTGACTTTCCCGAGTGCACCTTTGGCATTTTGCAACCCACTATCCATTCATGAATTAGCAGCTTGGTTTTAAACATTAGGGCCGAGCGTTTCCCAAAACAAATGTTCAAAATCTAACTGCCCGGAGTTGGCCAGGGTGCGGGAAAATGTAACACAAAAAGGCTGCGTGGGTCGAATTTGGCCATAAAATCGATATCGCCTTTTCGCGTTGAACCTTTCGCGCCGCTTTTGCACTGCTCGAAAACAAGCCGCGCGATTGGCAAACCTGCGCAGTAGCAAACTTACGTTTTTGCGCATATGCGCCATGGACCCTGCGCAGATTCACTCGGGCAAAGAATTTTTCGAAGTGGGCCGCTCGGAACATCGATAGGAAGACAAGTCAGTCAAGAAGGCGGAGTGGTAGGAGTTGTCGTTTTGAAAAAGAGGATTTTGGACTGCAAATTCGGCCAAAATGTCGGGCAACCAGGGGATGGAACAGCTCATCCCCATCGTCAACAAGCTGCAAGATGCCTTCACCCAGCTCGGGGTGCATATGCAGCTGGATCTGCCCCAAATCGCCGTGGTCGGAGGTCAAAGTGCTGGCAAGAGTTCGGTTCTCGAAAATTTCGTCGGCAGGTAAACCACCCTTTTCTACTGTTCGTCCTACGAATTTCGCTGATTTGCAATTCCCAACCGTCCGCTTAGACTGATTTTTGGGTGGGGGCAGATCGGTGACCGCCGGGGGTTGATCCAAGGGTCGCGCACCACTTGACGTGCGACTCCGTTGGCCCACGAAGGGGGTAATTATGGCGGATTTTCGCCTTTGTTTCCTGTCAAGTCGGCGTCAAAGGGTGTCGCGAGGCCCAGCTGGGCTCGGCGCTATCAGTGTGATAACGAGAAGGCCTTCGACTTCCTCCAGAGTCCCCGTCATTTGTGTTCCACAGACATCCCATAACAGACAATGACTTCCTGCTGACATTTAAATAGATAACAAAACCCACTAAACAGACAAATGTTTTGTGCTTTGAAAAAAAAACTGATAAATTTACAATTTTTTGCATTAAAATTCTGAAATTTATATGGACCTTTTGCGGCGCTAATTGACCACTGACTCATCTTCTAACCGTTCTTTCTTTCTTTTTTGCAACAACGTACGGGTGTGAGTCATAACAATATAATCCTCGAATCCGACAGAACTTGATAGTGGAAGTTTATGACAGTAGCACAAGAGATTTTCGCAATTGGAAAAACACCAGTGCAAATTTCAAAACAAGTTTTCAACGTCGTCTCTTTTATTATTCTCTTGTCCAAGCCGTACAAGTTAAGAAAACGTGTTAGGTTAAAAGAGTGCAATTTCTTTTGTTTGCGGTTGGGCAATCTAATGAATAAGTGTGCTACTTCACACTTTGCTAAATTTTGACTCAGTGGTTAGAAATCACAAACGATATTTTTTTTACAGAGACTTCTTACCGCGAGGTTCAGGAATCGTCACCAGACGGCCCTTAATTCTGCAGTTGATACAAGCTAATGTTGGTCAGTTATTCAGTTATAAATTATTTTCCAGAGAATAGAACTTTTATGTATGATTGTAGAATATGGAGAATTTTTACATCAAAAAGGACAAAAATATGCCAGCTTTGATGACATCCGTAAAGAAATAGAGGCTGAAACAGACCGAGTTACTGGATCGAACAAAGGCATTTCCAACGTGCCGATCAACTTGCGTGTATATTCTCCAAATGGTTTGCACACAGCTCTTGCTTGATCTGCATAATAAACTGAAGTTCAACTAATTTTTTACAGTCTTGAACCTCACACTGATTGATTTGCCTGGTCTTACCAAAGTGCCAATTGGAGACCAACCGGCAGACATTGAGGCTCAAATCAAGGCCATGATCTTCACCTTTATCCGCAAGGACAATGCCCTCATCCTGGCTGTTACACCTGCCAACACTGACTTGGCAAACAGTGATGCCTTAAAATTAGCAAAAGAGGTAATTAAAAATTGAGATGAAAATTAATGCGAAGTGTGCATTTGTGTATTCCATTCTGATCTTGAAATTGTTCCCTCGCAAAGTAGCAGTAATTGAAATAATATCTGTGTTTTAAATTAAGATTTTATTGTTATTATTTTATTATTATTTTGGTTACTTTTTAAAATCATAAACGCCTCTCTAATGGCTCAAAATCAAGTGCATTTTGCTTAATTTTTTAATTAAAGAAAATCATAGTTACGTGAAGAGAGGAAATAGAGTAAAGTTCAGTGAGAAAAACATTTTAGAAGCTCAATTTTTAAGATTATAATGCAATTCAGGTTGACCCTGGAGGTCTGAGAACCATTGGTGTCATCACCAAGCTGGACTTGATGGACGAAGGTACAGATGCGCGAGACATATTGGAAAACAAACTTTTACCTCTGCGGCGTGGCTACATCGGTGTCATCAACCGATCTCAGAAAGACATCGACGGCCGGAAAGACATTCAAGCCGCCCTTGCAGCTGAGCGCAAATTTTTCCTAAGGTGGATTTATACTTACATTTTTTGATTTTTATCTAACTGTCCAATCCTACAGTCACCCATCTTATCGCCACATGGCCGACCGAATGGGCACTCCCTTTTTGCAGAGAATACTGAACCAACAGCTCACCAATCACATCCGTGACACACTCCCTGGCTTGAGAGATAAACTGCAGAAGCAACTACTGGCTCTTGAAAAGGATGTTGAGCAGTACAAGCATTTCCAGCCAAACGATCCATCGATCAAAACCAAGGCCATGTTACAGTACGTGGAAAATGTTCATTATTCATTTGGTATTATTTTATTAAATTTTTTTTTTCTCTAGAATGATCCAGCAGCTGCAGTCCGATTTTGAAAGAACCATAGAGGGCTCGGGCTCGGCACTTGTCAACACCATGGAGTTGAGCGGTGGTGCCAAAATCAACCGCCTCTTCCACGAAAGGTTCCCTTTTGAAATTGTCAAAATGGAAATTGATGAGAAAGAGTTAAGGCGCGAGATTGCTTTTGCCATCAGAAATATTCATGGTTTGTCTGGATCTGTTATATTGTATCTAGTCCTCTAATTTTATGCTTCGACAGGTATCAGAGTTGGTCTCTTCACACCTGACATGGCTTTTGAAGCAATAGTCAAGAAACAAATTGCCCGATTAAAGGAACCCTGCCTGAAATGTGTCGATCTGGTTGTCACCGAGTTGTGCAATGTCGTACGAATGTGTGCAGACAAAGTATGCTGACGGCCATTTACTGGGATGACCAGTTATTTATTTATTGTTTAACATTACAACAGATGAATCGCTATCCGCGTCTTCGAGAGGAAACTGAACGCATTATTGCTACTCACATCCGAAACAGGGAGCAACTTTGCAAGGAGCAAATCATATTGATTGTGGAATCTGAATTGGCATACATGAACACCAACCACGAGGATTTCATAGGATTCGCCAAGTAAGTGATGTGTCCTGCGTTCTTGGAGCTTTGGGTTCTACTATTGGCGGCTAATCGATTTAAATTTTTTGGCAAATCATTCTTGCATTTACCTCAATCACCAGTCATCTCTCATCTGAGCTGAGGGATCAAGCTAATTCTCTTTTGTTTCTCCAGGTCCCTTGAGCCATTTGAATTGTTTGAACAAATGTAATGACACAATTTCCGCCTAGACATTCACTGGGTGCCGTATTGTGTTTCTACGTGTTGTTTGTTTCCACTCACACCCCCCACAAAGGACCAATAATACTATTAAGCCACACGGTACCAAGCTAACAAATTTTGTGCCATCCCTTGAGTGGATTTGAAAGAACGCTTTTTGATACATCCCCTTTAGTATTAATCCGCACCTGGCTAGGGGAGGGGAGGGGAAGTCAACTTTTGTTTGCTGACCATTGTAATTACAAAATCAATCTCTTCCTCTTTGTCTTGTACGCATATTTTTCTCTCAAAAAAAGAAACAAATACGCTTTCACGCTTTTTCTCAATCTGGCTACAATTTGGGACACTGGCCACATTTGGCATTACAAAAGTGCAAATTTTGCAAATTTGCATGTAGTTTATATTCGGCAATATTTATTTTCAATTTAAGTTAGCGCATTTTTGGCAGCCCTTAGTTTTGCTCCCAGTATTTTGGGTATGGCCAGACTTGCAGCTTTGCTTTTGATCCACTGGCCCTCACCAAGCAGGGGCTTCAAAGCTCCAAATAATACTGGGGGTCAACTAGGGCGGCAACCGAGTTTCACTGTTGCTCTAGTCTTGCCTCTGCCCCTCCTAGCGCCCAGCAGAGCACAGAGAACAAAGCAGCTGCCGGACGCAAGGTGGTCAACCAGGGCATTCGCAAGGGCTGGATGAGCATCCACAATTTGGGCATCATGCGAGGCGGCTCTCGGGACTATTGGTTTGTGCTTACATCTGAGAGTCTCAGCTGGTATAAGGACGAAGAGGAACGCGACAAGAAGTACATGCTGCCCCTTGATGGCCTCAAACTGCGGGACATAGAGCAGGGATTCATGTCCAAGCGTCACACATTCGCTCTGTTCCAGCCAGACGGTCGCAACGTTTACAAGGTACATTTAAGATTTTCACACTTTGACCAAACTTTTCATTCAAAAACTCGTTTAGGATAACAAAACTCTGGAGTTGAGCTGCGAGAGCTCTGACGATGTTGACTCCTGGAAGGCGTCATTCCTGCGTGCTGGCGTGTACCCGGAGAAAGCTGCAGATGCCGCAAACGGCGAGGAGGTAAGATTTAAAATGAGAATAGTAAAATTGATCAACTTCCCTGGATATATCTGACGACCACAATGAAAAATATATTTTTTAAGCTTTTTGAGGTGGTGGCCACTCAAACTTATCAAATAAATCTTTTTTAATATTTGGCAATCCTGTGTGTCCTGTGTTATAGGCAAGGGTAAGCAGACTCAAGTGTGTTCTCCATCTTCAAGTGTACCGGTGCTACCTTTTATATTATTTTCTTCATCCATATATGACTTCTCAACAATCATTTTCTGTTTTCCTTTGGACTGAACCGCTCGGCAAAACTGCAAGGAGTCTTTGTTAGAAGCTTGCTAGTTGGAGAAGGATACATAGAGCTAAATTCAAATTAATGTAGTTAGCACTTGGCGTTTAGCAGTCCGTTCTACAACTTTATTTAGTTGAGCCGTTTTCCAATTACTATCTTTCAGTTGGGTCAGGTCAGACTTTGGACCAAGGCCGCTTTTGAACTAACTTTACTTTTTTCTATTTGCTTGATTTTCCTCACTCTTTCTTGGTCCCGTTCTTTATATATTATTACTGATTCGTTTCACAACAGTTTTGCCGAGGTTGCCTATATCTTGCTCCTTCTATTATGCTACGCTACTTTTCTTTTTGTTCCTCGAGTGTTTGATTTTGGAAACTGATTATCAAACATGACCTCAGTTTTTATTTTTGGTTGACTTTCAAACCTTTCACTAGTTGAAGAATTCTGTTCTGTCCCTCAAAGTGGCCAAATAAGTCGCCACCATTTGAAGCCATCCATAATGTTTTGAATGTTTAACATGATCATGGTTTTCTTTTGTCTCTTGTTCAAAAGCAATAACCCTTCAAACCCTTCTTCCTCAGGACTTAAAAAGTTAATCTCTTAACAGTGGCTTTGGTTAATTTTTCTTAACCTTTTGACTTTTGATATTTAATTTCCTTTCCGAAGTACTCCGTTTCTTCAACCAAGTGAAAATTGAGCACTTCTTTGAATTGTAAACCGACTTGATTTACATCACAGCTTAAATTTGATGTAAAGAGTAAAGATTGATATTATTTTTTTTTTTCATGTTTATCTTCAAATAGTATACACACACTTTCAACGTACAAATTTTATGCAAATTAAATTTTCTCGTTTAATTTTCGTAATTTTCAAATCATTCAACTCCGCAAACATAATTTCTATAGAAATGAATCCGTTTTTTGGCTTATTTTATCGGCACCACTTGGCAGTCTCAGCACTAAAAAGTTTTTCAAAGAACCAAAAGTTTTTTGTTTATTCTCGTGAAGAGTGTATACCATTTGACCAATGTTTTTTTCAAATTGACATCGAAATGAGCAGTTTGATTGATACATTGTTTTTCTCTTTCTTATTTGCCTACTACTCGATCCTGCCACCTCCTTTCTGTACCAAATGCTCCCGAATGGAACTCAGGGTCATGAGGTTGGTTTTTAAGCCACCCGTAAACACAAGCGTTAAAGTTTGGCCCAACAGACAGTGGTAGTTCACTGATGTTAGGCCCTTGAGGCAGCGCTGTTTGTTGGTCCGACTCTAACTAACCCTGTAGAACGCATGGTTTCTTTGTTTATACTAGGCCCTTTGTCATGCATGTTTTCACAGAAAACAAAATGCTTGCAGATTATTTTTACATTCAATTGATTTATCAAACTTGCTCGAACTCTTTACCAATTGATGCTGACTAGCATTTTTGTTTAAATAGTTTTCAAGAGTGCACCAGCGATAGAACACTCATAAAAAGTGAGAGTATTGCTCGGCAGACTCTTGATTTAGAATAATGTTAATGTATACACGACCCTATACAGAATAGCACTTGTTTTGTATGTGTTGCTAATTTAAAAAAATTAAATTTAATACAAAATGAACCGTTCGATTCCAAACCAAAGAAGAACATAACATGATTTTCCAAATCACACAGAAAAAGTCCTAGAACAAATTTGTTAGTGATAGAAATCTAATTGTTTCTCTTAGCTGTGAAGCTAGAAATTTTTGAAATTGTTAATTTGGACTGTTTTTAAAATTCTCCATGTTTTCCAAGTGATTTACACTGCACCTTGTTTGATAGTGAGCAAACTAGATTGCCAAACGAACCGCTTCAGGTGCATTGTAGATCATGAGCCCCTAGTTGGCAGGGTACACACTGCTCCTCTGTTTTGGCTAATTGGCTTTTAAACTTCCCAATAGTGTACCTTGCAAATATGCCAAACTTGTTGATCAATCCTCTGATCGCTTTTCATCATTCGCTACAGACCAACACAGAACCCCAAGCTTCAATGGACCCCCAGCTTGAGCGTCAGGTTGAGACGATCCGCAATCTGGTCGAGTCATATATGGGAATTGTTAACAAGACTTGCCGAGATCTCGTACCCAAGACTATTATGCTGCTAATCATCAATAACTGTAAGGACTTCATCAATGGGGAGCTCCTGGCACACCTCTACGCCACTGGGGACCAAGTAAGATAAATTCCTGAAAAAAATTAGCAACTTCAATTAACATCTTTTTGTGCAGGCCTCTATGATGGAGGAGAGTCCTGAGGAGGCGCAGAAGCGTGAGGAGATGCTGCGAATGTATCACGCTTGTAAAGAAAGCTTGCACATCATTGGTGATGTGTCAATGGCCACCGTCTCGACACCCGTTCCGCCTCCAGTCAAGAACGACTGGCGTAGTGGAGGTGGTGGCGGAAGCATGGGAAGTATGGGCGGCAGCTTGGGTGGAATCGGCGGCAGTGCAGTCAGCGCTGGTTTTGACTCATCCAGGTCGGTGTTTGCTTTGAGAGCATAATTCACATTTGCATGCATTCACATTAAGATTTTTCCACAGGCAATTATTATGTCAGTTTAATAGAGAGGCTTAATTATTGTATTTTCCCCAGAAATCCTCTTAAAATTGTACCCTAAATAGTTTGATTTGAATATTTTTAAAAATAACCATAGGAAAAGTATTGAGTAATGGAATTAAGACTTCTATTAGTATGTATTGTTATCATTGATGGAATGCGCGCTCATAGTCAAGATCTAATCTAAATTATCCCTCAGAAAGTTTCCATAAGACACTGAAAGGTTTTCACTTTGCAGATACTCGCCTCCTTCTCCTGCGATGAACAGGTCGCAGCCTCCACCAGCACCAGCCGCAGCCGCTGGCAGAGCTCCTCCGACCATACCTCCCTCTGGTGGCAGACCCGCTCCGGCAATTCCTAATCGTCCTGGTGGTGGAATGCCGCCCGTACCTTCAGGAAGACCAGGTGGTGCCCTGCCACCACCACTCATCCCATCGTAAGTGACCGTCTAGCATTATTTTACTTCTTGGTGATGGGCAGGCATGCTTTTTTTGGGAGTGTGACTAACCTTTCCTTGGCTTTCAAAGTCAAAGTGGCTATCGAATTCAATTTTGCTTTTCGCCCACTGAAAATTTTACAAAGCTAATTAAGTGGGCTTTTTTCTAATCCGCACACCATGAATATACATTTTGCCCTGCTCAAAGCCACGCGTGATTCTCTAATTTGGTTTTGTTTTCACTCTCGACAAATTTTGAACCCTTGCATTTGTCTCTGATTGTTGCAGTCGACGCAACTAAGCAAGTCGTCCCCACAACCTTAATAACTTTGAAGCTAACCACTTCTACTTCTGCTACTACTGCTATTTCTCGATTGTTTGTCATTCTTGATACCTGCAATTAAGTGTGCTAGCTGTTAAAATACATAAATCGTTCAGGCTGATTTCGCCTCGGAACCGAGCACCTCAGTGCCCTTTTCAGGCTCACTCTTAGCATTGTCCCAAAGCTACTTGCCCAGTTGCGCCAATTGCGACTTGCTGTATTATTTTTTATTCTGAGCAAAGCCCAATTTTCATCCTTTCTGTGAGTGAGCTTGAAAGGTTACTAAAGTGGTGCTTGGTTCTTAGGCGCGGACAACAGCAGCAGGCTGGGGGCGCCTTTGGAGGCCTGTCACAGTCAATCCAGGCCGCTGGACAGAGAGCCCAGCAGGCGGCCACTCAGGCCGCTGCCCAGGCCGCCACCCAAGCTGCCATGAATGAACTCAAAGGGGCCTTCTTTGGGCGAAAATAAACACTTCCATTACCTTAAGAGCAGACAAATTGCCGTGCAGCTTCACTCGGAGGCCTGTCAAGCCTTGGTCGTTTCCGGTTTCTGAGCAATATTATTTTTTGCTACTTGTTTCGAATATCATTGTTGATTGATGAATTCGGGCGGTACGGTGTTTTTAAGTTGGCGCTTTTTGAGGCTACTGATATCATTTTGTATTTTCTTCCATGCCCTATCAATATAACAAACGAGGAGAAATATTTTTTGATTTGGAAAAGGCCACTCAAAGCAAGATTTTTCTCTATAAATGTTGTTGATCGAAAGATATTGTTATTAATGATAAATGTAAAAAAGCAAAAAATGTTACGATAAAAGAACCAAAACCCATGAATGAATACTAAACAAATACCAGTAAACATGAAATATTTAAATATAATAACAACTAACTAAGGAAATATGTGTAGTGCTCAAAATTGTAGTCACTAGGAGAAATTTGACGGATTTGGACGTTGCATTGCTAAACAAATAAATCACAATTAAGGAAGATTGTATTTTTAAGTAACACACTTGATGAGCAGTCCAAGAAAACGCAGAGATCTGAGACGTTAAAAAAATGATTGAAGCAGCTGTAGCAACGCAGTGTAACACGCCTAAATGTGACGTTTTAACACTCTCTTTTGATGTTGCACACAGATAAAAAAAAAAAAGAATTATAATAAGAACCGTGAAACTCAGATTTTGAATCCCCCGCATATTGTGGCAATATCAGTGTATGAATGTGCGATTTCGGAAGAGCTGTAGAAACTGCCCTAGCGTTGAATAAAAAAGAAACTACTCTGCAAGCAAACAACTACGAAACAAAAGCATTCCAAAATAATACTGGCCTAGTTATGTAGACATTCACAAGCAGTAATACTTACGCAGGTGAAACGCAAATAGTGAGATAATTCATTATAAATTGAAGTGTAGAACTTGATCCGTGTACCGCCTTATACTGAATTATTTCAGATGATTTGCTGCATAATGCATGTGTGAATACTGAGGAAAAAAATGAAGCTGTTTGTTGCTTTGCTAAAGGGGGACATGCACCAAAGTAAAATGTTGAAGCAAGTCAATTATTTCCGGAACATGTGTAGTTTTCGAGTCTCCATTGTTGATATATGTTGTTTTGAACCCTGGGATATCACTCATTAAGTGAGAATTGAAAAAGTATTCCGACGAAACTGTTGAATAGGGGTAATTTGATCGTTTCGAGTTCTCACATGGTACAATTCGAAGTAAGTGAGCGCAGTTTGGATTTTTGGCGCTCTAGTTTGATTTTTGAGCCCCCCGTGTATCAGAAATCTACATTCCAAGAAGTTGAACAAAAAAGAGTTTGTTTGTTGAGTAATTGCTTAGAGAAGTTTACTTATATATAGGATACTGAATTTAAATCACATTCAAATTAATGTGCATAAGTGTGTATAAATACTGTAATATAGAAACAGATCAACTATATATTTAGCCAAAAAGACGTATGTATTGCGATAAATGAAAAAAATACTGAAACGAGTAAAATGTAATCAAGATATTGACGGATATAATGGTGATTTTGATTATCAAAAAGAAGTCAGGTATTCAATGACATTATACATTATTCACCCTAAGTTAACAGCGTTACTTTTTACTTAAATTCAGGGTGCGGACGATGTTTGATTTTTAAAGGAGATCTTAGTTGCTTATTTCTGCTCAAATTGAGAAGTCCGAATATATATATTGTGTGCAACACACTATGTACTTGAGCATTGCAGTATCGTTAATTGAGAGTATAGATCCTTCATTGGAGAAATGAAAATTATCTTTATAATAATGGTATGCCAAAATTTCAAAAAGTGCTTGCTGTTGGGCTCCTCTTTGTGTTGAATGTCAAGTTCACGAGACTTTTTGGAATTTTTAAAGTATTCATTATCCATTATGTACAGCAAAATCATGAAAACTAATACGACAAATGTATAATTGCAGTTGTTAACATAAAATTGTCTGCCAAGACGCAAGTCTTTTGTGTTTGACTCTTTTTTTACTCTTTATCGACAAAACCACCCTCTGTGCAATGTTGCTTTTTATCCCTCTCACTTTGCTTCTGGCTTTGTCTCTAAAAACTTGCATGCTTGAGGAGGAGGATTTAAATTGAAAACAAACCGGTGAGTAATATTTGAAACATCGTATTTAATCCTTGAACGATTTGAAAAAAGCGGCGACTTAAATTCATATTCTTATTACAGACGACCTGTGCCGCACATTCCACCAAGACCACGGCCGTAGAAGAGAAAGTAATTTTTTTAAGGAGTGAATTAACTATGCGGAGGTTAAAAACGTTATTATGGGAAATCGCTTAATCCATCCCTAGTTAAATGGAACTCAGGGAACTTGAAATTCAATCAGCGACTAATTTATTGCGCCGCCGATAAAAGAATATAAGTATATATTTTTCAGAAGCTTATAACTATCGCAATGTGATTTTGAAAAAAAAGCAATAGCTGCAAGACAACACCAGTAAATTTAACAATTACGGCAGTTGAAATAATTATTCTTGTTGATTTTTGTTACTTTGGTAAGTTTTCTAAATTGACTTCAAAGAAATGTGAAATTTTGTGATCCAGTTTATTGCTTCTTGAGTACGCCAGCCGTACTTACTTTTTCTCATTTGCGTGACTCGCTTTATGTACACAAGTGTAAATATACTTCATTTTCATTCTATTATGAAAAAGCACGCTCATTCCCTAAATTCTTGTGTAAATAATTTTCCTCTCCATGCTCCATGGTGCTTGATTGATAAATATTGTGAAAGTGGGCGGAAATTTACCAAAGAAAACCCATAACTTATCGCAAACATTTGAAAAACTACATTTAGAAATGCATTTATTTGTGAACACATCCCTTTTTAATTGTTGTCATTTCAATTTCAAGCATATTCATGCTTTTAAATTTCATTCATCCTGTTGTTGATTATTGTATATTGGTATATATTTACAATTAGCTGTGTAAAGGAGAAGCAGAAGTCTTAATTAAATACTGTACAAAACGGTCCAAAATTAAAAATTAGTCGGATTGTGCATCATTATTAAAAACAGTCCCCATTGAATCGCGCACACTTGCCATTTTGCTCTTCACTCTCAAGTAAGCGGCTATCACTTGATCAACTGAAGAAACCAATTGCTCGCTGTTGCCAGCTTCAAACTTTTTGTTCAGCAAAGTGGCTTTGGCCAACACTCGGCTGTCCACTGGTCTTTGCAAACCAACGTCCAATGTTGCGTTTACCGTCCCCGAGCTGATGGTGCAAAAACCAAAGCGACTCATCACATCCTTCCCCTAAATTTGTATTGTTAAATTTTTCTGTTTATCAAGTTTTTTTTTGTAAAAATATAATACTTGTGTATCGGCTAACGAACAGCCCATGTCTTTGAGTTGAGGCGTTCCGCCTATAAAAAAGCGTCGCATCTCGACCACCCTGGCTGCATGGCTGTGCATTGGGGATGGAATAGGGCGCCAGGTGGGGATGGTCAGGGTGTGGTGACCAGGGTTTGTGGGAACGGCAGTGGCTCCGTAACCCTCAGTACAAAAACGCTGCCACCAGTCCAAGGAAGAAACTTCCACCACTAGTTTTGGAATTTCATAAACTAGAAAGAAATTTCATGTGAAATTTTTGGATAACTATATAACCTATATAATAATTAAAATACTTTGATTTAAAGGAGCTGAAATTTTAAATTCAATATACTGGTTGAAATGGGCGACCAAGATTTGTTTTCCTTCCCATCCACACAATTTCCTAGTTTGCTTGGCAAAGTGTGTTGTACCACATAGTTTATTTTCTTCGCTGCTAGTCCAACCTGAACATTTATATTAGCATATTTTCAGTAAAAATCAAAATTTCATGTAACTTGCCATTAGGGAGCAATATGCAGTAACTCAAGAAAAGTGAGTCTGCGTTGAAATTTTCAACAGTCGCGATTTCGCCTCTAACAAAAAAGTTGACCGTCGTCATTTTTACGCTCGCTTTTAGTAACGTGGAATGCTGATTTTAATCGATTGCCGCCACCCGCGTGACCAATAACACTACCGTTGCCAGGTGTTTTGCTTTCATGGTCTCAGTTGAATTGCCACCCCCGGCCGCGGGGGGGGGGGGGGGGGGTACACAGATGCGCCTTATTACTTCAACCAAAAGTAGCATAATATTAAATTTATAGGATCTCTCATCTCCTCACATAATGGAACGTTTCATTTTTTTTTTATCAATTTTAATTAAGATTTTTAATATTTTATTACTTTTTATTTTATAATTATATTAATGTGTCGCTATAATTAAAACCTTCCGAGTGCAAAAGCAGACGGATCCAATATTTTTTTATCGCCTGGATTTAATAGCTGCTTCAACATAATTCCAACAGCAGGCGCTTTTTTGAATCCAATTCCTGATAAAAAAAAAAAAAAAAAAATTAAAAGTAGCATCGCAAAAAAAATGTTAAGAATAATTTTTACCCGAAAATCCACATCCAAATGCAATATTTCCGTGGCCTGGAATTGTGTCCAATATGCATGTCAAATCTGGTGTTACCTGTTTCAATTTTGTTTTACATATATAATTAAAAAGTATCAACATTTTTTTTTTCCAAAACATACTGTGTACATGCAAGTTTCAACAATTGATGGCTTGCTCTCCAAGCCAGGAAAATTATCTTCTATGTAATTTGACATGGAAGCATAGTCTGGATGGCCAATATTTTTATCTCGGTCATCAGGATCTACAAAATCGCTGTACGAAGGATTGCATAACTAGATTAAAACGCATTAAAAAGTCACTCTTTCTTATTAAAAGACCAAAACATACTTTATACAAGCCTGGGTACTCTAGCTCGGGAATGCCCCAGAAATCTGCTTCGCCGCAATCGATGAAACTAGTTGGGATGGCCCCTGGGCCGTTTTCTTTGATTTTCCAGTAAAATACCAAAATGCGCAACGTCTGCAGGGGTAGTTCTTCAAAAAAAAAATAATTTTATCTCCTTAGAGTTCAGTTTAAATTATTGTTATTTACTTTTCAACAAAAGGGGGTCAATCAATTTTGAGGCCCAAGGCCCGGCACAAATAGCCAATTTAGAAGTTGACACTTGTGCCTCCTGGTAGTTTAATTGACCTTTAACAGTAACCGTCTCTCCAGGCACCACTGATGTCACTTCAAATCCGTCCCTAATTACGCCTCCCAATTTCTTGAATTTGCTCTACAACGAAATTGAAATTTTTGCCTTTTTTTAATTTAAATTACTTGAACTGTGGCCAGACATTTGTCAGCTCGCAATATTCCTGCTGTGTATTCAACGCATCCTCGGTGCCAATCCATAATATTCGCTTGGGGAAACTGTCTTTTGAGCTCATCGTTGGAAAGCTCTTTTAAATCAATTTTTACTCCAGGCTGTTTTTCCTTTTCTTTGTTTACACAGTCAATTATTGTGTCCATCTTTTGGTAGCCTTTTTCGTCTGCGATGAGCAACAATGGTTTGGAACTATTTAATTAAATTAAATATATTAATTAATAGTCAAGTTTTTTGAAATTTAAAAACTCTTACACCAAAAGTATTGCGCCTGACTCATTTTCCAATTTCTGCCACTCTGCGAACGCCGTCGGCATAATCGCAGTGTGGTAACTCTCGGGATAAGCATTTCGAATTATTCTTGTTTGCCCGTGGGAACTGCCGCGGCTGTGGGGAAGTGGGAAGCGCTCCAGAAGCAAAACCGACGGTGCCTTTTCCCATCCCTTTATTAATTGATACGCTGTCCAAGAACCCTCAATTCCTAACTCGATGAAAAATTATTTTTTCTTTAAAAAAAAAAAAGATGATAATTTGATATAAAAACCGACCTGCTCCAATGACGATGTAGTCGTAATGCTCCGCCATCCTGCCCAAAAATGACAAAAGAGAATAAGATGCGCAGCATCTGTGAGCCAAACCATTTTTAACAAGGTCAACGAGCAGACGGGGGCCGTACCATCTTAACAGATAAAAAATGATTCCCATTATATTATACTCTCTGCGAGACAAGTTGAACCGCTGTAAAATTGATTAGCCATTTTAGCAACTGTTATCTTAATAAAACTCGTTTATTTATTTGTAAACTGAAGGTGAATGGTTAAAGTTTATTCTTGTTTATTGAAAACCGAGACAAGGAAAACGGTGCCATGTCAAATATTTTTTTATCAGCAGGATTCAAAAGTTGCTGAAGCATCAATCCCACACTCGGCGCTTTTTTAAATCCACTTCCTGCAAAATATGATTATTATTTTTGTTTTAATTAGTGGTAAAGTTTTTATTCTTGCCTGAAAATCCGCATGCATAAGCAATATTATCACTGCCAGGAATCACGTCAATGATGCTGATCTCGTCAGGTGTCATCTGAATTTGTATTTTTTTTTAAAAAAAATTATTTTCTTGTATCAGAAAATTATTCTTGCCGTATAAATGCACGTCTCGGTGATGGAGGGCGTCTCTTCAATTCCTGGGAAGTGATTTCTGAGATGTTCGGCGAGTTCTGGTGGCACAGATTGATCCGCTCGCAAATCACGCTCGTCTGGGTCGATTTCGAACAAAATGACATTGCTGCTGTACTGTTTGGACAAAAATTTATCATGACGAACTTTTCAATTTCAAAATTAATGAAATCTTTACTTTCACCATATTTTTGTATTCGATTTCGGGGATGCTCCAAAAGTCTCCGACTCCGCGGTCCTTGTAAATGACGTCAATCGCGCCGCAGCCGTTTTCCTTTATTTTCCAATAAAACACCGGAACGCGGAAAGCTTTAACAGGGAGGCCTGAAATCCACAACCCCTTCAGTATTATTAAACTTTTAAAATTTCAACCTTTTATACTTTGGTTGCGCAAAAGCGGCTCGATCATTTTCTTGGCCCACGGCCCAGGGCAAAGCGCCACTTTATCCGCGGCCACCGTCACTTCTTTGCCTCTGAAGCTTCCATTGATTTTCACGATTCTTCCTGGCTCGATTTTTGTCACTGCAAATCCGTCCCGCAAAACGCCGCCGAGCTTTTTGAATTGGCTCTGAACGGCCAGCAAACACTTGTCGGCGAACAAAATCCCAGCGCTGTATTCAACAAAGGCGCGCCGATCTTTGGGGAAGATCGCTTGCGGGAATTCCCTCGCTAATTCTTCAGGGGTGAGTTCCTTGAAGGAAATTTTGCTCCCCGGTTTCTTCTGCTCCAATTTTAGAGACGCGATTGTTTTTCCTAAAACGTCAAATCCCGTTTCATCAGCCACGCAGAGCAATGGCTTCTGCCTATTAAGATAATTTTTATTTGAATGCAACATATTTTTTTTTTTTTTAATTTTACACAAAAAGATGCTCTCCGGAGTCTTTTTCAAGTTGGAACCATTCTTCGTAAGAGGGTGGCATCATAGCCGCGTGGAAACTTTCGGCGTACGCGTGTCTGATGATTCGCGACTGCCCGTGCGAGCTGCCGCGGTTGTGAGGCAAAGTGAATTGATCAAGCAGCAAAACTGAAGGTTTACTTTTCGCCCTTATTAATTGGTATGCTGTCCACGAGCCCTCAATTCCTAACATAAATTAAGATTTTCATAATTATAGGATAAAAAAATCAATAGTTAAAAATATTAAAATGATATATAAAATGTAACATTTCTAGTAAATTTGAAAATGAAGAAATTTGAAGTGAATCAGACGCGGCCTGAGAAAAATAGAAGATAAATTAATTATCCGATCCACTTTGAATCACTTAAATTCAATTCGTTTATTCTCTTACAACAGGTCAAATATTATTTTGGGGGAAAAAATTACATTGAAGAGAGAATTGGCAGCCAGCCCAAGTAAACAACTTACTAAAACTCATTCACTTAATTTGAAAGCAAAAGTACACAGCGTTGGAGTATAATAATGTGAAAATTAAATTTTTAAAGTTTCCATAAGTATAAAAAGGGTATCAATTGAAAAAATATCACTTTTATTTTTTAAAAGATGAATTTTTTTCAATCTTCTTGTCTTTTAAATACTTAAATTCGACTTAATAAATTTTTTTAATTAAGCATTTTATTAATCTAGCCTAGCACAAAACCAAACAATAGTAAAAAAATTACCTGCGCCAACTACTACATAGTCGAAGCGATCCATTGGAAAATACCGAGAATACTGTTTATAATTTTTTATATATTTGACGTGAAACTCGTCTGATGAGTGGGCACCCAAATAATGACGCGCATATTTAAGTAGAATCTCTTAGTCTTGTTCTCCTTTTTTATCGTTATATTCTTATCAACAAAAGTAAAGTACCTTTCCGTGCTTTGGTCAAAAATAAATTATCATCTTCTTTGTGTGTGTTCAGTTTCTTATCATCTTTTATTCGGCAGATTAGTTTATATAAATGCAAGTACGTGCTTGATCAAAGAGTAAAGGTGGGTCTTTATTCAAACCTCTGAAATGAAAAAGGCTCCATTGGAATTAAGTCGTCGTTTGGACCCTCAGGATTGAGTAGCCCTTTGAGCATAAGCCCGACGCAGGGAGCTTTCTTGAATCCAGTTCCTATTTATAAAGAGCAATGCATAATTTTTTTTTAACAAATTTGAATAATAAAAACCTGAGAACCCGCAAGCGTAGGCAATGTTTGGCTCTCCAGGAATGGTGTCTATAATGCTCACGTTATCAGGCGTTACCTAAATTTAAAATTGGTAATAATGAAATTGTCAAAAATAATTTGGAACTTAAATTTTACCGAGTACATGCAAGTTTCAATGATAGACGGAGTATCTTCCAACCCTGGAAAGAATTTCCTCACGTAATTAGTGAGGTCGTCATGATTTGGATGTGCGAAACTTTTGTCCCTGTCATCAGGGTCAGCCTCGTCTGAAGTACTGTGGCTGCAAAGCTTTAAAAATTCTTAAAATGTTTTATTTTTCCCAAATTTTCAAATTTCCTCTACCTTTATCATATCTTTGTATTCAACCTCAGGTATTCCCCAAAACTCTCCTGCACCGTGGTCAATGAACGAAGCAGGAATCGCACCTGGACCACCTTTTTTAACCTTCCAGTAAAATACAGGCACTCGCAGGGTTTTTATGGGTAGCTCTATATATTAAAATATTAATAACACAACACAATTGGTATAATAATTATGCTCAAAATTTAAAAATAACCAACTTTTTCCCAAAAGAGGCTCAATCATTTTCTTGGCCCAAGGTCCTGGGCAAATTGCAACCTTTCCGCCCATCTCCGTCTTTTCCACGCCCTGATGGTGACCTTTGACCTGCACTTGTTCACCGGGAATAATCGACGTCACCACAAATCCGTCTTTTATAACTCCGCCCAGTTTTTTAAATTGAGTCTAACATTAAAAATAATTAATTTAATTGTTTTAATTCATGTATACACGTACTTGAACGGTGGCTAAGCACTTATCAGCAAGTAAAATTCCAGCGCTGTACTCGATGCAACCTCGGTGTGTTTTAGAAAATGAAGCCTGCGGAAATTCTTTTGTCAACTCTTTGGGCGTCAATTCGCTGTATGAAATTGTGTTGTTTGATTTCGCCTGCTCCTCCTTCAGTCTAGCAATAGTGTTGTCCAAGCCCTGATAACCACTCTCGTCGGCCACGCACAAAAGTGGTTTGGATCTAAAATTAAATATCTTCTGTATTTTTGCAAACTTTCATATCAAATATTTATTTTCGTGCATAAGTAAATCAGTTTGTGCGTCTTTCTCAAGTTGTCTCCACTCCCTGAACGCCCGCGGCATCAGCGCCGTGTGAAAACTTTCAGGATACGCGTGCCTGATGATCCTGGTCTGCCCGTGCGAGCTACCCCGAGAGTGAGGAAGAGGGAACCTCTCCAGAAGCAATACCGAAGGCTTTTGCAAGTCCCTTATAAGTTGATATGCCGTCCACGAACCCTCGATCCCTGTTTCAAAATGTGCCAGAGTTTGAAGTGTAACTCTGATAAATTTTAATTTACCTGCTCCAACCACAATGTAGTCAAATTTTTCCATTTTAAATTGGATTTCAAAAGAGTTTGGCGGTGTCAACCAAAAAACCTTTTTTCTTATTTGAAGGGGGCCTGGCAACTGATCACAGGCTGCTGAAAACAAAGTGAAGCCTTTTCATGACGTAACTTTATATCTCGACACCACGTGACGTCTCCAAAAATTGTCAAGGACAAAAATTAAATAAGAGACAAGAAACAAGTTTATTAGCATTTTGGTGTGACCTCTGTCGGCCTCTGAATGGCTATAACTCTAATTCATATAATACTAGCCAGTATTTCATAAATAATTAATTTTTTTTTACAAAATAACGCAAAATAAATATGATAAATATATTAATTGATCAAACACAAAACTTAATATTTTTTGAACATTAATGTTTAATTAAATCTGAATCTATGTAAATAACCTAGTGTAATTCTTCAGGTTCCACACCAAACTCACTTTATCAAAGGAAGGTTTTATATTATGTTATAATGTTATTAATGAATTAATTCTTTTTGTATGTAAAATAGTCCGTCGTATATTTTCATGTTCAGGAGTTTAAGGAAAAAAATTAAACATTGAATTAGATTGATTTAATAAATGGCACAAACCGCATTCTATTTTAATATTACATTATTTTTCTGTTTTCGCGCAAAGTTGCAGCAAAATGTTTTTCGCGCTTTTAGGTTAGCAACTCATAGGCCCTCCATCCAACCAATCAATGAGGATGTTTTTCATCCCTTCTCCTGCACTTTCCCGCGCCGCCCGCCGCCCTTGACGTCTGGTCCAGTCTGTTGTTTGTCTGTGTCTATTGATTGTTTTTGCTTTTCTATTATTTTTAATTAGGGCATCTTTTACGATTTAATAACTTTTCCCGTAGTATTTCAATTTATTGGATTGTTGTGGCACAGTGGCAATTTCTTCTCGTCAAACAAGTGCCATGAATTCCGTAGCCCTGAAAAGAGTTTGCCCTTTCGACGATTTTAGCCCGCAAACAAAAATTTTCATCACTGAAAAAATCATGAACTCAAGATCGACTGGAGACAGGATCCAAGTGAAAGCTATACAAAGTTAGATCACTGATGATTTTTTTTTCAAAATTATTATTTAATGTGTATTTAATAATATTTTAGACAAAACTGTGGAAAAACTGTTCCAAGGTGCCAATAGGAAAAATCCTGAAATGAGTGGACGCAGCAATTATTTTCAGTGTCCTCACTCACTGCCACCTCAACAGCAAAGTCTGAACAAGAATGAGGCCCCCAAAAGATACAGACAAATGCAAATAAATTTTCAAGGAAAGCTGCTTGTTCCGATCTCACAAGAAAATATGGTAACATAGCAAATTTTAAATGAAAAGCATCATAAATAATTTCATTTTTGATCAGCAAATCGACAAAATTGAACCAATGGAAACAACAATTTTCGAAAATCAAAAGTGCTGCTTTTGTGAAGTGCAGCTGTCGTGTCCGATTTGTCTTCAAAATTGTCAGAGATGCCAGCAATCATTTTGCCCCCAATGTTGTCTCACCATGTAAGTTAAAAGTCTTGCTTGTAAAAAATATCGATTTATTAAGATATGTACATTTTTTTTAAATACACAGTTCTCAAGGAATTGAAGACAGAACTATGTGCTTGTCGTGTGTCAACTAGTGCGAATCAGGCTTCCGACTTTTTTTTTAAAATGCTGTCCATTGAAATGTGATATGTGGAAAATGACGACTGTTTTTAACCGAGTGAAAATCTGATGACTTGCATCATTCAAAGGTGCAGAAGATATAGAAAGTACTGTTTAGAAATATAAAAGTTGGTTTATTTACAAACAATATAATCATATCTTTATTTTAACACAATTTACCAAGGACAAGGAATGAGCACACTTTAAATAATTATAGAGGATGTTGAGTAACAATAATAGGTGCAGAATTTAAATTTTTTTGGCTGAAACCAAGGGCTGCACTTGAAATAAATAATTAATAAAGCAGCCGTGCTTTGGCCTCTCTGGGAAGATGAACGAACACCTTTGTAAAACATTTATAATGCATTGTGTAATCAATCCGGGCCTTCGGAAAAGAAGAATAATTGTATGTCCAGCCCATGTACAAAACCCTATAACTGTCAAGCATGCAGAATCACAGAATCCAAAAGTACAGGATGAATATGAAAACCACGATGGCACCCGCAGCCACCTTGACATAAAACGATTTTGAATTCAAATAGGCCGCATCTTTTTTATACTGCTGGGACATCATGGACAGATTTTGCGCTTTCGAATCGAGTTCTGAAATAATTAATTTATTTGACATTTCACTCTAATAGCTATTTTATAAATTCCTATACCTGAGAGCATGGTTCCTCTTTGCAGAACGTCGTCAATGTTCTGCACCATGATCCTCTGCACATCCTGAAGCTCTGTGTTTAAAGCGGTCAAATTTCTTCTCGATCTCGAGTCCATGAAAGACTTCTTTGCCTTCTGGATATATGTGTCTAAAAGAAATTAAGATGAAGGGTATTCTTGCAAAGTTTAACTGAAAATTTACCAAATTCAATGAAGGTGTATGGTCGAGTGACGGAACTCACTCTCCGTCCATATTGAGAGTTGAACTCCTGAGACAGGTCCTCGAGATATGAGTAGGCCAGTCTCTTGGAGAAATTTTTGTCGCACAGCACCAAAACGCAAACATCGTGTTCTATAAGATAACTGAGGACAAAAATTATTGTAAAATGGTTTAATTAATTTTAAGATGATCTTACTGGAACAAGTACGGTCCAGTCTCAATGGTGCATCTGGGAGGGCTCTGGTGGTTCAGCTTTCTAAAAAGCAGCTTCGCCTGGTTCTGGTATTCCAGAATATTTCTTCCAGACTGAAAAAATGTATATATTTATCAGAATTAATGATGCAACTATGGATAAATTGGTGATGTGGACAACGTCAAAATAGACTTTTTACTGCGACATACGAATTAAACGTCGCATTGAACGGTGCAGAAATGTGACATTACCTGCTCGTCGTCCTGCATTGTGGCCGCTAGAGGAAGCCCGTCACTTACTCTCGCTATCATAGTGAGAAGAATCATTTTTGGGTCGTTTGGTCAGTGCAAAATTAAATTAAAATGTGACACAACTACGACCTGGACACCACTTTTGAGCAGTCGGTTTTATTTTTGCGTGAAACGAAAAACAGCTGCAAATAATGCCAACAAAACAAAATTTTTTAGAAATATTAAAAAAAATTTTGAACAAAATTTACTGTGAATTTATTTACAATATTTATTTTTTATTTAATAAAAAAATTTTATTTTATAGAAAATATGTACATGGAGAATGCTACCAATAGTTTATAATTATTCTGTTTGATAACTTTATACTGTTGGCGTACAAAGTATGATGTGGCCCGATGATGAACAAGGCGGCTCTTGAAGGATCGCCGATTCGCTAAAATGTGGACGAAGTGGGCGTGGCAGAAAGCAAGAAAGACTGGACGACTGAAAACCGTATTCAAAACAAATTTTCACGTGTGTGTCTTGTTCTTGACGTGTTTCGTGTCAGGTACGAAAATTCCAATAAATTTCCACTTTTTTACGAGTTGCTTTATGTTTTATTGTTATTTATATTTCAGAAGTAGATAATGGCGTCGTCAAAGTCGACTGTCCGCGCGGACAGCGAGGTGCACATCACTTTCGAGGAGCAGCAGAAAATCAACAAATTCGCACGGCTCAATGCACGCCTCGATGAACTGAAGGAAGAACTTTCGTCCACGAAAAACGATAAGAAGAATCTGGAGGAGGCAGTCGAGGCGGTAGACGAGGTTGAGCTCCTCGGTGAAGTTGAGGAGATTGCTTACTCCATGGGTGATATTTTCCTGCTGCAAAGTCCGGAGAGCACAAAGGACATGCTTGCTGAGGCCAAGGAAAAGTTGGAGAACGACATCGAGAAAATCAAAGCTGGCATGGAAAGCACAAAAGAACTAATGAGTGATTTGCGCACCCAGTTGTACGCCAAGTTTGGTGACAATATTAATTTGGAGGCCGATGACGACTAATTCATCAATTTTTCTAATTTAAAAATTTTGTTTCAACTTAATTCTCTTAAAAAATGTTCTAATTTCAATGTTTATCAAACTATACTAAGTATGTAATTTGTTCAATTAAATTTAATTCACCATTTATTTACTGCTTTACAAATTAAAAAAATTTCCACCTATGTCCATTTCTTCGTCACTTTCTTCTTCAATTCTGCAAATATCTTTGTACTCGGGGATATCCAGTCTGGCTCTTTTCCTTTCTGATTCAGCTCTCTCCTCAACTAGTCCGTCAGCCGCGGGCAGAACATCCATCTCATCTGTAATTTTCTCAGCCTGTTTCTTTTGGTCCTCTATCATACCAATAATTTCTTTATTTGCCTCTTCTAAGAAATTAAGATCAAATCAGTTATATATCCTGATGAAAAGAAAAAGACCAAACCTAAAGTGACCAGCTTAAAACTTTTAGTAAATTCTTGCGGCACTGCCGTAAAAATGGGAAATTCAACCAAGGTGTGTCCCCTCAGATTTTCTTGCAATGTTTTCTCTGGATCCATTTTAAAAAATCTGAAATATTCAAATAAAAACTTAATTAATTGTTCTGAAAGAAATTCAATAACAATACCTGCTTTTAGCATCTTTGATATTTTCTGCTTGCAACAACATGTCGCAAAAATCCAGTTTTGCACCAAAGCCATCAACCCAGTCTCCTTTTTCCTGACCTAAAATATTTTGAGCGCAGTCTTTCAACATTGTAGATTCAGCTATTTTATTTGCTATCGCCTGAAAAACACACAAAGCTGTTTATTTCGAAAATTTTACAAAAGGTTTTCTTGCAGTGAGAAATTACCACTTTGTTTTCTCCTTTGCTAATATGGAAGATAAACTGGACTGTCCATTCAATTTGCCTTATTTTAAAGTTATGATAACTCCGGTTGATTTTCCTTCTAGTGAAGTGCGAAGGCATGAACCAAAGTTTCATGTCCCTTTTATGGGCAGCTTCTCTCAGGTAATGCAAGAGCTACATAACAAAAATAATCCGATTAACTATTGTAAGGACTATAAAAAAGTTTTAATAAAACCTTAGGGATATCCCCCGGTCTGTTTCCTTTTCGTTTGGCTGGATCTCTGCTATAGGCGTCTGCAGAACTGGCAATTTCTTCTAAGAGTCCATAATCTGCATTATGAAAATAGTAACAATTCGCATAATTATTAAAGATTCCTAATACGCAATTTGGAAAGTAAAAATGTCAAAAATCATCAAATTAAACATTAAACTTTATCTCACCACTCTTGAGATCCATGTCATTCATCTTCGAAAGAGGTTTGTACGCAGTTTTGCTCCTCAATCCATCACACCCATACGAATTTTTGTGTTCTTTGACACAAGCTACAGAGCAGGAGTTGATTTCGCACCCAGGACAAGTGTATTTTGCTGGCAGAGAGTTGCAAATTTCACAAACACCGAGCCTGCAGAAATGAACATCAACATTAGTGAGTGTAAGAAATATTTATGACGTATAACAAATAACAAGCAGATGATGCAAGTCAATTACCTGCTGTCCATTTCCACATTGATCTGATATCTCACTGCTACGTTTTATTCTTTGAAAAGTAGTTTAATTTCAATAATTCCATAAAATAAACACACGTGTGATGCTCTTGCTCCTCCGCGGCAGCTTAGGTAGTGTAGCCAACAAAACAAAAATGTAGAGATTAAAAATTTGATTAACCACACGAAAATTTTATTCTTAAATGTAAATTAATGTTCATCTACAAATTGAACAACTGGAAACATTCATATGTAATGTGATTGCTATTAAGATTTTTTAAATTTAATTTTCTACGAATTTATAAATTATAGAAGTTTTCCGAATTTTATTGTACACAAACACAATTTTAATTTATTGGTTAAGAGTTCATTCTCTGTCGGCAATTGAGTGGAATGACTGGAATAAATGCTCTTGGTCTGATCTTAGCAACCCACTGTTCATCATGACCTTGTCAATGTACTTTTGGGCATCGAGCCCCACTGAGGATGTCGACAAAACATCTGCTTGAATCTCGTTTGAGACAAACGATTGGATGCCTCTGGTTGGCACTTTTACTTCTTCCTCAGGGTAATCGAGGGATTCAGCTTCCAGGGGAGAAACACCAATGACGTCAGTCAAACGAGGATTATCCTTGGCTTGGAAATCAAGACCGTTGTTCAATATGTCTTGTATGATCCTAAATTTTTTGTAATTATTATAAAAAATTGTATTTGGTAAAATTTATCTACCTAAATTTGGCCTTATATTTGTCTTGCAATTTTCTGTTTGTCTTTTCCAAGCCAGCAATGTAGATGTGCGCCTTCTTGAGTTCATTTTCCAGATGGTTTTCAAGATTTTTGCTCAAGCTGTTTTGTTTATTCAAAGTAGGCAAGTTGGCAATCAGCGCTTTTTGTTCCTCGATCATCTTTGAGTAATTTTCTTGCAGTTCCTGCCTCTCGGATTTCAGTCTGACAATTTTGGCTTCAGCAGTGGCTAGTTTCCTCTCCAGTGCCAAATGAGTTTTGCATTTCTCGTCAAGTTTGCTAAATTTTTGTAATTGAATACAATGAGATAGTGACAGTATTAGTGAATATTACCTGTGCAAACCGTCTCGCTCCTTCCTCAATATCTCATAGGCAGTCCTGCTTATCTGGTCTTTTGGATGTTTCAGAGCTTGCTCGTTAGGGAAGAATTCAGGCTGGCGCTTTTCATAAAAAGGCGAGGAATCATTTGGCAGACGACTTACGACATCCTCAATCATCCTAAAAACAGCTTGTTCTCGCTCTCCTACAATTTTTCAATTAATTTTTCTCACATTCTGATTTTTTTATTATCAACCTTTGGGTTTTACTATTGAGTGAAGTTCCCCGAGTAAGAACTGCAAAGTCCGAACTGGATTCAACACTGTGAGAGAGGTAACTTCATCGGTCTCCGAAGTTTTGTCACCGTTCGATTCCCCATACCCGTGTCTTTTTCTTTCACTCTCCGTGTTCAAATGTCCTAAATTTTGGCGGTGGCTTTGATGATGGTTGTCTCTCTCAGGCAGCACTTGGATGTACGAGGCAGGGTGCTCACTTTCGCTCAAGATCTTGCTCCACGTCCTGCGAGAAATTTGTGGCTGCTCTCTTGACACATCCTTTTTGTGCCTTCTGTCACTTGACAGTTTTATGGGCGCCTCACGCAAGTCGTTGTCTAACCGTTTGCTGGGAGGAGCTTGCCGAGGCAAACTCCGGCTGCGTTGTTGCTCCTTCTTGTTCTTCAGCAACAGGTGCAGGGTCATGTCTATTTTTTCGTCATTCCCGTTGGCCTTGTTGAATGACACAAGACCCTCGACACTTGGCATATAGCGTCCATCTGAATTCTTCACTGCGATAGGAAAAGAGATTTTGCTATTTTCAGCCTGCCTAGGCCGATGTTGTGACGACATGACAAAGATCTGAACAGGCAGATGATGAAACAATAAACAAATTTGATTGAAAATTCCACAGAATATTCAAAAAGCTTGACTCTACATACGTTTGTTTTGATATTTTAAAATCTTCAATCTGTTTTCTGTTATTATTTTTAACGGTGGTGTGAGTGAGTGGGCGTGGAAATTTTTTGTGGGTAGCCAACATGACAAAATTAGCGCTTGCGTTGCGCGCGAGAATTTCTCCGTTCGAGTGTTCGGCATCCTGAATCGTACGCAAATAAAAGAATTAATTATGTTACTAAAACAAGCTCCAAGCAAACAACTTATTACTGTGTTGGTCGACATATATGTTGAGCAAAGGAAAGCATAATTATATATGTACTCATGAAACTCACCAAATATTCAAATATATTAAGCAATTATCTATGTACTATTAAAAAGAAACTTATTGTATTAACTACCCAAATTTTAATGAAGAGATAATTAATTTATTCAGGCGTCATTTGTTAAACGTTCGCCCAAATAAAAATACCTACATAAAATTGTCTACAGAATATTTCTAGAACAGTGATTTGCATGGACATCTTGTTGGTGAGCATATGTAATATCTGCCTTAACAAAACGCAAAATAATTATATTCAAAATATAAAAATTATCCTTCAGTCACAAAGTTTATTTGACTTTCATTAAAAATAATGTAATAACAGCAAAAATTTCACCGTCGAAGGCTTAGAAATTAACTTGAGCTCTAAAGTGATGCTGTAGCTTATTTGCTTTAACTCCAATTTTCATATTGAGCTTGGCCTGCGCTCTCCTCATGAACTGAATATCCTTGGTTTTCCTAAAATTAATAGAATGAAATTAGAACAAATGCATTAAATTTCATTAATTAAGATACTTCGCAATCGCTTCTCTAGACGATTCCATGTAACCTATGGCTCTGTAGTTGGCCAAATACTTCTTCGCTGGTTTCACAAGCGCCAAGGGTCCATGGGGATTTAAACTTTGCCTGCACGAAAATTAATTGATTTCATTAAATTCAATTCTACATAGCACAATAGGAACCTGTAATATTTGAAAAGTGATCTATGTCCAATAGTGGCTCCTGAGGGCAACGTCAACTGGAAGTCAGCGCCATCCAACTCAGGTAAATCCACCTCCATGTCTTCTTCGCCCTCCGGTCTGTCAGGGTAGCTGGTTGTGTAGTCGTAAAAGTCGATGAACTCGGCTAGGGCCTCTCCCTCGTGCTTGACCTTACAGTGACCCTTGTCCCGCATGTGCTGCTGCGTGGCCTCCAAGGACCAGAAGGCCTTGTTGTTGTTACTGCACCACAGACACATGAAGCCTTCCTTGACCTTTGACCCCAGGTACTCCATCAGACCCCGAAGGTCGGAGACAAACTCAAAGTCGGGAACAAAGAAGGAATGTGCTTCGGACATGTGCTTCAGGTTCTTGTAAATGGTCGAGCTGTGGTGTTCGCAGAAGAGACAGTCTTTGACTTCAATCTCCAGGTCTTCCCATTCGTCCGAGTCCACCTCTTCGACGTCCTCAACTTCCTCCTTGGCCGATTGCTTCAGGGGCGCCAAAGACTCTTCGGACTGAGTGGCGACGTATTGGTACTCGGCCTCCTTGTGCTTCTTGCTCTGAAGGTGGTTGTCGAAGGCGTTCTGGCTGCCGAAGGTCTTTCTACACGGTTCGCAATAGAGTGACACATCCTCTTGTTTGCTCTCGGCGGTCTCCCTGTGCTGCAGGACGCGCCGCTGGAAGTCTTCGGCCGTCACGGGTGGCAGCTCGGCGATCTTCCTCTTCAGATTGTACCGATGCCAGTCGGTTTTGTAGTGCAGACGCTGGATTTCTGAGTCTTGAAAGGTCACTCGGCAAGAAATACACGTAAAGGCGGCCGCCATGCTTGATGATGTGATTTTTTTAATTTTATATTTCCGCTGCTGCAAGCAACAAGAGCTGCAAGATTGGCTGCAACTGCTGCAAGCATGGCAAGCAAAAGACACGCCCACATTTTGAAGCCACACGTTGTGACGTCACGAGAGCGTTCATTGGAGCAGCGGGACGAGGTGATTTTTTTGCCTAAGATTGGCGGAAATTTTATGAATCTGCTATTTTTTGTATTTTATACTATTATTTACAATAGCGATAGTACATAATAATAAAAGAATCATCCAAATATTTAAGGTCGAATTTTATTCTAAATATTCTATGTATTCAAAATGCACCACCAAACAATTTTAAATTAATGATGTAAAAATATAATATAAAAACTGTGCGTGATACAAATTTTTTCTTTCTTATATTTTCATAAAATTATCTGATCATATTAATTATTTTAAGATTATCTGTTTATTGGCTGTCGTTGTTTTGTTTCTTAATTATTTTCACATTCTTGTTGCTTTTCACAAACAGCGTAAGTGCTGTAGGAACAGGCGTAGTCCCAAAGAACAGAGCTGCGAACAAAGACACATGTTTCCTGTCCGTCCTTAAAGTCATTTGGGTCGCCGCTCGTGAAGAGATGCCATTTGATTTTTACTCCGTCGTGCCAGAAAAATTCACCTGCCTTGCGATTCATATCAGTGCCGGAAGTGTGGTACCAATCTTGATTAATTAAAATTTGCATTGAATATAATAAATCATTGTAACGCTGGCGGCACACTGACCTGCGTGAGGCGCCGCTTCAGACACAATTTGTATGTCATCCATAGTGTTCAAAATTGCCAGTTTCAATCCTTGACAGCCACAATATTTATTAGCTTCGTCCCAGGTAAATTTCTGCGAAATATAATTTGTTAAGATGAAAAAATAAATCATTTGAGTTTTTATACCTTTTCAGTGAAGAGATACGATTTGCCATTTTCAAGCGTCTTTGTTAAATTTTGTGTAGGCCCTAATTGGAAAGTTTTTTTTTTAAATTATATTATAATTTCAAAGTTTTTATTTGGAAATAATTGTTTCGGTTTTTCTCTCTAAAAACTTTCCTAAATATGTTACCTTGAGATATTTGTGTACCGGATTTAAATTGGTCCACCTTTATAGAAAAATTAAGAGTATTGAAATCAAGACAAATTTTTTTTATCAAATTTTACCTTTTTTGTAAGATATTCTATTTTATCCAATAAAGCTGCATGTCGCTGGTCTTGCTTTCCTCTGGAAAGCTAAAAATATTTTATTTGAAAATAGTTTATGTAAATGCTAAAATTTTTGCTTCAATTTTTTTTACCTCTATTTCTGTATATAAATCAGCCGTTATATTAGACTTTATATTCTCCAATTCAGAGCGAATCAGCTCGCTGTTAGATTTGAGCAAACGCACATGTTCCAAAATTTCGTTTCCTCTAGTTAACATCAACTGCATCATGTTCTTATAAAAAATGTAAAAAATCAATTTGAAACATGGACGTAAAAAAATAAGAAAACCTCGCAATTTCCAGATCCCATCTCAGCAGGTGCTGACCACGAACCCTGCTCTTTATTGGGTGCTCTCTGAGTTGTCCAGGTTTCTGTCATTGCTGACCACTTTTCAGGAACTCCAGCAATATTTGGTCTTATTATATTTAATTTGATGCATTTTGTTTCTGCTATAAAATCTTAATTACTTATGGGCTGAAGACCAGCCAGCATTGTTTGGTGCAGGGCGCTGCTGTTCGCATTTTATATCCGACGGCAAACTTTTCCGAAAATCTTCCAGCAGCGCCGAGAGCTTTTCACTCGTTTGCAATTCAACGACGGCGCCTGCAAACCTTCTACTAATGTGCGCCAGCTCATTTAACCTTTTCATAGAAATAAAAAAAATTGAAAAATTAATAAAAAAAATACATAATAGTTTCAGTATATTAACCTCGCACTTAACAAGTGCTCCGTGATTTGGCAGACATCAGTATCAAAATCAGGATGATATTCCTGCAATTATATGTACAACTTTATACATTCGACTGTTGAAAAATTAGATTTTACCAATGGCCCGACGTCAGCACCAACAAAGCAGAACTTGATAACAGCTATAAGCAAAATTTCACCCAGCTCGACCATTCCAGTCTTCATCATCTTAGCGACTGATGCTTTGCGTGGATACGAGATATACTCATATAAAAAAAAATGTTAACCAATAGTCATAAATAATGAAGGCATGCTGTTTGCCTTGGGACTGTCATGAGTGGCTAAAGAAGTTTTGCTAGCCTTTTGACAACTTTTTTTTTTAATAATTCAAAGGAGTTTTTTTATTGGAAGAAAGATGCAGATTTGGTGTTTGTGGAATTTGGTACCTTTATTGAATTAAAATGGTTACATAGAGGACACTATAGTTAACCAACCAATGATACATCGTACAATTTCTAGAGTAATGAATATTCGTGTGTCGATTTGCACATCTTGCAGTGATTAGTTTAAGTGGCTTCAAGACACATGCACACATTTCTCATATATTTTTTATTTCATTTTTTTTTTATTACATTTCCATATTTTCTTCATTTATCGTAATAAAATGCGTCGTTTAAAAATGGTTACAAATGAGTGGCCAAATCTCTACAACTCCAACCACACTTATAAAAAAAATGAAACGACGAAAAGTCAGCTAATTTTTGTCACGGAATCTTCAACTATTCAAGTGTTTATGTGCAATAATTGCGATCGGTTGATAATTAATTGTAAGTATTACTTTTACACCCCTATTTAAATTCCCGTCGCGGCATTTCGAATGAATGCTTTGTCTGCACATTGATTTATTTTTCTTGAACCTGTCCAGTGAGGAATTAATGCGAACAATTTACTTTCCATTCTTCTGACCTGTTATGATGGTCAAAAATTTATTCTTTTCTATTTGACAGGGCAAATTGCACATTAATGATAAAAAATTCAAACGTTATAATAGGTCACCAAATCAAAATTGGAAAATGCTAGTTCCAAAGACAGACATTTCATTATTTATAATTGTCTGTCGATTCATTTCCGATTGCGACTAAATTACAAGAAGTACATCGGCCAACGCTGCAAAAGAAAAAAACTACAGTACGTAATTAAAACCCGATTGGAAAAATTACAAGAAACAGTCGCAGTGGAAAAATAAACAGCTTGATTGCGTTTTGGCCGAGTTTGCATATTAAAAGGTGCCAGGTCTCATAAAAAAATATGACAGAGACGCAGGCTATGTTGATCATAATGGTATAAGTTTGACCTTATCAGTAAAACAAAAGACAATTCTTCCATTTGTTAAAAAAATTGAAATAATATTTAATTTATCAGCCGCACTATCTATGCCGCAAATACTTCAGCCTACGTCAACTTTCCTCCGATAAAAAAATCTAGATGAAAATCCCCAGGCGCAATTGATTAAAATCATTGAACACCGAAACTAAGTGATATTTACACAAGATGTCACTTGAATGTTGTGATTATTAGTAAGTGAGGGTCCAGAGGTGTCTTTTACCCTCCTGAAATCCAAACTTACCAACTACGAACAGACACTCGCCTCCTTAGCCGCCGGCTGCTCACTGGCCTGCTGCGAACATATGTTAGTGAAAATTTCAGAGCAAGTTACTGTTTGCCGCGGGGAGTCAGAGCTTAATGATTTTTTTTAAACATTCCGTCCCATCGACAGCATCACACCTGCTCTGCATGGCCAGTAACGCTTGCCAAGGCGGCTGCTTCCATGCTCGAGTCCAGGGGACGTCCATTCAAATCCTGCGACTCCTGTACCAGGGACAAGTTGGACGAGTCGTCTAAGATGGAATTGGAGTCGTCGCCTCCGCGTAAAACCATTAGTTCGCCGTTGCCCTGAGGGTGTGACAAAGGGTCAGTTTTGTGCAACCAAGCAAAAGGTTCAGGTTAAAAAAGGAAGTTACCTGGGAAAGGCTTAAACCGCTTGAAACAACTCTTGCTATAATTTCTCTATATTTTTATGTACATGCAAAGCATCTCACTATTGCACCGAGATAAAATTAGCGGGAATGAACCATCCACCAACCTTCTTAATTTGACCTTTCACCAAACCATGATTTATTAATGCGCTGCAGCCCATGCAACTCACATTTCCGTTTCCAGTACGATTGTTTGTGATCGGACCGTCGATGCTGCCCTCGGACTTTCTTCGTTTCGCTGGGCTCGGACTCGATGCAGCATTGGCATTGTCGGTGCTGCCATTGAGGTGAGAATTCACCAAACTCGTGCTTGACTGAACAAAGAGAGCCAAATTTGAGAAAGGTTCCCCTGACGCAATTTTTAATTCATTTAGGCCACAAAATGAAATAAACAAAGGTAAAAAAAATCAGCACACAGGAGGAGACGAAAAATAGAATTTCATGTATTTCATTGAGAATATTTAACATTATATCAGTCAACAGGGACGTTAATGAAATACTATTGGCCTTAACAAGAGACTAGTAATATTCTTGACTATCTTTCGATAAGACTATCTTCGTATACCTTTCGTTCTCGCTTCAAAGCGCCAGTCACTGAGACAGGCAAATACTGGTTGAGTTGTTTCCTATGTAAAAACATCTTAAGCACATATGCATAAGGATTTAAATTTAGACTTTACCTCTTTACGTATTTAGCATCTATCTTTACACCATCCTTTCCCATTTTCTGAGCTTGCCTATCAACCATGTCAGTGAATGCTTTAATATCAACAGTCAAGTCTATGTTTAGGTTTTCGGTCTTCGCAAACTCTAAGCCAATGAACCACATGTTGCAGAATTTTTCCCTATGAAAACTGCAATAAGTATATTTCAAACATGATTATTTTTGCTCAGCAACTTACGGAACTGTATCTTCGGGTGGTGAGTAGCTTTTTGGGTTGATGTGAGCAATGGTGATGAATTTGTTTCGCTCCAGATTGCCTATCAAATGCCTAATTTTTGACTCAATCAAGCCGGTGTATTCTAGCAAATCCTCTGCACTATTCGCAGAGGCAAGCAGAACAATGAAGTGCCTAAAATTTAAAATTCCGCATAAATTTCCATGGCGTCACGCTGCAGGATTTCTTACTTGTATTTGAGGAAGAATTTTGGAGGCTCAAAGAGCGCATCCCAGGTGGACTTTCCCTGCATTATGTCGTCGGTGATTTGCAAACCCTTTTTGAACTCTTCTTGCATGATGGTCCTCGTGGAGAGAGACACGTTGAATGTCGAATTTTGTTGTGGGTACGCAGGAGTGATGATGGGCATTTGGTGGAAGCGGTCAGCCACATTGACTCTAGGATCCCAAACAGGGAACCCAAGGTTGACAGAGTCGGGTTGCTTGAGGAGAACGGGCTGCGGCCACTTCCATTGTGAGAATACAAGGAAAAATTTGCTGACGAGAGTGGCCGGTGCTGCGTTGGGATAGAGTTGGCAAGTTCGAGCCACCAACATGGCCCACGAAACACCACCTAGAAATCCTAAAGCGTTGCTGTAAATACCATGTCCTGGAAAAAGAAATCAAGAAGTTAAAAAGAATGTTCATTTATTTGATAAAAAGATTTAAATATATAACACTATTATTGTCTCACTTTTTGCCCACAGTTTTATAGCGCGAAGGGTCAACCTGAAGGAATCTTTGTCAGGGACCAGTCTAAGGATTTCATCTGTGACTCGACAGCCGTTAAGGCTTCTCACGCATTTTTGATCCAAATTCCGCAGCAAAGTGTCGGCGTGCAAATCCTGGAAAGAACCAATTAAATTACTCAAACTTGAAACATTAACTTCACATACCATGTCGTCGGGGATTTCCCTGAGAGCCAGCCGAGCAAACAGCATGTCTATTTCAACTCCATCAAATTCCATCTTGATCACAGGTACGAAGGCATCCTCAACCGCCTAAAATGTTTTAATTTGAAGGATATAATACGAGTTGGAGTGATTTTTTACTCTGAGATCGGAAACTTCGGGCTGGGCCTTGAGTAGTTCAAAGAATGATGAAAAGTAATCTGATCGCTCTACATGACGAGGAGCCACGCAAAGGGCGTCAATATCAGCACCCTTCTGGTGCACCCCGAGCCGATAAGAACCAAATGTGTAAATTTTCCCACCAACCTGTTTGAATACAATTTCAGTCTCAAGGTTTTCAATTTTGAAATAAAATCCTCACTTGTTCTGCAACATTTGGGGGCATGTTCTTCTGTATCGATACATGCTTTATCCATTCTTTGACCAGATTATTGAGCTTGCTCAATATTTGCATTCTGAAAGCAAATCGTGAAATCATAAGAATCTACCAGGTGGTTATTGGCAGTCACAAACCGATGGTCGAGTTCCGCCTCCGTCTCAAACACATCATAGGGCTTGAGGGCTTCCTCCAGTTCCTTGGTTCTCTGGAGGTCGATGGCCTTGGGAAGGGCTTGGCTGATGGCAGAGGTCATGCCAAGAGTCTTCTGCTGGGAGGCAGACTGGCTCTGGGAGTTGCTTGTCGACATTCTGCCAGGAGTGGCAAGGACTTTATCAATCAAAAATTTCTGCAAGCACTCCTTCAAACAATGGATGTACCTGGCAATCTTTGTGGCCGTTGCACTTCATGAACATGTTATTGGCTGCCGGGTTTAGCGAGTCACTTTCTCATCGTTACATACCGTTATTGACATGGTCGGCTCCTGAAAATTTGATTCGTAAATAACGTCTACTTTTTAATAAAAATAAAGGGCGGCGTTAGCAACATTGAAGTTTTGAGTACAACAACATGATGAACAAGAATAGTCCAGAAAAAATATAATCTAGCTGCGTATGCAAAATTTCGCTTTGTTTTGATGGCGTGTTTTCCCAAACAAACTTTCAAGAAGCCTTGAACCGCCAAACTTCAATCCGGATTTTCAGCGCAGTTTCCGAAGGAATTTGCATGAAATCTGCATTACCGCTGAGTGAATCTAGGTTGCTTACCATGTTTGGTGAACGGGGGACCGCAGTTACGGAAATTATTGCCAAAAGTTGCTTAAAATTTTTATAGAATTTCGTAACACCGACTGAAGGAAAACAACTGCCAAAAAGCTAAACGCTAAACATGGCGCTTCAAGACAAGACTTCTTCATGCGTTCATTTTTGGAAGCAAAAATCACATTTTGTGAATTGTTGCAGGGGCGGGGCCAGCCAAGGGCCAGCGGGGCATTACTTGGAGTGTTGTTGATAAAGGAGATAGCTCGCAAATGTTGTACTAACCTAAATATTCTTCTCTTTGGAAATTATTGCAATCAAATTGATTTAATATAAGCAATAAAATTTAATGAAATATTTAAATTAAATAATTATTTTCCGCTGTTTTAAAATTTCCTGTTTTTAATTATTTTCTTAACTCCGTTAATAAACGTCACCACAGGTTTTCTCGCTTTTTGTTGGTTTCACCGGTTTCACCCAACAAGTTTCACCCAAAGAGGTTTCGCCCGTGTTGTTGCCCGTGCCCGCCCGTGCCCAACCCAGCCCGCACCAAAGCACACCATTGCCAACTTGATGCAATCAATTTTAAATTAACATTAACCACTTTCTAAAAAGTAATGAACGTTACAAGAGAAAAAAATATAATTGATTTATTAAATCAATTAAGATTTATAATAAATAAAAATCGGGAACTTCTTTTTATTCCTATACATTTAAGAAAATAAGATCAAAAATATTTACGTTGGCAACCTTTTCGCGGTCCACGACTCTTGACGACTCCACGATAAAAAAATAGAAGAGTCCTCAATCGCATGGCTTTGAAAAGTTTTCTTGCATGCCAAGGCCAGGACTTTTAGTTGCTGTTAACGCTGCGCTGTGGGGGCTGCGCAATCGTTATCGTACCACCAGCACCAGCACAATTCACCACGTGGTTGTGGAGGAAGCAATTTGTTTTTATTCCGGTTCATTCGACGATTTTGAGAGTTCTATTTAATTTCTGGCTCTTGTTGGATTTCATTTTCCGTTGAAATGGCGAAATTGTGTTTAAGTAAGCCTCTAATACTGCAAGAACGAACTATATTCATGTTTCCTTTTTTTATTTCAGAGAAAGCAAGCAAACGGATCCAAGCTAGCAAAAGGTACAAGATTGAGAAAAGGGTCAAAGAACACAACAAGAAATTGAAAAAGGAAGCCAAAAAGAGGGACAATAAAGGTTTTTATTAAAGTCTGCAATTTTCATTAATGGAAGATTAATTTTTCAATTGTAGTCAACAGAAAACCAGTGCAGATTCCCAATATTTGCCCATTCAAGGAAAAAATTATCGCTGAGGTTGAGGCGCTGAAGGCGCTCCAAGAAAAGGAAAAGGAAGCTAAAAGAGAGCAAATGAGGGAAGAGAGAAGTAAGCAAAAGGAAATTTTGGCCAAGGGTGGACTCGAGGGTTTGGTGAACAGCGCTGAACAAAGAAACAGCAAACACGAAACGGAAACCAACGAGCACACAGACTTCCCCGGAATCTTTACAGACACGTCGGTCAAAGCTTTCTACAAAGAGTTCAAGAAAGTTTTGAACAACGCAGATGTCATTTTGGAAGTTCTTGATGCTCGAGATCCTTTGGGCACCCGATGCCCAACTGTGGAGAAAGAAGTTGTCGAAGGCGCCGGCAAGAAATTGGTCATTGTCTTAAACAAAGCTGGTAATTTTTATATTCAGAATGAAATAAGAATTAATTTATATGATGATAAATTTAAGATTTGGTTCCGAGAGAAATTCTGAACCAGTGGTTGAAATATCTTCGACGCAGCTTCCCAACTGTACCTTTTAAGGCAAGTACTCAGCAGCAAGGTCAGAAACTGAGCACTGGTGGAGGAAGGAAGAGGAAAATGGTGTCCACACTAACGCAAGCCGAAATGGAAGGTTCGCCCTGTGTTGGTGCTGAACTCTTGATGAGCCTTCTTGCTAATTACTGCAGGAATAAAGACATCAAGACAGCCATTACTGTAGGCATCGTTGGTCAGTTTTTACGATTTCCAAAATTTGCATATTTAGACCATTATTCACTAGGTTTGCCTAATGTGGGAAAAAGCAGCATAATCAACAGCCTCAAAAGGGCAAAGGCTTGCAACGTTGGAGCTCTTCCAGGAATTACGAAGTAGGTTTTATTTTTAGATGATATGAATGTGAATTAAATTAAATTATTAAGGACCATGCAACAAGTTCAGCTGGACTCAAGGGTCAAGCTGTTGGACAGTCCTGGAATTGTCTTTGCAACCGGAGACATGTCTGATGCTTCGATTGCCTTAAAAAATGCTCTTCGTCTGGATAATCTGCAGGACTTCTTCAAACCTGCCGAAGCAATTCTGCAGAGGGCTAACAAGGACCAAGTACAACTTGTTAATCAAAATCGTTAAAGTTCAAATATTTATGTCAAACATATTTTAGCTGAAATCTATTTACAACATTGACGACGACTTCACTTCTGCGGACCATTTCTTAGCCCTGATGGCTAAGGCAATGGGTCGGTACAAAAAGGGAGGCGTTCCCGACGCACGGGCAGCTGCCAGGACACTCATCCATGATTGGAATACGTAAATAATTAATTATTCTTTAAATTTGAAAAATACCAAAGTTTGATATTTAGGGGTAAAATCAAATACTACGTCCTTCCTCCCGAAGAAACCGATGAAGACGTACACATAAGGTTCGTAACAAAAATGAATTAAATTTTTTTTTTTATTGAAATGAGAATTTCAGCTCTGCAATTGTGAAAGAACTGGCCGAAGAGTTTGACATCAATCAGATTGCCAGTGTTGAGAAAACAACCATGAACAATTTGGGCAAACTTGCTCCTGACAGTGCCATGCCTGTTACGTCGGATGGTCCTGTCACTGCAGTTTTTCCCGACCTATCGAAGATCGCTACGGAAACGGAGGTGCAAATGGCCGAAGTTGATGAAGAGGAGGATGAAGATTTTGAGGACATGGAGGAAAATGATGAGCCAAAGGAACTTGTAAAGAAAAACACAATTTAGATTCATAATAACACTAATTCAAAAATTATATAGATTGCTAAGAGAGTGAGAGTCGTGGCGACTAAAAAAAGGAGGAAGGGCAAGGCCGGTGCAAAGGGCGAAAAGGCTGACCCTACAATGGAATTGGAGGGAAACCTGAAGGTCGGGAAACTGAAGAAGATGCAGTTTAAGAAGGCCAAAAAGGATAAGAAGAGACAAGCGCGATTGTCCAACAAGATGGAGTGAACTTATTTAAATGTGAGAAACCTCCTATCAATAAAAATTTATCAAATATATTAATTTTATAACACAGTTATTTTAATAGGTTATATCTACGATCTATTTACAACATTATTAGATTTTAAATGCGCAGCTAATTTTTAATATAAAGCAGGCTGGTGAAGCCTTGCCTCTCGGTCCTTGTTGCTGACATGCTCCTTCAACCTGTTCATGATTTCATTGTCAAACTCGGCAGGTGTTGGCTTCACACCTAGAAAAAAATTATTTGCATGCTGCAAATATTTTGCATTAAAGTTATATTACCAGAGGCCCAGTAGAAAATATCCCAATCGTTTGATGGTAAGTTAATTAGACGATCGTAATCCTGCAAAGTTTTTTCGTCCATCTGTTCCAAGTATTTTGCTGCGAATGTGCTCAGAAGAAGGCCGTTCTCAGACATGCCCCTTTTCCTGGACTGGTATAGGAGTCTGTTGGGTTTGAAATAATTCAAAATTTTCAATATTTATAAAAGCGGAATTTAATATACCGTGCTTTCTTCATCTTGATAGGTTCGTCAATTTTTTCTTGATAAGGAGGAATGAAGGGTTCTCTGATGTCGTCTGGTTCCTTCATATCAGTGAGTCTGGGAGTCGTTGAAACAATAGTTCTAATGGGAGCTCGATACTGTAAAGAGTCAAAATTACAATTTCTTTTTCATGTACACAATGTGTTCTTGTCTAGGATTAAAGAATAATAGAAAATTTTAAACTAATAAAAATTAAAAAGTTATGTATTCGATGTTGATACACACATAAGGCCTTGTTTTAAATATGTATAATTTTTAGCTTCTGTTAAAAATTAAATATATATTTTGTTGTTATAAACTTTATTTAATATGTAACACAATCATTATAATTATGCATTTTTTATTTTTATAAATTACATACAAAAAGAAGTGTTACGTAAGGCAAAGGTTTTTTGATGTTCCTATAGAGAATGCAGTTTCGGATTGAAAGATAAATGTGCAAGTTTGAAACTTAAAATTTTCTTTACTTGGAACAAGTCGTTTACGCCTCTAATTTCCAAATATTACCTGCAATTTAGCGAAATTCCTCGCTGCTGTTAGCAAAATCCTGCCATTGAGCGCCATTTTTCAATATTTATTTTTTTCAATCTTCGGTGACGCCCCTTTTAGATCGTCGTCTGTTTTCGACCTCACCGCATGGCGTGTCACTCGGCATCCTCGGCATTTTTCAAAAATTACTAAAAATTAACCTTTTTCAGCACACAAGTCAGTCAAAATGAGCGTCCCTGTAGTCTTTATTGACATATCTCTCGAGGAGCAGGTAAATTTCCACAACTTCCCCCCTTAGATGAGGAAAGCAAGGACTCCTGCAAAAACTACCTGGCCTTATGTTTACACGTCTCGTCCAAATTTTTGAAAGATTTATTCAATTTTTCCTTTTTCAATTTTAGGCGCAAGAGCTTCGTTCTTACATGAAGACTCTGGGTGCGGAAATATCTGAAGAAAAATCTCCGAAGGGCATCGAAGACGATTTGCATAAGATCATTGGCGTTTGCGACTCGTGTTTTAAAGACACTTCCGAGTCGGATGTGGAAAAAACACTGAACAGCATCGTTTCTATTCTAATTCAGCTTCCCAATGACCGGTCTGAAAATCTCATCTTGGCATTTTGCGAAAAACTGACTAAAGCTGCAACTACTGGAAAGTTGAGCGCCATCACATTGAGAGCGTATAATTTCAATTTCAATTTTGCACATGAAAACTACTTTAATAATTAATAGGCTGTGGCTATTGTTCCAATCTCTGGAAGAGAGTAGTCCTATGCGCTATCACGTCTACTGTCATGTGATCCAAGCTGCCAAACAGCCAGAGCATATAAAATCTGTATTCCACAATGTTGATCAGCTGAAAACTCAATTTGGAACTTGTGTTCCCAATAACGATCAAATGCAGAAGCTCCTTCGACTCCTGCACGATGTTCTTCTTAAGTGCAACCAGAGGTATAGAGTACTTATATAATCAAAATTTTAATATTATATGTTAAATTTCTTGAATTTCGATTGTAGTGAACAAGCTGCAAAAGTAATGGTGGAGCTTTTGGGCACTTACACATCTGAAAACGCATCTCAAGCCAGAGAAGATGCTCAGAGGTGCATCTTGGCTGCATTGGCCGATCCAAGCACCTTCCTTTTGGATCCGCTTCTTGCTCTGAAGCCTGTGAGATTTCTCGAAGGACAACTGATTCATGATTTGCTCTCAATATTTGTGTCAGAAAAACTACCTAGCTATCTGAAGTTCTATCAAGACCACAAAGAATTTGTCCAGTCACAAGGTGCACAGAAAAAGAAAATATTTTTTCACTCTTTAAAAAGTAATACCAGGATCTTGACAATTCCTCGCTTTATTATTTTGGGCTAGGAAATGTAAATCTTGGAAAATTAAAAGCGGTTCGTACTGGCTCGTATTTATGTTTTAGATACGTGGCCATAAGAATTGCGACATTTTAAATTTATTTTTTGTCTTTTTATATATTATATTCTTTGAGATAAATTTATATAATTATTTTTATTTTAGGGCTGAATCATGAGCAAAACATGAAGAAAATGCGGCTACTGACCTTCATGCAGTTGGCTGAGAGCAGCAGCGAAATGAGCTTCAGCAAAATCCAGCAGGAGCTGCAGCTGGAGGATGGACAAGTTGAATCATTTGTAATTGAAGGTATTTCGGTATCATTTTTCTCCGGCAATCTAGTTAATGTATTTTTTTTTCAGTACTGAAAACAAAGTTGGTGCGAGCTCGTATGGACCAGTCGGCCAAGAAAGTTTACGTGTCCAGCACAATGCACAGGACGTTTGGAAGACAGCAGTGGCAACAGCTGAATGATTTACTGCTTTCATGGAAGTCGAACCTCCACATGATCCAGGACAACATGAAGCAAGTGGTAGTTGCTCAGGCTGAGCAGTAAGCGATTTCCAATATGTATTTAAGATTCTTGATTTAATAAAGCCTGGTTATGTTGTAAGTTCTTGGAAATGTTATGTTTTTAATCTAAGGCACCTACCAATGATTCTTAAAGTATAGGGCATTTTCTTTTAAATTGAAATATAATTTTTTATTTAAAAAAAATGATACCACTTTATTTCATGCCAATTACAGTATGAAAATTATACTGGGGCGTCATAAGAGAATATCAAATTGGGGGCCTACAAATTGATGGCTGAGGAACTTTGAAACAAGTTGGAAAACTTATTTTTAACTTGAAAAATTGCTTATCTAATTAGTAACTCTGGTTTGATGTTAAAAATTTTGGAGACACTTTGTGCAAACACCCAAAAACAACAACTGCAAATTATGCAGAAAATAACAAAAAATAGTTTCTGTACTCCTCTAAAGAAAATGCAGATTTCCACGATTAATGGCAAAATAACTCAGCTGCTGTCTAAAATGTAATATTACTTGTTTGAGCATATCACACCCCGCAAGTTGGAAAACCAGACATAAGAAATGATTATGTGTGTATCTTATTGGAGCAGCAAAAATTACAATAGCACGTTGAAGCGGCATTTTTTGTGAATTACACAAGGTGACTATCTGTCTGAGCTAATACTATGCAGTAGGGAGATTATAATCACAGTTGGGTACTGAAGCGAGGTCTGGGGAGGTCGCCGAACACGTTGTGCTCCCCATGCACACTCTTGGCCAGAGCTTTGATCGAGGCCGCAATGTCCTGCGGGTCTTGAGGCAAGTCCTTTAAAACCAAAATTATAATTAAATTGAAAAATAAATTAAAAAATAAAAACTCACTCTGGGATTCTCTTCATCATCATAGTTATTTTGGCCAGCAATGTGCTGCTGATAGATCGGAACGGTGACCGGCAACGACCGGGCCAAGTTGCCGGCGGCCACGGTGTGAATACGTTGCCTCGGGATGTGTATGCCTTCGTCATGGCTTCCAGATTCTGAAACAAATTAGATATGAGACTTCATGTCAAGCAAACTAAAAAAGTTTTGAGTTGTGTGCAAAGTAACAGAATTCTTGGTAATTATATTAAGAAGCCGCAGATTGAAGCAAAGTACAGCTATAAGAATACCCTAAGCAACAGCAGTTATGTTGTTTGTGTACACATTTACTGTAATGACAGAATCATAGTTAGAGTCAACTACAAACATTGAACAGCACAGAGAATTGCATATGTTTAAGTTTATGTAAAAAGCAAGGCAACGAAGCTGTGCTGGAGATAGTAAATGTGCACCATGATAAAATGCCAACTACCTAGTAAGATACCTCTTAACAATCGTACGACTGTAAAATACAAAAGCAGCATTTTAAAATGAGTGAGCAATGGGACGACACAATTTACAGAAATGTATATTTTTGAAAGCAAATAGCAAACTTACCATCAGTGTCATCAGTCTCATCCTCCGAATGCAGAGGCTCTTGCGACGGCTCGTCCATTCCTTCCAAGTCAAAAAGGCCTTCGGTGTCCAAAGAATTTTGCACTCCAACTCGCGAGCTGCGCATTCCAGGAAGAACGCCAAACTTGGCATCACCCATTCCAGCAGGCACCTTATTCAACAAACAAATATTATTTATAATGATATAAAAATCGTCTTCAATTTCTCAGTATGAAAATATATTATTTTAAAAGATTTAATTCAACTAAGAACTGTTACTAAAATGTTAAATCACCATAGACGGAATAGATTTCCTAGGTTTGTTCTGGAGATTTCCTTTTGAGAGAGCTGCAGGTTTGAAAGAGGAGAGCATCGAGTTTTCCAGCTTGACCGATCCGGCCGCCTTTTGTGGCTTCTGGGGTGGCTTGGTGGCCGCCAACGCCTCCTCTTCCTTCTGCAGTGCAGGACAAGCTTTGAGAATCTTGGCCAGCACCAGCTGATCCTCGTGGGCCGTTTTGCGGAAGATTTCGAGCTCTGCATACTGCTGCTCTGAGAAGAGACGGATTTTCTCTTCGACGAGGGCAGTCTGCTGCCTCATCGCCTCATTAAGCTTCTGTTGCAGAGCCATTAGGCCAGCTTGAAGAGGGCCAATAGGGTGGAGGGCTATAAGAGAAAAAATTTTAGTATTGAAAAATTCTAACTTTTAGAAGAAGTTTTTCTTCCAAGGTTTAAAAGTAAGATGGATGTAATCAAAGGTAACTTAAAAAGTGAAATTTGCAAGCTAGAGTAATTTTAAAGCTGTTTGTATGACTTAATCTATTAATTATAAAATTGTAAAACCTGAATTTTTAGTTTCTATTTTGTGTTTTCAAATATTTAATTCTTGCCACCCAACGATAATACTTCTTTAAATTTTTTTATCTTTAAAGGAAGATTAAAATTTTTATTTAATCCAAGTCAAACCTGTAACTTTGGGTATGGTGGTCGAAGGCTCTGGAGAGACAAGGTCTCCGTCTCTGTTGACGACTATTCTAAAGACTGGAGAAAAGGCATCGTTGTTCCTAAGCGAGTCGATTTGCTGCGGGTCTGAAAGCAGTTCTGCGTTTACAATGACACAGTTGCCGCGCCTCTCCTTGTGGATGGCGTGCGTGTGTGTCTCGCAGTTCAGGCACTGATGCACCAACCACTCGCCGGTGTGTCTGATATACACCAGGGTAGCCTGTTCCTTGTTGATCTCACCCAACTCCACTGTTCCAATGGACTGAAATCAATAATAAAAAATACACCGATCAAAAGAAGAAGAAAAAACTCTGGTTTTGCAATTGATTGAAATACGGAAAACATTCGACACCAAAATCTAATGCAAATATTAGTAGATAAGTAACGCCCTTGGGAATATTCATTATTTGCTCAAAAGAACAAACGAGAATTAATTAATAATCCTTGGGAATAACAAATATTTGTCTTTCTTGTGAGTCATTGATTTTTTAATCTGATAAATTCTTGAAAAACTGATTACTTATAATGGAAAAGAGGAACGGAAGGGTTTCATACGAAAAACAACAAAACATTGTTTGGGTGTGATTAAGGATCGAGGGCAGACCGTCTTCTTTATCGGAGGACACGCATGGTGTTTTCGCAGCCAGGTGCTAAAAGCCTACTTGTGTACTCTCACGCACACCCATGGCTCGAGTGCTTGACTAGTATTATATTATTATTGAAGCCGTCCGACAGACTGGCAGACGACCTTTCAACCAACCCAACAAAAATTATCACACACTCATTTGCATGCATAAAAATGTCGTTTGAATCAATTTTTGACAATTATTTTTTAATGTAACATTTTGAATGGAGAATTATAATACTTTCTGCAAAAAATTTAAGGTGGACGAACTTGAACAGCAAAACCTGTTTTCCGCGACCGCTTTCTTTCGGGTTTTAAACCTTGGCATTAAATTTACCGTCTGGCAGCTTCTTGAGGGGACAAATAAATTTCCTTGATGGTTGCAGTAATAGACGCATTTAAAATAAGACTTTCTTTGAACGTCAAATAACATTTATGCAATTGTTAGGCACTTTCTATTTTGCAGAAAGAGTTATGGATTTTTTTTGTTTCTATTTTAATTTTCTGAAAAATTATGACATAAGAAACTAAAAAAAATTAATGTTAATAATCCGTAATTGATTTGTAGCACTTTTCTCTTACTGCACCAGCACACATGTAAACAATTTTTATGTCAATATGATTCATAACAGAGTAATTACCACATAAAAAAACCACAGAGAAAAATGCTATTAATGTAAAAATCAATTGAAGTAAAAAAAGAGATCTTATCACTTATAGCATTTTTTTGGCAAAGTAAAATTTCTATTTCATTTTGTGTGAATTTATATAATTTTTGTATGTGGTTTCATAAATTTTTTTATCTATGATTCTAAAATTTTTTTTTAAGATTACACGAGGTTGGCAAAATCGAATTCAAGTTAATTTGATTGTTTACGAGGGACTAAATGAATTGAAGTATAATATTGATTCAAAGACCAAAAAGTCCCAAATTAGGACTATCCAAAAAATTGCAACTTTTAAAATTAGCTTCTGAAGTTTGGACTTGACAATCAATCATTGCAAAATGTTGTTAAATTTGCAAGTGATACGGAGTGCATTTTGTGCCAGTTGATTAAAACGATGAATCACTAACACCAAGGTATGAATATATCAATTATACAAAGTGGTGTTATGACGATGAAAATCCTCGGCAAAAACAACAGAAAGCTTGATTTCTGCGGCTTCCCTTTTCTTTGTTTGTGCCGAGACGCAAAAAATTGCAGTCGTAGTAACAAATTAACTCAATTAATAAAAAAAATAAGAAATTTCGCAGTGGGAATAAAATCGATAAATCAGTTCCGCAGGGCAGTGCGGACTAAATTCCCTGATTTGCAAATCAATCCCTTTTGACGAATATCAAAATAAATATGTAGTGACGACCGTGCCTTCATTCTGAGTGCAAGCAAAGGGCAAATTAATATCAATAAAATTAAACAATGAACTCACGCATTTGAAAAAGGGGTCCTGCCTCTCGACGTCGGTGATGCCGAGCAGCGCCAAGTCGGCGGCGCCAATTTCGGCGCCCTCGATGGCGATGGACACGTTGAGACACTTGCACGTGAGCAGCATGATCGCACCTGTCGAGACAAGTCCAATATCAGTAGGAAGTGGTCAATGTCAAGAGCCCGTCGGAATTCGGGCTGTCTCGAGTCTGCGACCCTGACTCCTGCCGAGGCCGACAGTGGCGCCCGGCGGCGCCTCACAGTCAACGCGAACTGGCGCCGAATCGGCGTCGACCGCTTACCTGGATGATTAGGCGCCTCCGGAACTCGCAATCGGGCGAATATTTACCTTAATTAATGTATGAAGGCGCCGACGATTCCCCTTCTGGTGCACCGTGGGTATTTTTTTTTCGCTCGTCCCGCACGCTGATTGGCTGCCGCTGTGTTATTTTATCGTGCAACACCGCGGGCGGACTGACGTGCCATCTCCCTGCGAACAATGCCAACTACAAGCTCACCAAAGGCCAAGGACGGCGAATTTGAAAATCGGCACAAGAGTCACGCAAGCTAAATAAATATGTAATGCGGCTGACACGATAGTTAGCTCTACCGTCAGTGAATTATGTCAATTATGTATCATGTTCTGGAGTTACAAACTAAAGCAGGTATACAAGGTCGATTCATTGAAAAAAATCGCGGAAAAAATTTATTATTATTATTTTATTTTGTGATAATAGCTGAAATTTCCGGAAATAGGAATTTTTTTATGATGCTGAATCGAAAAGATCCGTAATATCTGCAAGAATTTAAAAACCCTTGGTTAATTTTCATAACACTAAATAAAGTTTTCAAAAATTTTACTGAACCAAATTATAAAAAAATTTATTTGTTTTAATTTTAAACACTATTTGCATTATTTGATTAATTTTATTACGGATTTCATGAAAATTTAAAATAAGAAAAGTCAAAAGCACAATAAAAAATTATTATTCATTATGAATCTTTTAGTTTTTCGCATTAGTGATTGTTTTATTTAAATTTTCATCCCATTCTAAGAACAGTTTTAGTATCAGTGAATTTCATCAAAGAAATTCCATTTTAACTTATAATTGGGTATTTCTTGTAAAATGAGCTGAATTTAATGCAAATTAAAATTTAACAATATTTAATTCTAATTAATTTGTTTATATAAAAATAATAATATCCTATAAGAACTTTTTTTATATAACTATATTTTTATTACATTTATGAGCAAATTTCGAATTGCAAATCATTTTTTTGTACTTTGAAAGGAGGAGTTTTCTGGAAGTAATTTACAATAAATTGGAAAGAGATAAACAAGAGCCTGGAGATAATCCTTATCATTGTTATTTCGCACGTTTTCGTTCCGCAAACATAAGGATGCGGGCGTTTAAGTGAATTGCGTTTCGCAAAGTGCGTCTTTGGTCATTGTGCAGCGAGCGTGTGCGTGGGCGCGTCAAGGGATGAAAAACGAGCACAATGATTGCCGAGCGCCGAGCCCTCCTATTTATGGGCACCTGCATGCGACCGATCATTCATCCTCCACGCACTTCTGTTTGCCCACACACGTGTATAATGCGAGGTAGCAATGAGAAGAGGCAGAGGGGCATCTATAATGGAGAGTTACATTTAAATTTGCAGACAGCCTACTTTGTTATATATTACATCTTTTGTTATTCATGGCAAAAGACACACGGTCTATTTTAGGATGGCCAACTATTTTCAGCTGAAAGGGTCTGTACAGGTCTGTAATCCTTTCGTTCATTAATTTTGATCACCTCTAATAGGGGCAATTAGTGCTTAATTGTAATAATAAATAATTTTTTTTCGTGCACTCTCCATAAAGCAAATAATATAATGAGAGAAATTCGTTCACTGAAGTTCCTAAAGTTTTTAATTCGTTCTTTAGTTTGGCAAGTTTGGTAATGAAATAGCAAAAAACTTTTTGTTTCAGTGAGAACAAAGTTTCAATATTGTCAAACCGTGGAATGACCTGCCACTCGCAGTGAAGGACAGTGCTGCGGCACAGTTTCAATCACTCTGCAAGGCGTATAGCATGTGGGGAAATTTTAGTGTGTGCTAATGTTCGCCCTTTTTTGGATATCTTAGGCAGCTGGAATTTTGTACATTATTTTAGGTCTTACTAAAAGCGGTAATTTATTTAAAGAAAGCATAATTTAACAAAATTAAACAAAAGCAAATAAAATTTAAAAGGAACCAAAAGTAAGTAGTTACATCATTTTATTTGGTTGGTGTGGATTAATTCTCTTGTTACATTTGCTCTGATATCAAATATTATTTGGAACTGCAATAAATTTAAATTAAACACACGCAAAGCTGCGCGAAACGAAAATATTTCATTGTAAAACCAGCACAGCATAGCCAATTGAATTTGTTTTATTAAGAGCAAAAATATGTCATTTGAAAATCAACATTTTCCTAATCCACGTTCAAACCCATAGCTTGAATGTACGTGAGTGTGAGTGCCTCTTTAAAGCGTGGAAAGGCGCTTGAGAGAGGTACGAAATTCTCACTATATAGGCTGTGATGGATCTTGTCTCTCAACATTCGCACATAATCCGCTTTTAATTACATTCGACTTATACAATAAACATCTTCGGCTGTTTGCTTTGGCGAAATTCAGTCTTTGTAGGGGTCCGTGCGTCGGCTCTACGGTTAACCCACCCGCAACACAGAACAATGCAACCGGGACAGTGAGCGCCAGTGGGCACCGTTAAATTGCTCGGCCCGCCAGCTGTTTGCCCAAGTTCCGAAAAAGCAGCTCACAAAAAGGAGCAAAAACGCCAATTAAATTTATTCTCATTATTTCTCAAAGGAGAAACTTGCGCGCAACGGCGCTTCAATTGCGAAAGAAATTTTCACCGCACGCACAGAGTTGGTCCAGCGTGCGGTTTCACCCCCTGGAATTTTAATTAATTTAGCAGATAACTCTGGCCGTGCGCGTCTCGCGGCACCGCCTGCAAAAGTTGGCTTTTTAGTTGAGTTCTCAGCATGGCCGTGCACCTTTTGAAATAAATGACTTAAGTTTGCTATTCTTTTAAATGAGAGAATAATATGCGAGAATCCAGTTTGAAAGTAATTCTCACCAAAAGAATAAAAACGATGAAAACATTCATGCTTTCAAAGTTTAACCAGCGCCCTTGGCATAACGGACAAGAGTATAGAACTTGACCTTAACCTCTCACAAAGACTTCCGCCTTGTTTTATGGACTTTCTAGATAAGAATTTGTTAAGAATAGTTTATTTAATTTTATATTTTAAACAAATTGAACAAATTACAAGCAAATAAATAAATGAATAAAATTGACACAAAAATAGAATTTTGATTTAATAAATTCCATCATCATGATATTTTTGTTAAAATTTAGTGAAAGATTTAAATCATTTTTAAATTAACGTTTCCTTCTAAATTGATAAGTTTGTTTTGAAATCAACATAATATAATGCGATTTATACCTTTCAGTATTTCCCTTAAAAGGGTGTAAATTTTGCCAGCAAAAGAACTGAAATTCTAATATTTGGAATTCATTACTTTCAGTTAGTCAGAAAAGTTCTCATAATTTTATTACAAATTACAAATTTCTAATTTTTATTTTTTAAGCTTTAACTCACATTGATGCAAAATATAGATTATGTAAAAAAAAGTGCAAATAAACCTGAAACAAATTAAGTATAGCATTTAAGTTCCAGCAGACTAGCAATATTGTATAATCAACTTTGGCAATGGGCTACATAATAAGCACATGCGACCATCTAAACAGTCATTTACCATTTTTACACCACACTGGACACTAAACTGAAAGATAATATTTTTATAATTTGCACTTGAGGTATAATTATATCTATAAATTTTCTGTGCAATTTAACTTGCGTTTATATCTTGGAACTCTACAGAAAATCATAAACTATTTAGTTCAGGAATGATTTGCAGTTTAAAAAAAAATAATAAACAGAATGAAATAAGTAATTGCGAGATATTGCCAGAGTCTGTTTTGCCACAGCAAAAGTGCTCGCCTTGGCTGCTACGTCATACATTATTTATTGTTATTGCCGGCACTCCGACAATAACTTCGTACAGTATCCAGAGTAAGCTGGTTATTTTTGCCATCCTCGACACACGGGCAGGCATTAGTAGTAGTGCATCTCTCTTTGGTGCAGTGTTTACAATAATGTGGCACATTAAAAGAGTGTCTGGTGCCATTGTGCGTGTTAAGAGAAGGGGTACGTATACGTATATTTGCACTCGTGTAATGCACGTGAGGCAATTACAGTGTAAATGGACGTCCGAGTGGCGTCGCGAGTCAAACATGTTTTGCTTTCAATTTGCTTCTCCTTCTGAGCAAAACAAGACACACGTGACCGCAGGACGAATGAAGGTGGAAGTAGAAAAAACAAAAATGAATAAGTAGCGTGTGCACCTGTCAACTGCGGTGGGAGGCACGCCAAAAGATAAATACTCATCAACTTATTATTATTGCTTGTGTTTGAGGTGGCGCCGGAGATTTCGCAAACTTGCGCTGTAATTATTTTGCACTTCAAGATTGTAATTTATGAGGAATTTTGATATTTATGCTCCAATTAACAGCGTCTACACTGTCTACAGTTAATATTTGCACAAACATTCCACCACTGCAGGTTCAAATGCATGTTGTAGTCGATGCATGCTTTTAAAACTTTTTAAGAAGGTTTTTAAAATTAACTTTTTATATCAAATATACTTTTAGGCATCATCAGATTTAAAAGATTTAAAAATAACAAAAGATTTTTTCTTTCTCACCGTTAAAATTTTTAACAATCTGCTAATAAAGGAATCAACATACTTTTTTTTATCTACAAATCAAATTTCAATATATTAATATATGAACGAGCTTGGCACATGCATTTCTAGTTTGTATTTTATTGTCTTTCACGGTTTAATTTAATTATTACCCTTGCTCTGGCCTATGCAATAGCATCGCACATTGATAAAGCCGTTGTTTTCAATAAATATTTTTAAGAGATAAATTTGTTTCCTCAAGGTTTGCAAAGGTTGAGGTCGACTTATGGTTAACGATAACTGACTTCACATAAAAAAAGAAGAAAAAGATATCCTGCTGATCAAATCAGTTTCTGACTCTTACAGATCTTATTAAAGGACAGATTTGTTTGGATTTAAGTAAAAAAGTACAGTATTTATTTAATGAGTAAATATTTAATTATTTGTAAAGTTGAAATATTGAAAATATATTTATTTTTCATTATAATAGTCTCTCTCTCTCTCTCTCTCTCTCTCTCTCTCTCTCTCTCTCTCTCTCTCTCTCTCTCTCTCTCTCTCTCTCTCTCTCTCTCTCTCTCCACGGTAGATTACTCTGACGGAGCACTTTAATATATTGTACATTGCACTTGAGGAATTTCATGTTAGAAAACCAAAACCTAATAATAGATGATGTTCAAGATGATCAAATACCTGCTTATATTTAATGATAGTTACTATCGCAGTTTAGTTAATTTTGTGTCTTACCATTTTTCAATGATTTAGCACACTTTTATGTTTGCATAAAATATACTAAAAATAAACTAAATATTAAATAAAATATACGTATGTTTTAAAAATTATGTAAATTATAATGGTAAAATAAATTTTGAATTTTATTTTATTTAAATATTTATATTGCATTTAATTTTGATTCTATTTTATAAAGATAAATTTATCTTAAAATTTTTACATTTAAGCTAGCAAAATGAAGCTGCAGATGCAAATTATAATAATAAAATTTGAAGCTATATTATGATTTTGCATTTTTATTAATGCAGTTAAATATGTATACCACTATCTATAAACAAAGTTATTGCTCTTGTGTTAAAATGACAATTATTTAACAAACTCATTTATCAAAATATAACGTAGAAAATTGATCAGCAAAATCGATTTTATGGTGGAGGAGGTGCTACGTCTTTGGTGATTAAACTTTATCAGCCGCCTTTTCGCATCATTAATTTATCGAAATTCAATTATTTGCTCGTCGCGCTTCACCGAAACTTGACGAAATTCATAAATAGCAGCTGCCGGAGTGGGTGCACCCCATACCGAATTATCGACGCTTATCTCCCGCAAGGCGACTGCGTGTCGTCTGAGCAAATTAAATAATCCGACACGAGGAGAACGAAATTCCAAAAAGTCCCACGGCACTGGGACAAAAAGAAAATTTGTGAAACGTACCTCTGGTGACTCCCGACGTGCCGACGTCCCGCTCGCTAATAATTGAGCAAGCAGTCTTTTCTGTTCAAGAGGGTCGCTTTGGTCGTGACATCTCTCGCGGCTGAGCTAAAAGAAAACGCGCGCGGCAATAATATTGGCGCAGTGCCTACCCGACCTTGATTAGCATGGCGCCGTGTGCAGCGTCACAAACTCGTTACTCTTTTTGTTCCGAATTCTCACCGCGACTCCTCGACGCAGCATCGCTCTTTCCGGGGGCCGGCCGGCTTTTATCTTGCGCTCGGACACGCAGACATTACTGGCCGCACTGACGCACGCAGACGGTGCTCTCTTATCTAGTCTGTCTTATCGCACCACCCAGAGCAAAAGGTCACACAGAAGAAAATAAATTTATATAATCTGTGTCCCTTTCAGACAAGCCGACAAAAGAAATGCTTTATTTTAGACTTGGACGCAGGACTATTCTAGAATTACATAATGAAAAGTGATGCATTTGTTCGTTTTGGAAGCAAAGAAAAGATTAAAAATTAAAATTTCCAAGATCATTTTCTTATTTAATTACTTAAAAAGCAATCTGTTTTTTTTACTGTTGATTATTTAAATAAATAATTTCATAATAGATTTTCAGAGGCTGTTCCTTTTTCACCTGTTTTAAAATATAAACTCGACCTCAACTTTAAACAAAGAAACTCATAATATCATAAAATAATTCACCAAAAACAGTTTCTCATTTATCATCTTAATTTAAAAATTTACAGTCAAAGACTGGAAACCTATTTAAACTATGAGATCGCTTATTTTAAATGAATTAATACAACTTCAGCAGACAAAATAATTTAACTAATTGACTTCGTATTGGCTCCTGCATTCAGATATTCGACAAATTTTTGTTGGAAAACCTGTCTAAAAGAAATATTTATAATATATTAAAAATTTTCTTAAAAACTACGTATCAAAAAGTTCCTAATCACATTGGTTTTGGTAAAAAAAATTAAACGCACTTCCCATCTTTTTCCATTTTAGAAATAATTTATTTACATTCCTACTAAAAATTTCCAAGAAGTATTTTTCTTTTTAAGCTAACTGCATTGTTAAGATATTTCAATGAAAAGTAAAATTGAATCATTTGGCAAAACATTCAAAAAGCAGCAGAAGGATAAAACTGCGGCTAAAATGCTGCAGTGCACGATACTAATAGCAAGGTCGAGAAGTGATCGATCAGAGCTGGATAGAGTGCAAGTGGAGCAGCATAATCTCTCGAGTCATCACTTATTGAGAGAGCAGTGCCGCAAGCTGTACTCTGACACTTTATTACGGGCGCAGATCATACAGTATTTGTGAGATTGGAGAGGACGGTGTGCAAAATGCGATCCTCAGCAATCGCTTTTAAGGATTTGAGCAAAAAAAAATATATAAACGTAGGAATGTGATCCGCTAGGGTGTCACGAAAATTTTATAAGCTGATAATCGCAAAATATTATTGGGAATTGTAAGTAAAAATATTTCGGTTCATTAAAAATTAAAACATAGCACAGTGAATAAACATTAATTTGTTTAAAATGAAATAGTAACAGCAAAAATTATATTTTGAAAAATTATTAAAATTAAAAAAAAATGTAATTATAATAATAAATAAAAAATAAAACAATTTTAATCAGACATGACATTTAATTAAATAAATTAGGATAATGTTTTTATTCTTAAACATTTTATTAAGCAGTCATGACATTTCTTATGTTGTTTGATCAAAATCCGTGAGCAAGTTTCCAGGTGACGATGGTAATCAACGTTACAATATATATGATAATATATCATCTCAATAAAAACGACACAGGGTGAGTCAGGAACGTTTTACGACTGTGAGAAGGTCGCGGCGAACCCACGTTTGAAGGTGGGTGCGCCGGCAAGTTATTGTGCCAGTGTTTAATCCTCATTGCAGTATGGCTTTGGGTCAAAGTAGCGCGGTCGGTGTGCTTTCCAAGTACAAACAAAAGTGGATTAGAGAGAATTTTCCGTAAAGCATGCCAGATTAAAATTCCTCAGCCCAACAGGAGCCAAATCCAAGTGGTGGGGAAAAGGCGCGCAAAGGCGTATGTAACCCAATAGGTCTTTTATCTACCAAGGTGAAAAAATTCGATTAAAGAGCAAGTTGCGAAGAAGGAAACCGATACCTTCGACACGCGCCAGCGGAATCGCAAACTCCGGCCGAAAATAATCATTGACGATTGTATATTAATTTACCAGAGAGAAATCAGAAACTGGATCTCTCTGTTCATTCTTTTGTTTCCGCCTCTTCTCGTTTGGAAAATAATATTATCGGTTGAATTCTGCTACGTTCGCGATGGCTGTATTCGCATCTGTAATTTGAATGATAAATTGTTATGGGGTCCTTAGAGGAGAAGCCTTGGGCGCATTACATGCATTGTGGATGTGGTGTGCTCAAAGAGATGGAGAGTGCAGTGAGGGTTGCCTCGCTAAATGCGTGTTATTAGTTTTAGGAATTTAATTTAGTGAGGGCATTAAAGCGGTTAGGCGCGTTCAACGCGTTGGCTAGGTAACAACAGGGGGCTGAAGGCACGGAGATGGCAGAAAGGGCAAAGATTTCAAGTATGTATATAAATATGTGCAGTTAACAGCAAATCTGTGTATATTAATAAAGATTTGAAAAAGTTTTTATATTACCAAATTATTTTTGCAAAATATTTAAATGAGGCTTTTGTTGTAGTTAACATTATTTGGGGACAAAAATTTAATACGTGTTTTGAATCATAATTTATAATTTTATAATTTTCTCTGATGACAGAATTGATTGCTTTAGTTTCATTAAAACTAATGTTTTGCAATGATTTCTTTAATAACAGTGAGAACTCGTTGCTTAAAAAGAGCAATAATGGCTTTTAATTTTATTTAATCAGAAGCATGAAGTCCAGCGTTTTGTGTCAAGAATCCACACAATAAAACATTTTGTTCGACACAGGCCAAAATAATTCCTATTTTTCATCGTAGACTTACAATTATTGGCAATTTTTGTATAATTGGTCCAATAATATACTGAAACCGGTAGCGAATCAAAAACAAAATTCTCCACTCCTAACGTTTATGATTTTAAGTATATAGTCGGCTTTTGTGGTTGTTTAATGTTTAAGAAAAACAAAAAAATTCTGCTCTACATTTTTCGGCTGCGGGGTGCAGCCATAATTCATGAGCTTTCTCGGTGGAGGTCGAGAGAAGACTCAAGTATATTGTTTTTCAAAAACAATATAATACTCTAAGCCCATCGAGGAAAAGTCGACTTTAAACTCTAATCACCATGAATCAACCCTGAATCGTGAAATAGCACCGCAAAATTTTAAATGTGTTGACATTCAATTCCCTATTTTTGTAAAAGAATCATATGAAAATTCGATTAGATTTTGCTAATTTTAATTTAATATGATAATATGCTTAAAAATAATAGCTGCTATATAAGCCACTTATTTCTTAAAAAACAATTAACACAGCTAATTCAGTTCAGTGTTGATTTTAAAGTATCAAGTCAGATGTACATAAGCCAAAAAATTAAAAACTGTTACCGTCTTCCGTCTTGGTTTTATAGGCTTTCCTGCTCTCGACGCAAACAGTTTGAAAATTGGCCAAAGCCATCTAAACACAGTCTCGCAACCCGCTCCACAGCCGTGCGCAGCGCGTTGCATAATCCGCAATTGTGGCATTGCAGACAATTAACGTCGGCACCACGTTCTCAGGCGCTGTGCAAAAATCCGGCGGGGAAACGAGGTCACAATCATCATTACGTTGGCGAAAAGCCACTTTGGCCGAATTCCATTCTGCTTGTCAGAAAAAAAACGAAAAACGCCCGCATACGAATTGCACATTTGGAGAAAAAGGGGTAAAACCATGTTGAGATGCAAATGTGGTAGCAGGAAGGGAGGAATATCGGGCTGATTGAATTCCAACAAGCGCCCTTCCATCTGCGAAATTCGATTTCACGCCATATTTCTCACAATCTGCAAATGAAAATTTCGCCGCCAGTCGCGTCTGGCGGGTTATCTGTTTTATTGGCTGGGAAAATGGCAACTGCGGAAAACGTCGGCGCCTTTTTGCTGCGTGCAAATTTACGGCCGCGTAGATTTTTCCCCTGCTTCTCTGTGGAATGCCGGCCGGTTTACGAGCAGCGAACGCGTGGGCAAGTTTAATTGTGCACCGCGGGCCGGTTGAAACTTTGCAGAAGTCCACCCCCGACGAGCCAACGATGATAAATGGCGACGCCACAAGAGAGGCATAGCCGTGTAATTATTTTATACGCGAGAGCAATTACCTTATTAGAGTTTGTTATTTCGAACAGCGGCTCGCGTGCTCTGTGTGAAAATGCGTGCGTCTCTCAGGGACCATCAGTCAGTTGATGTATGGCCGGGCGATCGCGTTTTCCGAAATTAACCAGCGTACGGCCTAATTAATAACAAACGAATCATACTTTGTTTTAATCAAGAGGTCAAATTCTAGCAGAGTTTAAGAATAGAAATTTAAGGAATAATAAGAATTTTATAATTGTAATAATCTAAATAAATATTGAAATGATAAATTTAATTAGATTTCAGTTGCATTAAATATCTCAACCGATTTAACAAATATGCACAAGATTTTTAATGATCGCGAAAAGTAGAAAATTAATTGCATGTTGTGTGAATTTAAATTGAGCAAAGAAATCAAGTTCACGTGGAATGTAAAATTTTAGAATAAAGTCAAATTTAATTTAAAAATTATTTACAATAATCATTAGAATACTTGCTTTACGTTATTTATCTGTTCTACAATAAATTAAAAAAAATTTCGTGTTTGATCACATGTTGAAAGTTTGCCACAGCCTTTCTGACACTTACTAATTTATCGTTTTTTTCGGGAATGAAATTATTGCACGTGAGGAAAAAAAACAGTCGCATATTTTTAAACCACACAGCGCGTTGAGAATTGCTTGGTACATTTTGTTAACTTATCACGCACGGAGTATTTCTCTCTTGAAAAACTTAAAAGCTCTGCTTTAATTTCCAGAATTTTTTATATTATGCTCACAAACAAACAAATCAATGTTCTTTCTATTTTTATTGAAAAGACGGCAGATCATAATCCTGAAATAAATGCTGTTGTGCATTTACAAAAGACCCTGATCAAATAATAAAAAAAAGAGTCAACGGGACATTCTTTATTGCTTCCAACATGCAGGGGGTGACGTCATGAATGAATTAGATTCCCAGTCGGCGTTCGTCTTCAGTGATTTTTATATTTTACCTGGTGGGCGGTGAGAAAATCAAATTTTCTCTGAGCTCATCCGAGTTACGCAACGCGGCTCACCCATTCAGAACCAAAGCGTTTTTTTCCAGGTGAGAGACCACTGGAAAAATCGCTAATGACGATCCAGCCTTATTATTCTATTTGCGAACGGGTGGACAGATGAATGTGAAATGGCAGCTCAACAGGTATACGATGTGGCCGGGTGAAATATTAAAAGGCCTCCTCAGGCTATAATTCAGCCAGAACGCCGTCTGCACGTGAGTAGTGCACGGGCTTTATTAAAAATTTTATAATCTGCACACAGGCGCTCGGTTCTCCCAAGGGCCCTTGTCCGTCTTTTGTGTATGCGAAATTGTGCATGCATGGTCGAGATTTTTTCCAGCTTTTAATAAAAATAAGGCGAGATTGTGCTTACACGGGATGGACGCAATGACGCACGGCAGCACCAACAACCACCTGAAAATGTGTATGTGCTCTCATAGATAAAAACAGCGGAAGCGTTTAGTGGAAAATTTGTAACAAAGGCCAGCTTTTGTTTGTGTATTGCCTTATCATTTTCTGCCAAATCGTTTGTTTTCAAATTCTACAGGAATGCAGATTTTAAATTAAATTTTGCCTCCTGAGTTTTTTTTAACACAAAGAGATTTATAATTAAAAGAAGAGAAATGTACCGGTTTTATTATAAAAATAGCACAAATATGAAAAAAAAAAAAAAAAAAAAAAAAAAAAAACTGAATAGTATTGAATGTTAAAAGTTTATTTATTTTAAATTATTTATATATTTCATAAATGAAAAACTCTCCAGATGCTGTTTTTTCCAACCGTTTTGATTCAAATTTATAGTAAAATAAAATAAAATTGAGTTCTCGTTTTGCAGGTTGCATAATAAAATATTAAAAATATGTCCACCCTGGGAAATTCAGAACGGATTTTTAAGATTTTTTTAATTCACTGGTAAGATGAACTGAATGAACCCTGCTGGTTGTCAAGGAAGTTCAAAGAGGATAAAAGACAAATGAAACAATAAAAGTAATTAAATATTATTTTTTATTCCTTCTCAAATTTAATTTTTATTGTTAAGCACGATGCACATCAGTTCGCGGAAATTTCAAACGGGAAGTGAAAAGTCGTGCATAATTAATGCGGCTGCAATAGATGTGGGTGTTTTGCGGTTCGCTGTGTCCTTTTCGCGCCTGACTGACAGAGCAGAACCGAAGTTTTGTCCTGCTGCTTGTGCACGCGCGTGTTTTTGCATTCGTATGCAAATTCGCGCCGGGAAATCTTGCCGCTCTTTAAATTCCGCGACTGTAGCTCGGAATTGCCTTTTAAACGGTACGTGTACGTGAGCGGGGAAATGCAAACAGAAATTAAATGATCCTTCATTGCCTGCTTTCGCGGAGAGAAGATAACTGTTGCGAGATAAGGAGGCCATGTGCTTCTCTAGCCAGTGCACATGTGAGCAAATGCTCCATCTAATTAAATTCCTAGGCGTTTTTCATTACGATCGCTGCAGATTGGATGGAATTCATTTGCCGGCGTGGGAGGATTTTAATTGCGAGGAGAGATTGGGGGATTAATTTTCAAAATTGAGTTCCGTCTTGCGTGCAGAATGAACTTGCATTCAGTATTCATCAAGGCTTATGAAATAGATGGAGGGTCAATGGAGACAGAATAATCTGTTCTTATAGAAAGTAGTTTTTAAATTTCTTACAATTTTTTCTTTATTTACCATCTAATTGGTTGTAATAAATTTTTTGGGTGTAGTACCTGTAGTACTAAATGACCTTTTTATTTAATATTAACACTAAAATATTTCATATTAATTTTTTTATCATTTTAATTGATATATTTAATTTCACTTTTTTCTAATTCAATAAAACTATGAGTTGATTTCTATATTGAAAAAGGCTAGCAGGGAATTAATATGAATCGAAACTTTCACGATTAATTTCACATCATCAGTCTTAGACTGTCGTATTTATTTCTTTCCGCAAGTGACAGTGTTGCTTGAGTATGTACAAAAGTTAACATGAAGCAGTAACATCATCAAGAATAATAATTTAAAATCACTTTCAAAACTTAACAAAGACTTCACCAAGTCAAATCTAATCCCCAGATATTCTGTATAAACCTTTGAATGGTAATCAGTGGTGACCTCCTCCTCCACCACCCCCTTCTTTTCCGTGTCCTCCACCGCCTCCTCCACCCTTGCTGGATGCGTGTGCGTGCTCTTCCTTGCCCTCCTCGCCTCCCTTCTTGCCGTAATGTTCGTGGTGGTCGTGGTGCGATTCGTCGCCGTGTTTGTGGCTGTGACCTTTGTGGTGCTCGTCGTGATGGCCTTTTCCGTAGTGGCCCTTCTTGCCGTACTTGTCGTCGTGATGGCCTCCCTTGTGGAAACCACCCTTTTCGTGGCCCCCCTTCTTGTCGCTGTGGTGTTCGTGGTGGTGCCCGTGTTTGTCGTGGTGACCTCCGTCGTAGTTCTCGTCGAAGAATTCGTGTTTCTTCTCGTATTCATCCAACTTATACACGTTGTGCTCACCCTTGGTCGAGTGACCCTTGCTGTGTTTGCCGTCCTCGGCAAATTCGGAGCCCTTTTGACCTTTGGACCCTCCACCGTAGGACGATTCGTGACCTCCCTCTTCGTGGTGACCCTTCTTGTGGCCGCCATGCTCCCCATGCTCACCCGAACTGCCCTCCTTGTTGTGTTTCCCTTTCTCTCCCTTTTCGGAAGAGTGCTGACTTTTGTGACCTTTATGACCCTTCTTGCCGGCGGTGCTGTGGTGAGATGAAAATCCTTTTTTGCCGCCTCCTTTCTTGAACTCTTTTTTGCCTCCGTCACCACCTCCACCATCACCTTTAGAAAAAAACTTTCATGAGTTTTTAAACAATTTTATCAACTTTTGTAAATTTACCGCCTCCTCCGTGGCCTCCACCACCTCCACCGCCTCCGTGGCCTCCGTCACCTCCACCACCTCCGTGGCCACCGTCGCCTCCACCACCTCCATGACCACCATCATCTCCTGTGTAAATCAATTCAAGAGTTTAACAAATGAAAGTTAAAAATAAGATAATAATGAAATGGGGTGAAAAAATTAGAAAATAATCAGAAGAAATAATTATAAAAATTAATTAATCATTTCGTAAAAAAAGGATATATTAATGAATAAATCGAATTCCTTTAAAAAAGTTCATCATTCGTTTTGTGCAGCTCTAAATTGCATTAAAACAGTACTCTTTTACAACGTTAATTACAGAGATGAAGTGTTATAATTATCATTTGTAGTAGATTTAATATTGAAGGTTAAATTTTTAGATACTATAAATATTAATCAAAAGGATTTTTTATTCAATCGTTCGTGTTTTTTTTTAAACCCATGTGAATTTTAGACTGTAAATTTGCATTTTTTTTCTACTTGTAAGTCATAGAAGTGACATTAATTAAGAATAAGATTATTGAGATTATTATTAATATTATTACTGTCATAAAGTTAGTAGAAAAATCTCGGTCATTGTTTCTTTCTCACGTTTTAAATCTGATACGGCAAACCATGATGTAAAAAGATGACTTCTTTTCACGAAAGGACCGTTTTGACTATTCTCAATATATTATTTTTTTCTCTTTAAACATTATTTTAAGATGCGTGTATGTAACAATATTGAACAAACGATATTTAAAAACGCTGCACATAATTACCTCCACCTTCGTGACCACCTTCGTCACCTGTGAATTAATATAATAATAATTCTTACTTTCATTGTTCAAATATTTTTAAAACTGATCAATTACCTCCATCGTGTCCTTCACTAGCCGAGTGCGTTAAATCGAGTTGAGAAGCTGGAATTCCGGACGAGGTCGCCGTTTTCAGATCGACCCTGAAACCCGTGTCGTCCGAAGCGGTGCTCAAGTCTGTCGAGTATGAGACCGGGACCACTTGTCTGCTCGGAATTTTCCTCCATGATTTGACCCTCTCCGAAGCGGCCACGCTTGCAGGGGCTGGGACGTAAACGGGGCCACTGTGCACAGGAGGGGGTGGAGGAACGTAAACCGGGGGGACGTAAACGGGGGCAGGTTTCGGCACCGCCGGCTCCAGACGCGGGACACCTCTGGTCCTCTTTCGGACGGGCAACTTGACCTCCAAGTCGCTGACGTTTAACTGGGCGGGATAAATCAGAGCTGCCGGTGGTTCGTTGACCCCCGGAGTGTCCTGGGTCGTGGCCGACGGCAGGTATACGGGCGTGTAAACTCGCGACTGCACCGGGTTCGAGGGGGACACTTTGACTTTGCACATGGAATGAGCGGGACGCACGAAGAAGAGGCCGACGAGGCCAAGCAGCGCCAACAGCAGCTGTGGCCGCCGCATTCCGGAGCACATGGTGAAAAAGACGCGTTTGACGGCTCGGACGGACGCTGCCGTCTTTTATACGGGGCATTGTCCGCCGACGGGAGGCGGGAGGACACTTGCTCGGATGGCCGGACGCCGTGCCTGGCACCGCGTTTAGCTGCACGCTTTCTATCAAAAGCATCTCGATCGAACGGCAGCGGCGTTCATCTGTGTCATCACTTGTCATTTCAAATCGGCAGAAATACTTATGTGTACGCGAGAGAGCCTCTGCTCTCGGAAGTTCCACTTGTGGCCCGTGTGTTTTAATCAATGTCTTGGGAATCCAATGTTGCTTCGAAAATATTAAAGTCATGGCATATTTATTAAAAAAAATATTAAATTTTCAAACAACAAATTAATCAATATTTGCACTGAATTAAATTAATAAATAGCCGTACTTTACTTCAAAATATAAAAATCGTCAATCAAAACATCAAATGGTACCAAAAGAAGAATTTAGTCTTGCTCTCAAAAATGTTCGATCTAAATTTTATATAATATATTTGATAGCTATGTATTAATTTTTATACACATCATTGAAGTTTAAATAAAATAATCAATTTGTGTTTTTATTTTGTTGTTAATTAAAAAAGTTTTATAAAATAATTTTATAATTAAATAAATTTGATAAACAATGTATAAATTTTTAAAATTTAATTAAAATATAACAAAATGAAATCTAATCTTGACTAGAGCATTGAGCAAAATATAGTGAAACAATAATTTAAATGCAAATAATGTATTATAAAACAAACATAATAATTCATTCAGAAAAATCACGTTTGTGTATAAGTGATGGCGACCCATAATCTCTCGTTATAACTTACAACACAATCCGAAACCCTGATACACTTGTCCCTTTTTTAATGAGCGAGCTGCGATTCTTCCATCGCATTGCGTGGTTTCTTTCAATTCATCCTTTGCTTTGATTTATCGATTATAAATATGCATAGTATGGTATCAATGTGAAATTCTACACTCTCTTTGAATATACAAAGAAAGAAAGTTTTTTTATAATGGTGGAAACGGTAAAAATCATATTGTGTACAAATCTCATGTAAGCCTCTGCATTTCTTTTTATAAATAATCCACTCTATGCGCAATGTAAGACGGGGACGCACATTCTTCTTGGAAATAATTGATTTACTCGAACTGATTTCGTTTACAACTTAAATTTAACTTCACTCCATCCTCTGACGTATTTGAACGCGATAATTAAAACACGATGAACTTGCTAACGAGTTCACAGAACTCATTTGTATTATTTGTTCTATCTCACAAGAACATCTCTTTTGTGTTTATTGGTTTTTACACGGCAACTTAATTAATTAGCGGCTATTTCCGCGTCTTCCAGGAAAAAAAGTCGGCTAAATCGGTCGCTTAATCTGCTCTCGGCGAAAAACAAACCAAACCTTTGTTGCGCGGCGTTGCGTGAAAGGATGAGCTGTGCGGCGCAAATCTGTGCACTTTTTGTCCACCGTCGCATTGTGCGCCGCCAGACAATCGCACGAAAAAGAAAAAGTGAAGTTCAGTACCGCGCGCGGTTCACCGTCAAAAATTCAAGTTTAACTAATCGGCCACAATTATAAAAAACTCGCTGTGAAAAATAGCGATTTTTCCTCTTTTTAAATGAATACAAAAGTCTTCGGCAATGGAAATTATTATCACGAAGGAAAGAGAAAAGCTGCTTAGGGTGAACAGTTATCTAGGAAAGTAGGAATGCATCTGGGAGAGCAACAGGTCTTAAGAGGAAAGCCCGCTCAAAGTTTTTGCGGGATGATATCAGGAATTTTCTTTGAATAATTAATTGCGCAACTTGTACTATCCAGTTTTTATGTTATAGTTATATTTTTCAAAAATTTCCGTAAGCTGAATTTAGTTGAAAACTCTATCTCTTCCATCAAATCAATAAGAATTTAGTATCAAATATTTAGTTGCAGCTAAATTAGACACAGTCCTGGTGACTTTAAAATGCCGATATTTTGCTACTCTCTTCATTTAGAATGCGTTACAAAAATGAGTAAAAAGTAATTTTTTTAAAGATAAATTTAGTTTCGGACATTTTTTAGCCTTCTGAATCACCACCTCAAATTAATCTTATTTATTAAAATCTATATTGATCTATATAATTTTGCCAAAATAGTTTTGGCAGAAGCCGATTCATTTGATTGTAAAACATTACTTATCTTTCTTCTGATTACAAATTTCTCAATCGACGCCAAATAAGTGCAGTGAAAAAGTTGATCAATAGTTGGAATTTGCAAGTCTATGGATTAAGCAATGTTTTGAATAAAATAAGGAAATGCGTGTTGACATTATGCAAACGGAAGCGAATAATTTTGGGTAATAATTTATTTAAATAATCTGCTTGGTTAGTCTCGCACAACGCGGGGATTCATCCAGCTGTTTCCGCTCCGTGCGTATGAATGAGCGAGAGAGTGAGACGCAGGTGGCCAATAACTTGCGATGATTCGCCTCACTTTCCTCGCAAATCCAATTCACGGAACAGCCTTAAGACACAAAAAATGACATGAGAAAATAATTTTTCCTGTTGTTTTGTCGGTGTGGGTCAATTCATCTCTCACAATCAGTTCCGCTTTTGTTGTCAGTCTGGAAGCTTGATTGATATCTATAATTCTCATCGATTGCCGCGTCAAAAGAATATCAAAAGTGGTTTTAACAATGACGCTTTTTCGAAGGTGTTTACATTAAGAAAGACATAAATATCACGTCTTGATACAAAATATTTAAAAAATCTGACTTGCAAAAGAGGGAGAGAAAAGAGAAAAAATTTAGGTTTTTTTAATTAATTTTTATAAATACTTTAAATTTATGTCAATATAAATAATTGTTAAAGTTAGCCAAAATTTTATTAGGGTTTTTATAATTAAATCATTAATAAAACTAAATATGTTTATATTAAATTAAATTTAAATAAAAATGTTAAGGTTTGAATTATTTTAAGAATGTGCATTATACATACATGTACAATTAAATATTTTATTTTTTAATATTTGTGAAAAATTTATTTATGGATGCAATAAGATACTTAAAATTTAATTAGCACACAATATTGTCACGCTAAGACTCATTTATGTTTGATTTTTTAATTTTCGGATTTGCAGTTCTCATTTAAAATAATTATGACTTACAAAATAGAAATTGTACGACATGAGATATGGGAACAGCAATAATTAATGATTCTTTTTCATTCCGCGTTCATAGACCTTTGTCCCTGCGGCCAAATTAACTAGTTAACGCCCATTTAGGACAATGATGAAGTGCCAATTTGCGCCCCGCAGTCGCGAAAATTGGTAGACAGACACGCACGTCATTTCTTAATACGTGAAAATTTGGGTCCGTCACCCGACCGGGTTCAACCACAGTGCCCTTTCATGCCTCAAACAGGGCACACGCGAGGCCAAAGCTACGCGGCAAAAGCTGCAGAGAACTACACCTCTGGGAAATTATGCTCTTTGCCCGATTGTTTGTTGAAGGCGCGCAGCTTGATGATTTTGAGATTTATTTCAATGCATAAAAATAAAAATGCTACTCACACTAAAAATTATATATATATATGTGATGGAGAAAGGTGAGGTTGTTGAACTCTCTGTGTATGTTAAATTTATTTTACTTTATTATGACATTTGATTTTGGTCTTCATGATCATAAATAAAAAGGTTTTTAAGAATTCTTGCTCCAACCCAGCATCATCAATTTTCTTACCAATTTATAACTTTAGAATATAATTCATATAATTTAAAAAAAAAGGTTTTTTTCAAACAAAGTCATTCATCATTCAGAATATATCCGACGTCAATTGTTAAAAATATTTTATTCTTTATTTTTAATTCAACTAACCAAGAACTGTGAAATGATAATATTTTTACAGGATATTATAAATTGTTTTTCTCAACGGTATATATCTCGGTATCTATGAGTGTTGCTCACAATCAGAGATGTGTTGAAGGTAGTTTTTATTGTTTGTTGATGGCGCACAAGGTTTTATATTCCAGGAAAGGGTAATATTTTGGTTACAAGGAAAATTGATACTTATCTTTGGTATCATATTGATTTTCCTTTTATCATTTGCAACAGAACAATAAAATCTCAAGAAACATGTACATTTTCCAAATAAAGTGATGATGATAACAAAGTACCTTGGATTTTGTTACAAATTAAAAACAGGATTTTTAATCATATCATTATATTTTTTTATACCATTTCATAACAACTGTTGGTTTTTGTTTTACCTGTCGATTGCGAGATTGGTCCGCTAGATTCTGATATTAAAACAGGAGGGATAAGAATCTTGAATGCTGCGACAATGTAAAAATATTAAATGTTTATTAAAAGTTTTGTTTATTATAAAATAATGGATTTATCTCTTTTTAGTTGGAAAAAAAAACAAAAAACACGCACACACGGTAGACCACTCTCTATTCATCAATATGTTTTGAAAATTAATTGCAATTAAAGCAATTAAGTCATTTGAAATAAAATTGGAATTGAATTTTAATTAAAAGCATCTATTCTGTTAGAAACTGCATATTTGTTCATCAGATATGATGAGTCTTTTTTTTTCAAATCATTTTTCATTTGATTTAAAAATGCAAATTTAGTTAATATGTAAGAATTAAAAATAATTAAGAAAATAAATGAATAAATAAATAAAAATTAATAAAGAAATAAATAAAATAAGTAAGTAAATAAAAATTAAATAAATAAATACTCCAGGCAAGCCTGAAGACTGGTGCTCATTAGAGCACGTTTGCTCGAGAGCTTTTGAAAATAAAAATCATTATTATTTAACCTATAACGAGCATCACATAGAATTATGTATAGGAAGACAGTAAGAAATTTGGTTCATCAACAAAGTTTATTCAATTTTGTTTCCCTTCATTTTTGCATTCTCTGCCCAAACACATCACTTAAATTTTTTGAGTTTAGTTTGAACATTGTGGATGTATAATGCATAGGTTAAAATAGAGTTAAAATTATCAAATTGATTCAATTCAACTGTGGGAAAATCCCAAAATTTATAATAAATTTATTAGAGAATGTTAGCTTGTGTATTTATCAAATAATTTAAATAATTTCATCGGCACTTCTGTGATTACCATATTTCCACCATTTGATTCAGCCAATTAACATGAGCACAACGCAAGGGACGCACATTCAATCCATTTAACAGCAACAACATCATAAAAAATAGCCTTGCTTGCATCCCTTCTGCAAATGCCAATTTTTCATAATGCAACAACTCGTCGGCTACGCGGACAGATGGCCAGTCCGTCGCTCCGCTTTTTGACACAAATGGCCACTAGCCATTTGCGCCGTTGGTACAAATGGCCAATTCGCATTTCCGGAGAAAATTTTTTTTTCTGCGCGAATATGTTCAAAAAGTCAAAATGCACCAGCCCACACGCTAAAAGTACCAACTTTACCCGTAGATGGCTCTTCTGTTGAGCCCGCAAGCAAGAAGTGCCATGAAAGCCACGCCCCCTCATGTGGTTTCCCATATCGCCGGATAATATGAATAAATACTTTTAATGCGTTTAATGTTAAAATTGGAAAAAATGATAAAAATAAAAAAAATCTTGAAAAAATGTATAATAAATATTAAAATATTTTACAATTTTCTAGAAGTAAAATCTCATTATTAGTTAATTACTAATTCAAATGGACGGACTCAATCAAACGAAGTGTTGCGAAGGATGCTCTCGTTGTGATAGACGTTTCCGCGAATGCAATCTTTTTTTTTTAGAACGCGTGAATTTAAAATATTCAAAATTTCAGCGATGAAGTTCAATTTAATCATGTATTTTTGATAATGCTAGATTAAAATTAATTCCGTCTAGGAGCGGAGGTATTAATGTTTCCGCGAGAATTTTTTTCCGTCCATTTTAAAAATAGAGAAAAGTTATAAAAAATAATAACCTAAACAGAAAAATGTTGCCAATTAAATTTTCTACAATTTTTTTCATTGGCTTAGTAACGTCAAAAATTTTTTCACTTACATACGGAAGGCTCAAAGTCAAAATAATATTTTTTTATAGCATAAGATTTTTTTAAAATTTTTTCGAGATGGCCAATCGATTGGAAATTAAATTTTCACCTCCGTTATTAAATTTCATCAAAAAATATTGAGCCGTTTTAAAATAAGAATATAATAATGTGATCACCCTTCAAACTGCTTTTGAAGACGAGGGTGCCGTCAGAGCGCTCACGAGAAAGCAAAGTGCAACTTAAAAACGGCTCAACATTTTTTGGTGTAATTTGGAAGCTAGATTTAAAATTAAATTTCCAATCGATTGGCTATCTCAAAAAAATTCTAAAAATTTTATTCTATGAATAAAAATAATATTTTGACTTTTAGCCTTCCGTACATAAGTGAAAAAATTTCTGACGCCTTTAAGCCAATGGAAGAAATTGTAGGAAATTTAATTGGCAACATTTTTCTATAAAGGTTTATATTGTTTTAAGCTTTTCTCTATTTTTAAAATTGATGGAACAAAATTCTCGCGGAAACAATAATAACTCCTCTCCCAGACGGAATTTATTTTAAACTAGCAAATCAAAAAATTAATTATCTAATTATGAATCAACGCTGAAATTTTAAATAATTTAAATTAACGCGTTCTAAAAAAATATTGCATTCGCGCAAACGTCTATCACAACGAGCATTCTTCGCGACACCTCGACTGACGGGGCGCCACTGTTGTGTCAACCAGCCGCTCCGCAGCAGCGGCTCCGATTTCGCCTTTATATTCATATCAGCGGTGATTTTTCGTTTTTTGGAATAATTTTTTCACTAATTTAATTGCAATATCATCCTTAACCTTGAGTTAAAAAGTGGATTCTGAAATCTGAACATTCTCGCAGATAATCAGTTTTTTGCTTCTCCTGTAAAATTGGAAAAGCTGTCGAGTGGCCATTTGTACCAACGGCGCAAATGGCTAGTGGCCATTTGTGTCAAAAAGCGGAGCGACGGACTGGCCATCTGTCCGCGTAGCCGACGAACTGTTCCGCGCCCAAACAGCAATCATCAATTTCGCAGGCAGACGAACGCACTTCCCAAAATTATCTCGTGAATAAATTATTCTTTCCCAGCTGAAATAAAAATTCAAGGCGCTCATTTTATGACGTATAAAAAATGAAAGTAATAATTTTTGTACCTCGGTTATTTATTTAAAAAAGAGCTTAATTTAAAAAAATCCTCATTCCAGCGAATTGGAATTTGCGAAACCACAGAATGAACCGAGTGATTGTGATGACAAGAAGCCGCGTGACAGCGGTATAGCAGAATCGTTAATTATTATTTCCTTCAAGCAAGGAAAACGCACGTCGGGAACAATAGACGTCGCCCACCGCCGCTTCGAATAATTAATGTGCACTTATTTATACGTCTCGCGAGCTAATTAGCGGTTCGCCAATTGTAGTTGCGGTCGTTGCAAAACGCGCGTCACGCTTCGCAAATCGCATCACCATGTTCTACAATTAAAAAAGCAATAAATCGGAACTGCACACACTTTTTACTGCCTCTTTCTCTCTTTGTTGTGCTAATTGCAAATTATTTGGCGCTCTGCACTTTTTCATTCAAACGCTCTCCGGAGGGCTTCTCTCGCGCCCAAGGGTAATAAATAACGTGCCGCGGCCTGACACGTTTTATTGCGTTTTTACGTCGTGACGATATTTACAGTCGGCAAATACGAGACGAATGAAAATACATACATACGTGGCCATAAAAGTGGCCCGAATTCGCCAATAAATTCAAATAAACGACCGTTCCTCATCTCTGCGGCAATAATCATTTTGCAGAGCCGATCGCCCAGATTCGCTATGATAAATAAAATAAATCACTTAAAGTGTGTATAGATAAAATGCTCAAATTATCCTTAATATCACTTGCAAAATATTATTTGATTTACTGACTTGAATTGAAATTTTTATATATCAATCGTATTTATAATATTTTTTTATTTATCTACTCGCGCATTCCAATGGTTCTCTGTCAACAGAGAAGGGAAAAAATTGGTGAGTTACAATACTAAAATTAATTTACTCCCCGTCTAACTTTCTCTCTCATAGACATAGCATTCTTAAATCGGTCCCTTCTTCCTTACGATTCTTTTGGCAAATTTCCATCTAAAAATAAATTTGAAAAGGGCTACGTGATTGGCTAGCCTTTCAAGAAGTCGTTTGCCTGCAGTTTCAGTTTTCTCCTTCGTTCAAAATTAAAAAGCCGGTGAGAGAGAAAATTCCTCTCATTGTCAGGGGCCGCGAGCAACTTTTGAGAATAGAAAGTTAAAAAGTAACCCTTTGTGAGCGGAGAAGGGCTGTCACGCCTCATCTATTTATTTTAGACTTTTCGCGCCACGTTGCGTATAATAAGAGGTGCACTTTGATCTCGGCGAAAATTTGCACAAAAGATGGAAAACGAAAAGTTTCATGTTTCCGAGAGAGCTGCATATAACGAAAGGCAAAACTATGTGATCATTTTGCGCACGATGAGAGAGAAAAGCGAGGGCCCGACCGACACTGAAAGCAACTTATCTGTTGCCTCACATGCTGAGTATGGTAATGAGGCGTCTGCTCTCTTTGCCGACACATGGCCATGTACAAGCGAGAGATCTTTCTCTCAAAAAATATTGATTTGATTTATTTGGTGGCATATCGACGTCTCTCTCTCCTACATAGGGATAAAAAGCGCTGTTTTCCTGCTCGCTCTTTCGCGATTCCATTAAAAGATAAAAGGCAGAAATAAGGAAAGGATGACGCGCTTGGTCCTGCTTTTATTAGCAAAACGCACGCACTCCTGTAAAGGTCGTCTTTTCGTCACCCAAAGGTGCTGTATTTTTGATGAGCGCATAAGAGCTGTGTTTGGTTTGCTAATAGCTGTTCAAACGGGGCAATTCAATTTCGAGTCCCTCGCCGAAAGGTAACCCACTTTGCTCCTCTTCCATCTTCTTGACACTTCTAGAAAGGAAACCAATCAAGTTTACATGAATTAACCTATTCGGTATAATAGATTAGAATAAAGAGGACTTTATGCTGAAAGCCCTAAACTTAATGCTATGAATTATGCAACGCGCGAAACAACAATGACCTGCAAATTAAAAGGGTACAACAAAAGTTAATTATTGAAACTTTTTATATATATTCTAAAAATTATCTAAATTTTCTTTATCATGGTTAATTAAAGAAGTTTTTGAACAAAAACAAATTCTTCCTGCAACATATTACACCAAAATATTAAAATTTTAAAATAAAATAAAATAATCTATATTCTATAATTAGATTTAAAATACTCAAAAATAGTATAATTTTATGATAATATTGATCAAGTTAAATAAAGTGATGTAAATTTAAGAAAATAATATTAATATTAATAATATTTAACCATATCAATCAGAAAATTATGAGGTGAGTATTTACGATTATTAGAAAAAATATCACATTAATTCCCCGCCCCCCACCAATTTAATCCAAATTTCAAGGGACTCTTTCGTTTTCTTGTGAGATGAAAGGAAATTATTACCGCAGGGCGAACAACTTATCATGCGCACATATTTCTTCAAATTAATTTTGGGGGTGAATAAATGCGAGTTAATTAATTGCGTAATGTGTGTATGCGCGCGAGGGCACGCCTGGCCCCTCGGAGGCGGGGGTGTGCAGCGCTTGCGTGCCGCCAAGGGTTGAGGATTGGCCGCCCGCCCACACTGCATGCAGTCGCAACGCACGTGTTTATAAAGGGACGACTCACCCTGCGAGGCGATAACACTTTGGTTTATGCCACAAGCAGCAACAGTCTTCGCCACAACAGGTGGAGCTGCACCGACTTCCTTCGCCACTTGCTGACTGGACCACATCCTTTGCCAAAGAGTGAGTACTTGCCTTTAATTGTCTCTAATATTATTTGCAGTGATCAATTTGAGAGAATTTTCAGTTTTCTTTCTTTAAAGAATTAAAATATTTAAATGTGGTTTAAACAGTATTTTAAGCAAATTACAACTTGTGGCAATTTACGTGCGCAGATTCAAAAATATGAGAGAAAGAATAATTATTTTACTGCCCATATGTTATGTATAAAGATTGTATTGCAAGACTGGTTTGAGTAAAATTTTCACATTTATAAATTCACATAAAATTTGATTTTGGTCATAACAAAATAAACATTTCCCCTCTCACTTTTTTTTTAATAAACTTCAATTATTCTGTTACAAAATGAAGCTTTAAATATTAATTTTATAGGGTTAAAAGCCAATTTACGTTTTCATTGTCAGTCCAATTTATTCCAGTTGCAAAAATTCCTTTTCGTTTGAAATATTTTCTGTACATCCAGAGGATATTAATTCAAGAGAGAAAAATCAAATATTGAAGTTCCGCGAGGAGAGTTTAAAAGCGTTTTGCGCCGAGTTTTCCTTTCAGCAAACTTTCAAACGCATGTTGCTGAGCTCTTTGTCTCGGAAATTTTCTTTAAAAAGCGGATTACCTTTCTATGAATAATAATTGATACGGTGAATTCTGTTTAAGCATTTAGTATGCTTTGTAGTAAAATTTTGGTCAGAGAATGCCCGGTGATACATTAATAAAACACAATTTTAACTAAAATTTTTACTCACCTGAAATTACTTCTTGTACTTACAATTGAATTATAAGCTTCAAAGTATTTGTTGCAAGGAAAAAAAGATGAAAAAATTGATACATTTTAAATTTGAATTAAAATGATTTGATAATTATGTAACAAGTTCTAGTTTCAAAAACTTCAATGTTTAATAACTTTTTTCTTTCCTTTAAATTTAAAGTAAAATTTGATCAGAAATCTTCTTGTATAATATACCGAAATAATTTTTATATCGCTGTAGATTACAAAACGCAGAGCACAAGTTCAGTCAGTCAGAATCAATATTTTTGAACTGAAGAGGTTTCGCTTTAAAAAAAAGAATTAACCTTTGTAAAATTTTCATGCAGGTCCTGACAAATCTAACAAAGTGTATTACGAAAATAAGTTTTTAGAGTAGGACTTGCATAGTATTAAAAAGGGCAAACTTTTCGATTCAAAGGGTTGGCTCATTTCGCCCACTGCGTCGCGCTACGGCCAATTAACTCGTCGCAAAGCGTCTAATGAGCAAAACTGCGGCGATCGACTTATGCATCAGTCTCGAAAGACACCCCATTGTTGTGTGCGTTGGAGGATGATTAAAATTTGGTACGTCTTCAGCTCCTTTGTAAGCAAAGAACTATTAAAACTCGGTCGCCTCCGCCGACACTCATTTATAATGTTGGCGAACGTACGTTATCTCGAGCGGGGCTGGTTATTATTAAAAGACCTTATCGTGCCGCATAATTCACACTGATGATTGATGAGCCAAAATTAAGCTGCTCGATCGCACACCAACATTAGAAAAAGAGATGGAAAAGTCACCGTTCAACTGACTGATTGTTTAATTTCGTTTTTTATGCAAGTCTCAACCTTTTTCTTGCGTATGTTGACGGATCTGAAACAAATTCCTCTTCGACGCTTAGAGGATAGGCACTTTCAATGTCTGACGGTTAATACCCTCGCACCTGGGACAAAATTCAAACTCGGAGCATTGTCTGATACTTTAATTAATTCTAAGTGTGTCTCACTATATAGTGCTGTGAGCAAACTCTTTGCCTTAAGACGACCACTTGAGTTGAAAACAGTATCAAGAAGTGCAGTTAAAAGTTTGCATATATAAGCGACGTTGTTTACGTTGAATATTATCATTTGAAGTAAAATTTTAGATTTTAGATTAAAAATTAACAAGAAAGTTGCCCCGTGAAATTCGATGATAAGTAATTTTACTCTTTTCTAGCAAATAAGTCCATTGACTATATCACAGGAAATAAAAGAAAGACGTGAAACTTAAGTTAATATTACAATCGATTTTTTGACATAAATATGCAATTCAATTGCTTTATTATTTCCAACTTAACAAGCCATAAAATGTAAGTAAAAAATGTAATAAAATGAGGTGTCTGGAAATAATTATAAAAGTTCGGCAGAATTTAAGTATAGGGGAAAAAATTACGCATTTGAAATTTCATTGCATCCATATTTAGAAAAAATTTAAATATTGAAATGAAAAAAAAATAGAAATTTATTCTTTTGATGTAATCAATAAGTTACACAGTTGAAAATTTTGCAAATGGGTGCCTCACGGTTGAGAGGTAATTCTTTCATCTGCGATATCAAACTAATTATTAATCTTTTATTCTTATATCAATTTATTGTCTTAAAAAACAAATTATATGAAATCATAATTTCAATTATTATATCATTTTTTTTTTTAAGAAAATGCCACAGAATAATTAGATCCTTGACTCCATGATGCAAATCACTGGCCGCAATTATATTGTCACACGTGCTTCACTTTGTCTGAGGACAGTAAAACGAGAAGGAAATGCAGTGGTGGTAGACTGCAGTAACGGGGTGGATGGCACTCAATTCCGACACAAAAGTTGATTGAGCAACATCATTTACAAACACACTAGCCAGCAAGCAAGCAAGCTGAGTTGACAAACAAGATTTCTCTGCGGGGCCGCAGCGAGAACAAGCGTTTGACACGCCATAATATTGCTATTGCCCTCGGAGGAGGCAACCTAGCTGCTCTCCAACCCTATGCGTTTTTCTCTCTGTGTACTGCATGCACACTGGTGAATAACAAGAGTGGTGTGCAGTCGTCAGCGGTCAGTTGTCAGCTGCGTTTATCTATTTTCCCCAACGCCTAATGAAGCTGCAGGATTCCCCCACAGAGAAAGTAATTACCAGAAATGTAGGTTATCGAGTGTGGGGCGCGTCGGTAGGAATTATTAGGTGTTGGGTCGAGCAAGAATATTGGCTGGCGCTAAGATTAAATAAAAAATGACCCTGCTTGCGTGCGACACCCTTTTATGTGTGCGTCGTATCTTTATTAACTCGGCAACGCCGCTGAGAATTGAGGGTGTGATGCATCAGATGGGATGCGTTCATATATCAACTTCCTACTTTTCATTTTCTTTCAGAAATGATATTAATATTTATTAACATGGATATCAATTCAATAATAAATCAAAGAAAGATTTGCTTTATAATTATTATACATTCATAGTTTCAATATATCAATAATTTATTTTTACAGTTTTTAATTAAAAAAAGAAGAAAAGGGGTGGCTGGTCCTGAAAAGTTTTCATTAAATAATAAACTGGGAATGGCGAAGAATTAGATGGTACCTTATCTAGTTTTGTAGCAGCTTTAATAGAAACTTCAAAAATTTCATGGTCGAGTTGTTTTTTAGATTATGTTATGGAAAGTATTCAGTTATGATTATGAGACACCTCAAATCCACGTTTAAAAGCATTCCCCTCCCTTTGCTGACCCTCCTAAACCGAGGAATTTGCAATTAGGATGAAAAAATATATCATTTTGTTTTTATTAAAAAACAACTCTTCCGCTCACCGAGGTCACCTCATTTTTGATGTCAGGAATTTTACCAGATTCCTCTGCTTGTATACAATTCTTTTTTCCACATATTTATATTTTGTAAATTTTGTACTGAATTAAAGCAGTAATATTAAAAAATAAATTGTTGGGCTGCTGCCTCCAAAACAACAGGCTGATTACCAATATTTTTTGTGAGAAACATATGCGATTTGATTTTGATTTTTTTTTTTATATTACTTTTTGCATTGCAATTTATATGAGTTAGAGAAATTATTTTGAGCAATGAAAGGGTTAAAGTTTTTTTTTCAGTATTCAAATTTTATAAATTTATTTTTAGGTTTTTGTTTCGGTTCAATTCAATATACAATTAGTATTAATACTTTTCTATCTACAAATAGCCATTTCAAAATTTGAATGGTGCAAAAGCGGACTCAACGATTTAATTTTAATCTTCTGAATGGCAAATTTCTATGAAAACTGATGAAAACTTTTAATTTTTTGCCAACTTGTTTTTGTTTTGGATTCATACAGCTCCCATAATCTCTATCATAAATTCAGTTGCGTATTAAAAAGCCAACGCAGACATTATAAAACCCAACAGATCCGGAGCAACTCGTTGGCCAATCGAGCATTTAAAAGCTGCTCTCTGCATTGAAAAAAAGAAGCCAAAAGAGTTTTGCTTCTCATTATTTCGTTTTCCAAATGTATCAAGTTGCTCTTAAGCCGCCGCGTGTTTTCCTGGTGCATTCATAAAAGCGGCCTTAAGGTATTAGGCAGCTTGGAATAAAGGGCGCTTGCTCAAAGTGTGTTGTCCCACATGCAGTCATGTGTGCTTAACTGGACAATGGCTCGGAAACGGGTAATGAAAATTTTATCTCCCTCTGCAGCTTTTATCGTAAAATAGTCTTGCAAGCGTAGAGAAGACTGAAAAAAAGTAAAAAGAGAAAAATGGTCGCGCGCGACAAATCTATTATCATAAGCGGCAATCAAGAAGCGAGCTGAAGGAGGAAAGAGAGTGCCGGACGCACTACTTCTTGTTTGTGCTGAAAAAGGTCGCCGTCAATATTTGTCCATCAAATTAATTATTTGCTCTTCAAGCGCCACTTTGGCCGAGAGCTCTTTCACACTCGATCGGGCACAATCAATTCAGGAAAAGCCTCCAATAAATTCATAATTCATAAGACAAGTGAAATTGATGAAAACTTAAAACCATATCAAATTATAAAAAGTTACGTAACAATTATTATAAAAGAGAAAACAGAAAACATAAAGGAATCATCTGAATTTGCTGCAACCCCTCTGAAAGCTCTTAAAGGGAAATTATGCATTTTGTATTTGACAACAATTTTACAATACTATTGAAAAACAATTCTTGAAAATTTTTATTATAATTTTTTTGGTTCCCATTGTTTTAATTAGTTAAAAGGATTATATG